GATGAGTGGAAACGTCGCCGGACTGTCGATCACAAGGTCCACGGTTCGAGTCCCGCCGCGGAACTAATGTCCTATGGCAGCCTAGCATAGCCGGGTAATGTTGGAGCGCCTTGAGGACCTTGCAAGGTCGATACGTGCGCTATATAAGAATCAAATATTATTATTATTATTTAACAACAGCTCCTTTTAAACAACTTTCTTTAAACAACCCAGTTGGTGTAAACAACCCCCACTGAACAACAGCTCCTTTTTAAACAACTTTCTTTAAACAACCCAGTTGGTGTAAACAACCCCCACTGAACAACAGCTCCGTTTTAAACAACCGTCTTTAAACAACACCAGTTGTTTAAATTGTGATTTTAAACAAGTTGTTCAAAATGTTGATCAACTAAGTGTTTAAACTTTAAACAACTCGAGTTGCTTAACATTTTAAACAACTCTTAGATCAGGTCACCCGTTAATCAACAGTTGTTTAAACTTTTAAACAACATGTTCACTAAATTTTTAACTGTGTACAGTTGTATTAGAAAAAGATATACAGGCTAGTACAATAGAATTTTAAATTCTTGACGATAATATTTTGGAGAGTGCAAGTTTTATAATTTGTTTGATAGTCTGTTAAATAAAGAGGACTGTTTCATTGTTAAAGTATCTCATCCGTCTACATATCAAGCACTGTATATTTTTTTTTAATTTATATAGGCGACAGAAGGGGATCGCAACTGTTTATTTCAGTTCATCCTCGTGAAGCAATTGCTTATACATAAAACCCACCGATCGGAAGTAATAAATCTCTTAAAGGTTTTATTTGAACCCCATGATCTCTTTTTCAGCCAACATGAAAGTCTGAAGAACTTTGCAGGAATTGTGAATATGTCCGTATGTTCTATCTGTCAGCAGTGTCCTATAGAATTCAAATTATGCAAGGAAACCTCTTTACTTTTAAGACTTGACCGTCAGACGCTATTGAATGAATGATTGACTTGCTTTGGTAATAAATAGAGCTGTAAGGGGTACATGAGCACTACATGCAGGCACGGATCCAGGATTTTTTAGGGGGGGGGGCAAATTTGAAATCATGCGAGCCAAATATTGGTACGTTATGGTGACCAGCAGTGACGTAATTGGGAGGGGGGTGGGTGCAAGTAGGGCCGAGAATTTTTTGACATTTCAAAAATTATTAGAGAAAGAAGACGATTCGTTGTACCGTTATCGACTCTTAATATTCGTCTAAATTCAGTTCCCCCCCCTCCCGCGCGAAGCGCGGAAGCTTTTACGTTTCATTAAATCATTAGAGAAACAAGACGATTCGTTGTATCGTTCTTGACTCTTAATCCTTGTCTAACTTCAGTCCCCCCCCCCCCCGTGCGAAGCGCGGAAGCTTTTACGTTTCATTAAATCATTAGAGAAAGAAGACGATTCGTTGTACCGTTCTCGACTCTTAATCCTTGTCTAAATTCAGTCCCCTCCCGCGCAAAGCGCGGAAGCTTCGACGTTTCATTAAATTATTAGACAAAGAAGACGATTCGTTGTACCGCCCTCGAAGATAATCCTCGTCTGAATTTATTTTTTTCCTTCTGCGCGATGCGCGGAAGCTTTTACGTTTCATTGAATCATTAGAGAAAGAAGACGATTCGTTGTACCGTTCTCGACTCTTAATCCTTGTCTTAATTCAGTTCCCCTCTCCCGTGCGAAGCACCGAAGCTTCGACGTTTCATTTAATTTTTAGAGAAAGAAGACGATTCGTTGTACCGCTCTCGAAAATATTCTTCGTCTGAATTTATTTTTTTCCTTCTGCGCGATGCGCGGAAGCTTTTACGTTTCATTAAATCATTAGAGAAAGAAGACGATTCGTTGTACCGTTCTCGACTCTTAATCCTTGTCTTAATTCAGTTCCCTCGCTATGCGTTTTTTGGGGGACCACCCCACCGCCCCCCTGGCTACGCGCCTGCAGTCAGATGAACTTATGTTGATACCTTGTCTGCCCCCGGAAGTTCAGGGGTTTTAGGCATTTAATTACGGTCAGATGAGCATGATTTTGATACCTAATTGTGACATTTGCAGGTCACTAATTGGCTTGGGGTTCAGGGGGCGGAGCCCCCGGAAACTCAAGGGTTGTAGGCACTCAATTACGGTCAGATGAGTATCAAGGGGCCCGACTTGAGGCTTTTCGTTGGGGTCAGGGGCATAGCCCGGAAGCTCAGGGGTTTTAGGCGTTTAATTACTGTCAGGTGAGCATCTAAGGGCCCGCCTTAGGGCCCTAGGTGGAATCCAGGGGGCTGAGCCCTCGTGGTTTTAGGCATTTAATTTAATCATGGTCAGATGAGCATATTTTGATACATCATAATGTGACACTGGCAGTTAACTATTTTTCTTTCTTGCTCTCTTTCTTTCTATTTCTCTTTAATATACTTTTTCAAAAAAGTGGGGGGGGGGGGGGGGCTCGAGGATCCCGATCCCCGCCGTTCCGCGGGCCCTGACATGTAGGCATCTCAAGAAGCATTTTCTTGCCTGGCTGTAAATTTAGGAATTGTCATTTTCCAACAAACGCATACAAAAGTACAATTTACTTAAAAGTGATGAAAAATCTCGGAAAATTATGTCATTTCAGCATTATTTGTAAACCCCCGTTATGGAATTAGAAATAAACCACGTTTGAATTTATTTCCCCAAATCCCCCCCTCCCCTATCAGTACGCCAGTGCCCCCCCCCCCCCGATTTACACCTTGTTGACGAGAAAATTACAACTGATATCCCTTACCTTTCTTCATTCTCTTTTTGCTCTTTCCCTTTCTCTCCTCTTTCCCATTCCCTTCCCTTCTCTCTCTTTTAAGTTTGCCTGGGGGGGGGGGGGGAGGTCATTTTGGCCCCCACTCCGCTCCACACATTGTTGACTGATCTCCCCTTCTTTTCTCCCTTTTCTTTTCTTCTTCCTCTTTTTTGTTCCCTTTTAGCTCTCCTCTTTTCCTTTTCCTTCCTTCTCTTTTTTTTAACGCGGGGACGGGGGGGGGGGGGGGGGGGGCCTTTTGCCTCCACCCCCCCCCCCCCGATCGGGAAAATTGCAACTGATATCCCCCTTCTTTTCTTTTCTTCTTTCTCTTTTTTCCTTCCCTTTATCTCATCTTTTCCTTTTTTCTTTCCCTTTCCTTCCTTCTCTTTTATTTTTTTGATTGTGGGGAGGGGGCAGCAGCCTGGGAGGCAATTCCTTTTGCCCCCCCCGATCTCCTTCTTCCCTCTTTTCTTTTCTTCTTCCTCTTTTTTTCTCCTTTTTCTTCTCTTTCCCTTTCCCTTCTTTTCCTTTGCTTTCTCTCCTTTTTTTTTCGGAGGGGGGGGGGGGGGGCAAGGCCCGCTCGCCTTCCCCCTTGATCCGCGCCTCTCTACATGTACTAAATGTACATTTGTCTATTATGTAAAAATCAGACTAATTAAACGAGCGTGCTCGATAAATTCAATTCGACAACTAATGATCATTATTTTCTCACAAAAAGACATTTTCAAACCTTTTGGTTTTGAGGGAAGTTCTAAATTATTATTATTATCATTCAAATTACGTTGGAATTTAACCTCGTCATTATTTTTGGCCTGCACATAGGACATAATACCCGTTTTATTACTTCAATAAACTGTATTGTAATTGGATGGTGAAAAATTAATATTCCAGTTTATCCATAGTCAATGTACATGGCGCTATAGGGTGGTGAAAAGTTAGCGTAGGGTGGTGAAGAGTTAATATTCCAGTTTATACATAGACAATGTACGTGACGCTATAGGGTGGTGAAAAGTTAGCGTAGGGTGGTGAAACATTAATATTCTAGTTTATCCATAGACACTGTACATGGCGCTAGGGTAGTGAAAAGTTAGCGTAGGGTGGTGAAGAGTTAATATTCCAGTTTATCCATAGACACTGTACATGGCGCTATATGGTGAAAAGTTAGCGTAGGGTGGTGAAAAATTAATATTCCAGTTTATCCATAGACAATGCACATGGCGATAGGGTGGTGAAAAGTTAGCGTAGGGTGGTGAAAAATTAATATTCCAGTTTATCCATATACACTGTACATGGCGCTAGGGTGGTGAAAAGTTAGCGTAGGGTGGTGAAGAGTTATTATTCCACCTTATCCATAGACAATTAATGCACATGACGGTAGGGTGGTGAAAAGTTAGCGTAGGGTGGTGAAGAATATTCCAGTTTATCCATAGACAATGTACATAACGGAAGGGTGGTGAAAAGTTAGCGTAGGGTGGTGAAGAGTTATTATTCCACTTTATCCATAGACAATGTACATGACGGTAGGGTGGTGAAAAGTTAGCGTAGGGTGGTGAAGAGTTAATATTCCACTTTTATCCATAATTGACAATGTACATATGACGCTAGGGTGGTGAAAAGTTGAGATCGTGAAAAATTATATCCATAGAAAATATGTACATGACGGTGACATAATGGTGAATAGTTTATGTGATTTGGTATTTAAAGAGTCAATGCCCCCTTTCCCAGAGAAAAGGCATATATATATGCATGACATGCTTATAATTATGGTGCGGGGATATATTGCAATTCGAAAGAAGATAATAACGTTTTAATTTCTAACATAAATGAGGTGAGGTCTTAATATAATTCTTTGATTTGCCCCTAAGTACTGCGCTTTACCCCCCCCCCCCCCCTCCATCATCTACTCTCATTATATCCGACCACCATGCCTATTTTAATTGGTAGCCAGCCATCGTTGCACTGATCATGCCTGACGGATACAATACACAAAGAATATATTGCGTGTGTGTAGTATATCGGTTGTACGCAACGAACTCAAACTTACTTGGATTTGTTGTACGTGTACAATGCGATCCTTACACTTATCAAATTGGCATTTTTTACACATAAGATGGGCTACCTTCATCTCCGATTAGGTGTGTGAAGAAAAGCTTCACCCAGCACCCGAAACACACAGCAAAAGATTTTGAGCTACGGTGTCGTTGAAAAGAAAATCGAGATAAATACATTTTGGACCATTGCATTGCATTGATCATGAGCGAACGAATCGATTGACTCTACTACTCTAGTCTATGCTTTGCTGGAGTGGAGAATTCCGGCCGAGTGTGGCTTACATTTGAACCAAATTACGCCCAATTTTTTGCTCTCGAGAAAGATGGTGTGTGAGAAATGTAAGTAGGCATCATCATGTCGAATTTTAATGAATTGGATCGAGAGTAATCTCGTTATAACTTTTGATCTGTAACACAGCTGTTCTAGACTAAGTTATTACGACTTACACAATACTCAACGGGTGGGCAGACAGTATGATAGGGGCACACATAGCTGTATTACTATCGTGGCTGTATGGCGGTGTGACCAAAGTTCGCGCGTGACCAAAGTTCGCTTTCTCAAAAAATTGGTAAGATTTCGAAAATCTGATATCACCAATGGAAAGAGGGTCATAAAATTACCAAGAAACGAAATTTTCTTTAGAATTGGGTGCGAAATTGTGAAAATATTGACAAAAGATCGGCAAATTTTGCAGTTATTTGCGTCCGTTCCGAAAAATTATCAACTTACCGATAAGGGTCTGGAAATCTTCATTTTGAGATCAGAAATCCTCAAAATTGTAAGTAAAGAGTGGTACTAACTGATTGTACGATATCTTGCCTTGCAAATTATGATATTACTAGGGTGTCTGATCGCGCACCCGATGTTGTGTGCTAAAATGCTTCCCATAGAGATTACACGCATCCCTATGCAGCCTACGTGCATTGCGCGACCATGCAAAAAAAGTCAATTTTTTTTTTTCAAATCGAGATTCAAACCTTTATCAGTTGTGATCCTGAAGGTGATAATCAATGAATGAGGTGTCATATGAAAGAGCAGGTGAATTCCAATATTTCCAAAGGGGCGTAGCCCCCGAAATTCTAAAAATATCTTGGTCAAAACAGCAATTTAAATATTGTGTCCTGGCTAACTCTGAGGTTTGTCACTTTTGAGATATGACGCCCCGATCGATAAGTAGTCGCAGTCCTAAGGAACAATTCTATGTGATTATATTTTCGCTAGCCCCCAGGGATCACAACTGATAACAGTTTAAAAATACCCTTCTCGCTATTTGGTGGATCAGCTAATGAGGGGGCGTGCGCTCCGCTCAGTCCAAACCATGGTTACATCGCGTAACATCTCCGCGCACGAACGAAACCCCAAATTCAAGTGACTGAAATTATGGTTGGAAATTCCCTCGATAAACCCGGAAGTGAATACACGTTATAGTCAATGGCAATATCGCGGAGACAACGTGCGTTGTCTCCGCGATATTGCCATTGACTATAACGTGCATTCACTTCCGGGTTTATTGTGCGACGAACGCCAACCATACTAGTCAATCGCACATGTCGCGGAGACAGCGTAGCTCAAGCTGCAAGTCGCGGATTGGCTTAGCAGCATGCGTACGATATGCATACGCTTGCATATCGCGCGATACAGCTGTTTGGCTAAATTTAGCAAAACAACATCACTCTGCGTGGACGTCTTTTTCGACGATTTTGACCAAAATGATATGAATATACCAGCGTGTTGGAGGGGCTGTAACTTTTGATAGAAACATCGGTGAGACTTGAAATTTGAAATGTATTATTCTGATAACATTTTTTATTCAAATATCAAACAAAAATGGTGAAAAACGATCCCAAATTGAAAATTGAAAAATCGTTCAGACACCCTAATATTACCTTATTTTTGATGAATCGCATTTTTTAATAAATCAACTGTAAACCACCGTGCGTGAAGTTAGGTCTCATTGTTTTTATGACTTTTTTAGATGCAGCGCGCACGCACGATCGGACATCGAATTTTTAGATCGCGATATCTCCGAAATCCTTTGACGGTAAATTTTTCTAGTTAAACCAATCTGTAGTAAAAAACTTTGCCGTCCATTTGGTAATAATTGAAATAAATAAAGTTGTGTAGAATGTGAGAAATCACAGATCGAATATCACTTTTTGTAATATGTTCTAAAATGTCCGCGAACTTTGGTCACCCCTTCATACACACATTAGGAGCTTCACTATCCTGGCCTGGCTGTGTATTAAAAGCTGTGCCTTTGATTCTCAACATTTCAAACACCACTGTACAAAATTCAACTGATTTCACTAAAAATCGGTATCCATTTTTTTAGCAGTTTAATATCCATTCTTAGCAAATGAATTTTAGCCCAATTTTTTACTAATTTTAATAATAATCATATAGAGTAAAGGAGCCCGTTTTCGGCCACTTAAGACAAAATCCTATTTTTAGGACTCTTTACTTCCTATTTATTATCATTTCTTGTTCAAATCATGAAGCAAATATTATTATTATTTAAACAAAAAAAGAATCCCAGAAAAAAAATCGCGAATTGCCATGACAATATTCATTTCAATTTTTACTGTTTTGGAGCCCGTTATCGGCCGAGCGTTTCAGTTTACGGCCGCATGTACAAAGTCAATAGGAAGCGCTCGCGCGCGCCGTGCGTTTCCGCGCTGATGTACAGCACAAGCGGGCGGAGCAGGTATCCCACGCCGGAGCTCCCTGGTGCTCGCCTGGCCGAAGACAGGCACAGCGGTGATCGGAAGTTGGAATCTGAATTAGACAGAGATATCGTGTGTGCGTCGCGGTGTGCGGCTGCATTGATTTAATACATACGATGACATACTTTTGAGCTTGCGACTAGCACAAAATCGGGCTTTAAATCTGAAAAATACTTGAAATAAAGCTCATTTTATGGTACCCATATTTCTTACAGACACGCGTAAGATACTCGATTTTTCAGATTTGGGTAGCGGGACCGGCGATTACATCGCTAAAATGTGATATTTTAGGATATATTTTCCATTGCAAATGTGGTTCTTCAGTGACACTGGCATGGTATGGTATGTGTGGGATATGTGTTATGCTATTATGCGATGTATTTTAGAGTGATTTTACCTTGCATCAAGTAAAGGAGCCCGTAATCGGCCAGCTCCAGTTTTCGGCCGATTGGTTGGATGCAAGGTAAAATCACTCTAAAATACATCGCATAATAGCATAACACATATCCCACACATACCATACCATGCCAGTGTCACTGAAGAACCACATTTGCAATGGAAAATATATCCTAAAATATCACATTTTAGCGATGTAATCGCCGGTCCCGCTACCCAAATCTGAAAAATCGAGTATCTTACGCGTGTCTGTAAGAAATATGGGTACCATAAAATGAGCTTTATTTCAAGTATTTTTCAGATTTAGAGCCCGATTTTGTGCTAGTCGCAAGCTGAAAAGTATCTCATCGCATGTATTAAATCAATGCAGCCGCACACCGCGACGCACACACGATATCTCTTCTTCTCTCTTCCGATCACCGCTGTGCCTGTCTTCGGCCAGGCGAGCACCAGGGAGCTCCGGCGTGGGATACCTGCTCCGCCCGCTTGTGCTGTACATCAGCGCGGAAACGCACGGCGCGCGCGAGAGCTTCCTATTGACTTTGTACATGCGGCCGTAAACTGAAACGCTCGGCCGATAACGGGCTCCAAAACAGTAAAAATTGAAATGAATATTGTCATGGCAATTCGCGATTTTTTCTGGGATTCTTTTTTTGTTTAAATAATAATAATATTTGCTTCATGATTTGAACAAGAAATGATAATAAATAGGAAGTAAAGAGTCCTAAAAATAGGATTTTGTCTTAAGTGGCCGAAAACGGGCTCCTTTACTCTATTGCATTTTCCACCTGAATTAGGATCACATCCGACATCGGGAAACCTTCGTTTAGCACACATAGGAGCATCAATATCCTGGCTGTGTAGTAAAAGCTGTGCTTTTGATTCTCAACATTTCAAACACCACTGTATACAAAACTCAACTGATTTCACTCAAAATTGGTACTTTAGTGACAATTAATGACACCTAAATAGCAGTAAAATACATTATTTTTAACTTACTGATGTTAAAAAGAATAATTAAAAAATTCAAATTGTAAGTCTAGTGTCAAACTTTGCTTACAGCTGCATCGACATGATTGTGTACAATATATGCAATATTGTGTGGTGTGTGTATTTATGTATGGGTCTAAAAATACCCGCCTCGCAGCAAGCATGCAGTGCTAGAGGTCAATACGCATTAGCATTGACTCTCTATACTTTACTGGAGTGTCGTTTAGGTCTTCGATGTCGACGTCGTCGCTCAGTACAGTCTCTACGCTGTAGTCCTGCACCTCAAACTGAAGCTATCAGTCCAAAATTATGCAGACTTTTCGTATGCGTGATACCATAAACCATACGAGAAGTCTGCATAATTTTACAGCGTAGAGATGGTACTGGGCGACGACGTCGAAATCGAAGCCCTAAACAAAGGTTTCCTGATGTCGAATGTGATCCAAATTCAGGTGGAAAATGCAATATATGATTATGATTAAAATTAGTTAAAAATTGGGCTAAAATTCCTTTGCTAAGAATGGATTTTTAAACTGCTAAAAAAAATGGATACGGAACTACACTAGCGCCCTTTAGTTTAGTGACATTGATGACACCCAACGCACCCTTTCGGCACCACAACCGATGGGGGGGGGGGCTTTGAACGAATGTTCGCGTTCAAGTCAACGCGACGTGACGCTACCCATCCTTTTGGCATAAGCCGAAGCCGATCGTAGGGTCTGCTGTGCAAACTCTGCCTAAAATAATCAATTTTAGCGGATTCATATCAAATGCATTTATTCTTGAAAAATTAGGCCTGGGGTCTAGGCTAATAATGGGGGTCAAGTACTTACCAGATTGACTGTATGATGCGTTTAGGGGGCTTTTTCCCGGATTTTCTTTGTTGAAATTCTTGCAGCTGTATTTTAAACTGCTACTGTGCATGAAGAAAGATGAGGTCCTTTTAAATAATTAAAATCCTCTGTTGATTCTTCAGCCCTTGGCACTCAAGCAGCAGAATGATAATACAGAATACATGAAAAGAAGCAGAATAGAATGTTCAACCGGTTTTCAGTGGCCAGGCTCTATAAGCATAAAAGAAAAAAACTTCATGATTCTGCCTCTAGCCTAGTGTACACATCTTGAAAATATGTTGGTTCTATTGGAGTTAGAACCGTATTGCTTTGATCCATAATCAGTCATTTTCCTTTTTCTCTCCAGGTGAAAAAAAACTTGGAAAAGTTGTAACACCAGATCCATGGAAAAGGGGGGCAAGGAACACTACAGGTAAGATGAATTATTCCACAATTATAATCCTATTAGACTGATATCTTTGCTTTTTTGTATGTGTGTATGGGGGGGGGGGCAAAAAAGGTAAGACAAATTGATGATCACTAAGATTATAGTAGTAGTTGCTATTTGAAAAGCTTTGAAGTTGAAAGAATTAGTGTTTTTGTTTGTTTGTTTTTTCTTTTGTTTTTAAGCAAATAAATAATACAATATATTGAAGTAATAATATCCTGGCATCCACAACAAAGATATACAAATTTAGAGGGATCTGCAAATAAAATCACATACCCATGTGTATCAGGCACATGCTTGTCGAGAGTCTTGGTTATTTTCTCTTACTATTGAACTATTCTAATCTTTTCCCACAATTTAGTTGGGGAAAGGGTCCAAAAGAAGTTCAATTGATAATGTGTGAAAGTTTCACATTACTAAAGTTTCAGGGGGGTGTTTCACAAAGATCCTAAGTAGAACTTAACTCTAAGTTGGACTTAAAAATTATGGACAGCCATTGGAATCTTTAAATGAAATATATTCAAAAGCAGAAATTCAAGTATTTTAGACTTTTTATTAATTCCACATCCAGAACATGAAATCTCCTTGATGATAGAAAATATGAATGATTTCAATAAACAATGAATGCCTTTCAAAATAACTTTTACAAAATATTTTCAAAGATGCTAATGGCTTTCCATATTTTTAAAGTCCAACTTAGAGATAAGTTCAACTTAGGATCTTTGTGAAACACCCCCCTTGTGTTACAGTAGACAGTTTTGCTGATGTTATGATGTGAAAATTGTTGATTTGCAGAGGGAGGAGGAAGGAAAGTAGGTGAGAACAAGCTCCTGACAGCCAAGAAGGCTCGCATGAATCCTTACACCAAAGACTTCAAGAAGTGCAGGATTTGTAAACAGTCTGTTCATCAGATAGGATCCCACTACTGTCAAGCATGTGCCTACAAAGTTGGTAAGCAATTCACATAAATTCTTTTTCTTGGCATCAAGTATGGCCAATAGCAACTGGGTAGTTTCTGTAATTGGCTGCGCATATAGGGAATGAAGCCCTGGTACGAATTCTGTGTCAACAGGTTAAAGGGAAAGTCCACCCCAAAAATAAGTTTGTTTCGATAGAGGCAGAATAATAAGAAAATCAGGTGAGTGAAAGTTTGAGCAAATTCTGAATGAAAATAAGAAAGTTATGAATTATTGAAGTTGTGATCAATCAAACACAAATTGGCAACTCTATGACGTATCATGCGAGTTCAACTTCCATTTGCTCAGTGCTAAAAAAATCTAAAATTTTCATTTTCCCTCAAGAAAAATTTCAACCATACATGCACCCTAAATATAATAATTGCAAATATGTTTCTATACTCCCCCTGCAAGGAACAAATATATATTCCGTCATCAATAACGAAGAAAACATGATTTTATGGAATATTATGCACAAAGCAAATGAAGGAGAGCTCGTATGATAAGTCACAGAGTTGCCAATTTGTATTTGATTGATCACAACTTCAATAATTCATAACTTTCTTATTTTCATTCAGAATTTGCTCAAACTTTCACTCACCTGATTTTCTTATTATTCTGCCTCTATCGAAACAAACTTATTTTGGGGGTGGACTTTCCCTTTAACTATTATAGTACAAAAGTAGGGTCTGCATTGTAGTCTCCGGAGTTGCTTACATGTACATGTACATTAAAAATTTGTTAACTCAAGATATTATTGAGTATACCTACATGCATGTTTTAGCTCATGATAGATCTGGTTCTGACCAAAGTGATTGTTAAGAATGATTTTTTAAATTCTCTGTAGATTTTACAATAATTTGTACTATAGATGAAAAGAGATAAATATCTTAGTACTCATTTGTTAGTAGCCAAGAGTGTGTTACCGGTAGTTGCCTCAATGCTTTATTTAAAGGGATCGTTTAACAATGTTAAATCTGAGATACACGGCCCTACTTGTTATCAGTGTCTGTGATATGGTGTAATATTGAAGCCCTTAAAAAATTGCGCTTCAAAATGATCAAGAAGTGCCTCAAAAAAGTAAAAATCTTTAAGTGACCGGTTTTACCATACTCGTTTTCGCCAATAGACTTTAGTGTTATGAAAACCGTCAGGCGAGCGGTTTTCAAAATTTGTAATTTCAATCATAAATATCTTGATAATCAGACAGGCGATCGGCTTGTAAATGTCATGGGGTTCCTGACTGACCTAAAGGTTTATATCATTGCATCATGAGCTAAATCCAGAATTTTATTTCAGAATCTGAGACAAAGTTACCGGATCCCTTTAATAAGTTCACATACAGTGTATAAGCGTTATGAAAATGAATGAGATACAGATTTATTGATAAAAGCACAGATACACTAGTAATTGAGGTTCCAGACAAGTTATGAAAGAGTTTCACCCTTTCATATCATTCTGGTATTGTAAATTGTAATGGCATGACTTGATAGGCTGTTACTTGCATAAAAAACAATGTTTTGATGGGAATTTTTGAGCGATCACCAATTTATTAATTCTGTAATTCAAAATGCATAGATGATAGATGTGTTAAGAATTTTGATCTGTTTTCTCTGGTTTATGCTTTTCCAAAGTATCGTGTATCATGATTTAAAGAAAAATTGTAATTAAAAAAAAAAAAAAAAAATTACGTTAAGGAAACTGTTCAGAAGTTGTCAACAACAATGTAATAATATAATAACATAATGTTATATAATAATGATAATATAGGTATAATGATGATAATGATGATAATAATGAATAGAAAGTAAACAACTGATTTTGTACCTTTACCAAAACAAAAATCTTCTCTTTGTTATAGGAATCTGTGCAATGTGTGGAAAGAAAATAATAGACACTAAGAACTACAAGCAATCATCTGTTTAGCCTCTGTGAAGCATGTATTGGTGAGTGTCTTAATTTAGAACATGGCTAAGCTGCATCCAGCTACCAGTACACTTGTTCTCAGAGAGTCTTCTCTATATTTCCAACAACAACAGCAACAACGATAACAAAAGCAACAAAAACAGCAACAACAGCAGGAGCAGGAGCAGGAGCAGCAGCAGCAACAGAGACAAATGGAAGTCTGTTGTACTCCAGTGTCCCCATGTACATGTACATGTATAAACTCACCAACAATGAACTGGTATTATTAACTTTTATCAGGGGTGGTGGAGTGTCTTCCAAAGTTGGGGGTGGGGGGGGGGGGCACCAACATCAAATGGCACTTTCTAGAATATAGGGACACCTACAAAGGAAACCTCAAAGCAGAAATATGTACCACGTTTAGACATTTTTTATATGTACATGTATATAACCCTACATTGTGATTACAATTTCATGGATGATTTCAATATTTGTTTATCTTTTTATGGTTGGGTGTCATGGGGGCATTTATCAGAGATGAAAAGGGGCACTTATGAGAAGGGGAAGGGGCTCTTATTAAAGGAAAAGATGCACTTATCTGAAGTAAAAGTGACACTTTGGGGGTACTTGAAAAAGTGGGGGGGGGGGGGGGGGGATACTCTGCCACCTGGTGATTGAGAACATCTGTTATTGTGTAAACACCTGAATGGTGTCAAGAGATGTTGTGGTCGAGTGGATATGTCACCGGACTGTCGATCACAAGGTCCACGGTTCGAGTCCCGCTGCAGCACTAATGTCCTTTGGCAAGACATTGATCTACATTTGCCACACCCAACCCAGGTGATGAAAATGGGTACCTGGCAGGAATTAATTCCTTGAAATGCTAGAGCGCCGTAATGGCAGCCATACTAAAGCCAGGGTAATAATCAGAGGCGCCAGGAGTGTGAAGTCTGACAGACATGAGCGCTATACAAGAGCCCACCAGTCCTTAAATCACTCCATTAGTTGCCCGTAGAAGAACATGTTGTTTTCAAGATTAGTTTGTTATTATTTCACTGTATACATGGCTCTGCTCTGCAGTACAACATCGGCTTGATCAAGCATTACTTTCCCTCTAGACAGCTACGTTCACAAAACTCTGGCTTACTTGTTATTCCTAAGGTTAAAACAAAATGGGCCTTCATTATGGAATACTCTCCCTCAATGAATTAAATATAGCAGTAATATCTAATTAATTTAGCTTATAATTGATTACCATTACCGTTCATGTCTGTACCTTTCCTATTGCACTTTTGTATATATTTATCATGTATTTCACCTCTTGCACAAGCTGCACCTGGAGCATTTGATTGTCAAGTGAATTTGGCGCCATACAAATCTTATGTATTATTATTATTATTATTAAATACCCCATGAAAGCCCACTACTATGCGTCTTCAACTTTTAGAAAATACCCATCGAAAATACACAAAGCTTGATAAAGAAAGAAAGAATTCCCATCATCCACTTAATCGAGTACTAAATTTCTCTGATTAAACATGTAGTTTTCATTACCGTTATATTGTTAAACAAAAGCTGATGGTATGCATTTCTGATATATGAATAAGAGCACTATGTGTATTTAAGAAGTTTCAATTCCAGATTTGTACTAATTTCATACTGGTAAAGCTTTATTCTTCACAATTCTGTATCTCAAACCACTCATGTAGAGTAAGTAAGCTTGGGGGCCTTGTTGCAGGCAGCTGCATTTTTCCACCCTCATTTGCATAGTTAGTTAAGTCTCTAGGCAGGGGGAAATTTTTTTAAAACTGTCCATAGTGATCAGGACGAATGTTTTGAATAATGTCAATATTGAACTAGTAGGATCTAGTTTCTTGAGAGCATCACATGGTCTATGGAGCTGCATGTCGCAATACAGCCATAAGGAGCTGTAAGACATTGCAAGCCAGTTGCAAGGCATATGCACAGTTGTTACCAGTTCACCTAAAGGATTCTGGCAGGCAAGATGGTAGTATGTTTGTGAGGAGGGTGCAAGGACGTGTGAGTCATAGATAAAGGCCTTCCACCGGATCGCAGAGCCTGCATGGCGGGTTGTGACCATGGCATTAGCTAGGCTACCAGTAAGGTAATACTGTAGTGAATGAATTCCAAGGAGGAGCTCATTTACTGTACCTTGGTTAAAATTGTCACAAAACTATTGCCATCTAATCTCTCCCTTGCTTCTCTCTTCCTCTTATTCTCTCTGCCTTTATCTATGTCTTTTACTCTATTTCTCTGGTCTCCCACTTTATCTCTGTGTATATATTAAAAAAGATTCTGTTTTACTTTTTGCACATTTATATTCTTAAATTCCATCTGGCTTTTATTCTTGTTGACTTTTCTTAGTGGATGGTAGGCTAGGGCAGTATGTCTGTATTTTTCTTGTCTATTATCATTTGAAACTCGCATTCTCAAAATCACAGTCATATAAATTGAGACAACTTGTAAATATATGTATATTCTTTTTATTACTATTTTGAAATCTATGAGAATCTATGAAAATAAATATCTGTACAATTGTACATAAACATGATAATAGAACTTGTGTGTTTTGCATTAATGTATGTGTAGTAACATTTACAGTAACTTGAATGTACACGTAATCCCTGCATCACAACGTGAAATCTCTTGCATTTACCATATGAATTCTAACAGCAACATTACGATCCGATCACGACCAGAATTTATGACAAATTGTGAGGCAAGTCTTCCAGTCCAAGAAAAAGCCCAGTAGATTCCAAGCTTGGGTCTTGTGTGCTACTGGAAGGCTTTCAAACTTACAATATCTCTAAGGTATATCTCTTAGTTAACAAGCATTAATCTTTATTCTAAAGAAAATACATTCTTAATGCTTTCATCCATCTAGCCTGAAATCTCCCTACAAATATGTTTGTACTTTGTAGTAGTCTTGTAGTTTGTGCGATTGGCTTCAATCATTAGGATCTCAAGTTAAATATACATCATGTATCTCCTCCCAACTATATTTGTTTTGCTAACCAGCCTCTGCCCAAAGTTAAATGTATGAAAACAAAGATCTTACTTTCTCTCTGATGTTCATTTGAGAAGGAAGGTTTTGCCTATTTAGCTGCAAGTTATCAAGCACATTTTATATTTAGTTTTGATACATGTATAGTAAATCAAACATCGCTATCAGCCTAAATCTCGTAAGTTGAAACAATAGACACCTACCAAAACCAAACAACACAAAATCATCAAGCCCTTTAATTTTCACATTACATTTTCACACAATAAGTAGGACTAATGTATATATACCTTTATGAATATGAATATGATTGATCTATTTGGCACTTCATAACTACATTACCTGCAGCAGTGTTATAACCTTATAAAAGTTTGGCAGTGTACTTTAATAATGGCTTCATTTTCATCATTTTTTTCCCTTGTAAAAATTAATGTTATTCAACATTTGTTGCTTTAATTCCTTTGCCCACAATTCTGTTAACACATATGAACAGATGTACATTTATACTTGTATCACATTTTGTGTCACTGTCAATTTTCTATCGCCATCTGATGGTTACACTATGATCAATCATAAAAGTTTTCTTTGGTATGAGCCGGCTTTGTTTCGCGTCCCTTTGTCATCATGTTTGACCATCCACTTATTATGCTACAATCATCAGAGAAGTTTTATTTAGTTTGAGCCTGCTTGGTGGGACGCTTCTGCATCATCTTGACAGCCCGATGCTTCTGAATAAACTCCTGGAGCCTGGACTTCTTGACGCCCCTCTTGAGCTGTCCTGCCGGTCCCCCTGCGAGCGGGTTGTTCATGGTATCATCCGATGACTGGTTGCGTAACTGGATCTCCTGTAAAGACGCGGGTACTGTTGGATCCTTCACTGGGGTCAGGTTGGTGAATGGGAGGGACGAGTACACCATCACCTGCACACAAACAAACAAATATCTCTCATCAATCTATACCTCATGTTATTGGGATCCTTCATAGTGTCCACTATTCCTATTTATGGGCTGACAGCAATGACATTTTGTGTAGGCATACATTCGATTTCTGAACAGAAAACTGATCACCCTTGGCTCAAAGAGAGAGCTTTGCAGCATTCCTGGGGGGTGTTTCATAAAGCTGTTCGCAAAGTTACGCATGACTTTACGAACGACTCGTATATGAAAAGCCAAATGGAATGCTCAATCATTATTGATTATTATTTATTAAGTTGAACTGTGCAGATGTAGATTAACATTCTTATTATAACAAACATTTTTAATGCAAACAATATTTTTTGCCATAATTTAATTGAGGTTATTGGAAATATCAGAAAAAACTTTGGGCATCCTATCTGGCACTTCATATACAAGTTGTTCATTAAGCCATGCGTAACTTTACAAACAGCTTTATGAAACACCCCCCAGGGGTGATTAGGCAGATCAAAGGTATTTTGGTAAATTGAAAGTATGCACTGACATTTTTATTGTTAAAAATGTGTGAAATATTGCCCCTTTTGAGTGGTGGGGGTAGTTTGTAAAGCGTGGAGGAAATTATGGGCCAACTTGGCAAAATTTGCTCCTACATCCAGTTTTATTGCCATTTAAAACTGATCTACAGTGACGCCCCTGAAAGTTATTTTATAGCAATTTTCCACAATGCATATTGTAACATTTTGGTTTGGATTACGACAGAAAAAATTATTTTCAATTATAATTTCAGTCAGTCTGTATTCATATCTACTGCTGATGAGTCTAAATAAATGTGAAGATGAAATGTTATCCAAAGAAGTGAGAAGGGGGATGGCTGAAAGGAGAAAGCAAATTTAGAGTATTGAAAATGACTATGGAAAAAATGTTGATGGAGCTTGTTTAGTAGAAGCAAATATTAACCTGACTGTGGTTGTGTCTGATATCAGGAAGAATGGGAGGCATCTTGTGTCTGGTCTTTGGTTTGTAGGACTTTCCAAGGATGGAGCTTGTGCCCCAAGATGACTGCCTCTTTTCTTCTGCTTGTTCAATATCATCCACACCATCGCTGTTTGAATTGGAATCTTCAAGATCATCTTGGGGGATCTGCTTCCTTCCAACCACCATCATGATTGTCTTCGCAAGTCTGTCAATCAACAAACAAACCATCAATTATTATGAAACATTTCCAAACACAAGTGCAATATGTAAACATCAATTTGATTTTGTTTACTGGTACATTTATTTTTGCTGAAATTAGTATTTTTATGAGTTTGGGGTATTTGATGTACTTTGATACCTGTCAATTTTTGTTATTTTCTTAAATACGTTCCTGTTTCGGCAACACAATGCTGCGTATGAATAAAACAGTTGAGTTTAAATTGTATACTTACTTCCATCTTGGCATGTTTCCTCCATTGAGGACCTTGAGTGTGATAGCTGAAGCTACTCTTTGGACATCACGTGGCATCACTCGGGATAAACCTCGAGGGTCAATCTCATCGGGCAGCTTGGGCCAACCGCCTTTCTGACCAAACGTACCTGGACATGAAAAGGAACAAGACCACGTAAAACAGTGATACATAGACAGTATAGAGTTGAAATGAGGTGCCTATAGAGAATGCAGGGAATTAGTTTGGTTATGAAAATCAGCAATTATTGAAGACATGCTACAAGGAGCAAGCAGAGAGAGGAAACTATTGAGCACTACAGAAAACATAAACTTGTATATACCAGACTTTTGATGAGAGGATTACCAAAATTATTACTTGAAGGAATACATGTAGAAGAAAAATTAGAAAGAGGTAGAAAATCATTCACTTCGTTGGACATCATCAAGCAATGGATAGAACTTTGATATGGAGAGATCTGAACAAGGACTGAGGATCTAAAGAAGATGGAGGTAAATATCCACCAACCCCGGCCTCAGGATGGTTCCAGATGATTGATAGAGTATGGTACAATGCAGGTTTTCACTTTACACTGATTGGAAGATTGATGGATTGATTGACTAATTACACTTGAAAAACTAGCACCTACCGATGTATCGACCGCATACCGTCCAGAGCCTTATGGAGCAGTCGACACTTCCTGTGATGATCAGACGTTTATCATCGGCAAAGTCAATGAATGTGATTCCCTTGAGATGAGCACGGAAGGAATTTAATTTAGGTGGAAAGAGCAGGGTATCCTTTGGGTTACTTTGGGGTGGAGGTTGCTTCAAGTTGGCTCGAGATTTCATCTCCATCCGGAATGAGAGCTGTTTGAGTGCGCTGTTGCCTGATAGGTATGGGTACTTCCTTTCCCGGTCGCTGTAGTCCACTTCTATATTTTCTCGCGCACGACGAGCCATCTCGCGCTTACCGATGCAGTACTCTGCAATGTCCCATACCTATTAGAGAATACATTTATAAAGATTCAAGCTAATTATACACTGAAGTTGAAAAATTACTGAACTGTATAACAATAACATGTGCAAAACTATTTGAATTGTAAATGTAAATTTGCTGGGACATGAATGCCCTAGAAAGAATCTTTAGACCTCCAATCTTTGTTTTAATTAGCTGTCAGATTTGGCTTGAATTATCATTTATTGGAAGAACCTTTCACAGTGTATTGCACGTTTTGATTTCAGGATTACAAAATTGCAATTTTTCATCAAAAATAAAGTACTGTAGAACAATGATAGTCTTGGATTTGCCGCTCACGGAAAGGAAAAAGTTAGGAAAAAAGTCTGTTCGTCACTCGAATCATAAGGATAAATACCTTGATGTAGCCTAATGTATCAGCTGTAATGAGGATCTCATTCTCTTCATCCGTGGCCATTGCTAGCACTGCTTCCCCTGGCTTATGAGCAGCATTAAATTGACCTAGAAGTCCTCCTTTGTGATGGATAGACCAAGCCCTGACCCAGCCATCAGATCCACTTGCCATTAGAGTCGCTGTATCTTTGTCGTTTGTCCGTGATTGCAGAAATAAAAGCTAAAAAGGAAGAAGGCATGGTAACAGTTGATTCTTTAACTTGTATTTCCATCTTTAACATCACAAAATTTGGATACTCTTAATTGATATTACAAGAGCATTCCTGCCACTTCACAAACTAAAGATATCGAGGGTACCATGTAAACCTACAATTGAAATTGGAATTGAATTTATATATTCTTATATGAAATTTTACAAAAAAGCAAGAAAATAAAGGAACTGATCCTGAGAGGCAGGATCTTTGTTACAAGAGACCATCTATTACTCTACCTTATCAACTGAAGCTTCATGTTTCCTGACGTATTCATCTTTGTTCTTTGCACCTAGACAGTAGGAACTCTCTCGCTGTGGGCGTGTATTTGGGTCCTTGTCTCTCCTCTCTTTTGCTTTGATATTCTCCTTTTCTCTTGAGTCAGATTCGTTCTTCTGCCGGGATTCTTTGGTTCTTGGTCCAATACTTTCGGTAAAGAAGGTCTGTGAATCTTGTTTAAGGTTTGCAGCCCGCTCGTGTATTAGACTAACATTCTGAGGATCTATTTCTGGTAATTTAGTCTTCTCATCCTCGTCATTTGTGACAGACATCTTCGCAATGTCATTTGATAGACTTCCCTTGTCACCATTATCTTGGACTCCCTCCCCATTCAGCTTATCCTTAGAATCACTTCTTGTTGTTGGTAGCCTGGATGAGCTACTGGAACAGACTGATGCGTCACCAGTAGTATGGAAGCTTGTCTCACGGGAAACACTCAGCATGCGTGACCCCGTCTGGGGTTTGACCCCCTCAAAGGCGTTCAGCTTGCAGAGAGGGTGCGCCGTTTCTAAAGACCACACCCAAATATCGCCGTCGTAAGACGATGTTGCGAGTGAGCGACTGGTATTTGAACACGCAAGACTGAGGATATCTTCGTTGTGCTTGGCTGCCCATTGACGCGTGTCTTCATCATCGTCTGAATCACTGAATCCAAAAACAAAGAGAACTCATTATAACTTATGTACTTTTGCAATTTCCTTGGGTAACAATATTACAAAGTTACATGAGAATATGATTTGATATATGCCTCCTTTCCCCATCTACCCAATGTCCAAAAAAAGAGGGAAAAAGAGCCCAAAAAAAAGAGGTATAAGTTAAAATATTAATAATGTTGATCGAAACATGCTGTGACAAGCAACATCGAATACAGAAACATAACAAATCAAAGAATATGCCCCTTTTCCCTGTCCCTTCTCTAAATATCGGTTTAATTAAGAAGCTTTATCATTTGCCAAATCGTTGTTGATATGTTCATTCCCCATCAATCCTTGAATAGAAATAAAACTTACATGTAACTTGTAATCAGCTTATTCCAGCCGGCTGTGACAATACGCTGCTTAGGGCATGCGATCCCTGTCACCTATTAAAAACAAGACAACATAAACTTGTAACAGACAATTTTTATTCTCTTATAATTCACAAATAATTATGATCTTGCAATTGAATAATCCACCAAATCAAAACATATACATTGCTTAAATTAAATCACGAGACAGGGAGGTTTTTTTTTTGGTGAAAAAATAAATATTTGGTGCAGGATATAAAACAACTGTACTCTGCCTTCTTTTCGAGGTAATATTAATAACTATATGGGCCCCGGTGACTCCAATAGTACTCTTGCCCATAGTTTCAAAGAGAACCTCTCAAGACTATACTAATACTGGGTGATTCAGAAATTTAAAAGGAACCTTATACAGAACTTTAAAGTGTCAAAAAATTAGTCTCTTCCATTAAAAAAGGTTAAGTATGTAACACGCAAAATCAAACAGAAGTCCCTATAAAAATAATGTATGATTTTGACTGGATGAAATTCAGCTTGCTTTTCAACTTTTCAGAACTAGAAGGCAATTAACTTATATCATTTCATCAAGAGTAAACGCCTTTTTGATTCTCCATAGACGGTTTGATCTTTTCGGGTAGCATTTGATCACACTTTTTTTGCAAGAGGGACTCGAGTTTATACATGATTAGCTTTACCTCCAGGTCATCAAATGTCTCCAGTTCTCTGAGGCAGGCCCCATTGTTGAAGTTCCAGATCTTGACTGTCCCATTCCTACCTCCCGTGATCAGACGACGACCGGTGGGGTCGAAGGTCATTGCTGTGATCTCGGCACACTTTTCCAAGCCCTTCTCCATGTACTTATGAGCGTTAGAGAACTGAATAGTCTTAGTACCCGTGGCCAGGTCCCAGACACAGACTACAGAATCATGGCAACCACTGACAACCTGGTTGAAGAGACTGTTGTACAGACAATGTGTGATGGGTCGATTGTGTGACGTCATCTCGTCTTCGTCGCGTTCCACCTCCCACTTGTGTTCTAGTAAGGCAAGCTGTTAACATAATTATGAATGAATATTAATCAACTGTACCAAGAATATAAACATTGACCGTTTTTATAGGACATTTCTTTGATCAAAATAAAACTTTTTTCATGAAATTTCAATTAAATTATTATTCTTCGACTACTTAATTGTTGTCTTGAAAGTACCTATTAATGATGTGTTGTTGTTCTGTAGCAGTTATAATAAGCTGGCAGGTGCTGCATAAAGGATGTAATTATAAAAATATACAGATTTGTTCCTGTTTTGAAAAATCATTTTGTGAATTGCACATATATCATCAGCCATACATTTTTTAGTGTGCGTGCATATGTGTGGGTGTGGGTATGTGTTTATTACTGACGTTTAAAAATGTAACGTTACCTTGGTTTGAATGTAGTTTGTGTGATTAATTCAGAGTTAATGATCATAATGATATTCAGTCATTATATAGCGCATGTTACGTTATCAACAATTTTAAATCTATATGCGTCTGGAGGACTTTGGCCAACCTAAGCGCTCAGTGCATCAGAGAAATAAAACCTACCAGGTAGCCTACCCATTCCCTTCACATAAGTCGATAGTGGCCAATGGATTAATGTCTTGCCGAAGGACGTTTGTGATGTAGAATTAGGCCCATACCTGTTTCAGGTTACTTATTACCAATTAGACCACAACACCTCTACCTTACCCCTTTAGTGATGAAAATGATGAAAGATTTAGGGAGGTTTGTTAATACCTGATTTGTTCCTAGTATAAGAGATCCTGTCTTAGCGTGGAAGCATATGGAGCTGATAGCATGTGGTCCTAGGTCGATGTTCCTGGGATTGATGTTCTGAAGACATGTCTGGTCTCTCATGTCCCACACCTTGATACCCTGTAACATTAATCATTGATAGTCATGGTAATATTATAATTAGTGATTTTTATGATGATATTTATTTATTCATCCATATTCCTCAAATTATTCAAGTTTATGACAAATATTTACATTGATTTGAGAAGAAAAAAAGATCATAATGAACAGATTGCGATCTAGAACAATATAGTAGTGGGGAAAATGTGGGGGTCTACTGAGAATCTCATAGCTTCTTGGTGATTGTACCTTGTCTTTTCCAACACTGATGATCTGCCCATGCTGAGTATTCACAACCACAGATACAACAGCCGACGTATGTCCCTTCATGACTGAAGTCGCCTTGGTAGTCACGTAAGGGTTCCATGTTCGTACAGACCGATCCATCCCACCAGTCACTAAAAAGGAAGAAGAGAAAGAATGCGGGGATCTTTTGATTATATCCCAGGTCGAAATTCCAGGAGATTACTGGTCTCAACTGGTACCAGTTGGAAACCAGTAGAAAATACAAGTTTGAACTAGGACCACTAGAATATTAAGAACAAATGAACAACCAACAACGGTCTTGAACCGTTCATTAAGGTTGAAATTAACTCAGAGGTGCCATTCAATAAAGAATGATGATCCAACTTTGCTACAGGTTTATAGCAACAAAGGTAGTGTAGGCCGGGTTAGAGCTGCAGTTGAGTTTTAGCTAGGTCAGCTAGGGATAGTGTTTCGTTCAGGGTTGAATTGACCAGAGCATAATATCTTGTTCAACAAGATAGTGGAGAGATGGGGAAATCACATGAAGATGTGGAACAACCCGTGACAAAAGTGAAGAAATAAATAATATTAGGCTTACATCATATCACTTACAGTTGCAGATGCTAACGGCCATTTATTATGAAGAGAAATTATAAATGACAATAACGCTTTAGTTCCTCCTATTTCTGTTTTTATATTTCCAGTTGATACAACTACGTGAACCAGGCGCGTAGCCAGGGAGGGGCGGTGGGGGCAGTCGCCCCCAAAAAAAACGCCGGCCAAAAAAAGAGAGAGAGAAAGAAGAAAGGAAGAGGACGTAGGAAGAAAAAGGATTGAGAGTCGAGAACGGTACAACGAATCGTCTCCTTTCTCGAATAATTTATTGAAACGTCAATAGAAACTGAATTTAGACAAGGATCAAGAGTCGAGAACGGTACAACGAATCACCTTCTTTCTCTAGTAATCTAATGAAACGTCAAAGCTTACGCGCATCACGCGGCAGGGGGGATATTCCCCCCTCCCTGCACCCACCCCCTAGGGAGCGCGCTCTGTAAGTGATTCACACGCTTCGCATGCTTATTACGGCCCCCCCCCCCTAAAATAAAATCCTGGCTACGCGCTTAACGTGAACCGTATTGTACAGATAAGGAAAAGAAATGTTGTGGTTTTATGATAAAATAATTATAGGCCTACTTACCAATAACATTAGAATCTTTGTCGTAGTCGAAACATAGGATTCCTTTCCTGATCTTGAAGAAGGACCCGCTGGAAAGGGAAATACATGTAGATAGGATTGACAAAATGATAATAATAATATATATAGTTAGGACAATCATTCATAAAAAAAACACCATGTGAGTTATTTGTATATTCTATCTTTTCATTACGTTGGCAGAAACGTTAGATAGAATGTATCATAGTGTATGTCACATAGACGTAAATTCAATGTTTTAGAAAAAAATCTTCTTCTGTTGAATGCCTCCACTCTCGGAGAACTGCGGGATATTGTGGATTTGCAGATAGATGGTGAGCGTTCAGATGAAGATATACACAAATGCAGTGATAGAATAGTCATTGCAATAATCATTTCATAGTTGAAATACCTTGAAAACTTCTCGGAAGTCATGCAAGAGAATAAAAACGTTATACCGATCTATTGGTATGAAATGAGCCTGTGTCTTTCCGTCTGCTCACGATGAGAAGGTCTGCACCTATTTATACTCAATCGTATAGATGCAGAGACAGGCTCATTGGCAGTGGAAGAATGCAAGGAAATCACATGTAACTTACGATTTCTTTCTGTCCAAATCACCAATGAACATGGATGTATCATTTGTAGTAGCACATGATACAAAGGAATTGAGGTTGCAGCAGTACTTCACTTTCCGAACCCAATCTTCATGAAGAGGCTGAGAGCAGAAACGAACAACAATAAAAAGCTGATCTTAGAAAGGTCGATGACAAAATTAATGATATGTATTTATCAGAACTGAATAAAGGAACTGAAATCGACTTTGAAATCAGTATAATTGGAAAGCTTCAGATTTATATCTGAACAGATACATTAAGTAGATGGAGCCATTAAGATCATTGAGTTAAAGATAAAAGTATATATAATTAATGTACCCACCGAGAACTTGAGAACCTGTATGCCTTTGACAAGACCTTTAAGTAGTTCCTGGAAGGGTACTCTCCTGGATCCAATTGACTTGGCGTTCTGTGCTCCGAAGAGAGCCGATCCGAGTGCCTCCTGAAACACGATGCAGTATACCCCACCTCCAGCATCACCGAACACAAGAACTGCTTTGTTCATATTGCGGGGATCAAACCTGGATAAACATATAAACAAATTCATGAGCTTTGAAATTGTAAGCCATTTGATTTAAGAGTAAAAAAACAAAAAGGTTAAATGACTGTTTTCATACTTTTGATATTAAAATCATCAATAATTTAAAAGTCTTCTTAATATAAGAACGCTTTTATTAACTCAAGTGTGCACATCTAAATAAAATTCTCCAAATGTGCTGTGCCATCAAGAGAAGATGAACGTCTTTGAAGATTTTTTATCAGGATGGGATGCGGACAAGCATCTTACATTGGTGTATATATCTAGCAAAAGTCGGAACTGGCCCACGTACCCTCCCCCATTTGAAGTCCAATGAAAAGTAAAAACAATCAAAACTTGCAAATGATCTATGCCATTTGAGTTGGGGCAGCTTCGGTGTATCCCACGTCCCGCCAACCTCTTGCTTATCTACTGTCTTGATCAGTCAATATGGTTAAAAGTAATTGTTCTATTTCAGAGCAAGAGAGTTGGGAATGCACCTTTATTGTAAAAGGGGCATTTTTCCAATCTTGACACAACTGCATGGGTTGGGGATTGAAGGCACGCCTATCCTCCAGTGGTGTAGTGTGAGTCAGTCCAGCCAGTGAAGGGGCACTGACGTCATGGGGGGGGGGGAGCGTGTCATACTCTGAAAAATAAATCAGAATTGGCAGGGCCACTACATGGAGAGGGTGCGGGAGGGGGTCATATTGTTTTCTTTTCTCGCCCTTTTCTTCCTTTCCTCTCTCTCCCCTCCCCCTTTTTTTTCTCTCATCTAATTTTGTTCTCTCCACCATTCGATGTGTGTGTGTGTGTGTGTGTGTGGGGGGGGTGACCCCTGTAGTTGATATGCATACCGTGTTATACATGTATTTCCTTACCAATAATCCATGGTGAGGGCGCAGTGTTCCAAACCAGCCACTTGGAAACATTTGTCACATTTACTTGCGTTGACATCAAAGAAACCTGTATTAGATGGACAAGACGTATGATCAGACCGTTATTAAAGTCTTGGATTGTCATGCTATTGGTGCCTATCAAGGATCATTGTGATAGCAATGTAAGTTAAAATCGCATCATTTTATTGAGTATGTGAAAGTGAAACAACACTTAAGCCCGCATTCTGCTAAAGTTTAAACGCAACGCTGGTCTTTTGTTCAAAATTGGTTTTAAACAAGGGAAGTTATATAGTTTGGGGTCGAAGTTTGCTTGCTCAAATTGATCTTAGACCCATGGTCGGGTTCATCTGAAGTACTAGAATACGGACCCCTACTTTATGTAACATAATTTATACCGATGGAAACGATAATCTGTGATATGCAGTTGATAACTAGTTGAAGTCTCAATTATAATTAGGCCTGTAATGAGTATTACTGTCATAGTGTCATTAGATGACGTTTCAAGCCTAGCCGACCTCATTAGCTACCAGGCAGTTCGTGATAACAAGGAATCAAGGATCCTTCACTTCTGGTTATCTTTGAAATAATTGTGTGCCTATCCATGATATCATTTAAACACCCAGTATGATATTATTTCTGTATTGTGCTTCGTCAATCATTGATCAGGATCACAAGACTTTCAACAAAAGAGTCGAGTACAAAATTAATTTTGCTTGGTTTTGTAAGCAAAAATTACTTCGTAATTTCGCAATCATTTACAGAACCGATACCAAGAAATTTGAGAGACAGCATGAGAGAGAAAGAGAGAGAGAGAGAGAGAGAGAGAGAGGATGGGGGAAAGGGGAGATTGAAAGAGCAGTAGATATGGTGAGGGATTGAAAGATAGAGAGATAGTGAACTGAGAGAGAAATAGAGATGTGGATATATAGAAAGACAGAAGGAGAGCGGGGAATGACAGAGAGGGAGAGAGGAAAAGAGATAGAAAAAGAAGGGTTGGTTTTAAAATCTTAATAACGCCATACTACATTTGAAAGCTTATAACGAAGTGACCGGCATTTCAATTTTTGACAATATTTCTTAAACGAATTTCCCGAAAATTATGCATATAGTAGGATGTATTAGTTAAATAATTTTGTTCAAAATTAATGAGCCGCAAGTATGTCCGCAGAAGGTTTATCAACCAGAATCTTAAGTCCAACGCCGGTCAATGTTCCGTTTCATAGAACTTGTTATTCATTTTTTTAATTTAAAGTTTCCATAACTGTGATAAGCTACTGAAATCATTGCATTTGATTGTCCGGTAGAAAATTTGGCATAGCATCTTAGCATTTCTTACTGATAATTTTTATATTTATGAAACAGGATCCTGATTTCAAAAACAAACTTACTGATTTCTCTCTCTGTAGATGATATAGCAATCATGTTAACATTTGGCATGCATATCATGTCTGTAAGCCACATTGCTTTCGTCTTTTCTCGAGGCAGCTCCAACTGTTTGGATAGAGATCAATCATGAAGAATAATATATTTACTCAATTAAAACGACATACATCGGTTAGCTCCAAACTTCAATCACTTCATACAAACTCATGATACGTAAATGCATTTCAGGAATGCTGGAGTGTCAAGTATCAAGAATAAACAGAAATAAATGCCTTTAATATTTGAGATTATTATGGCAAATCAAAACGCTTAAGAATGTGATTTTATTCAGCAATATTGGAAACATCTTCATTATTTAAATAAAGATGATGATAGTGATGATGATGATGGTGATGATGGTGTTGGTAATGATGATAATGAAGATGACGATGATGGTGATGATTTTTGGGAACTAGAAGTATTTGAAGGGGAGGGAAGTGGAGGATAATACAGACCGTGACCGATTTAAGGAGATTCATCTCCATGTTCCAGAAGTTAATGATGCCTTCTTTGCTGACCGAGATATGTCTTCCATTAGTTTCGCCTTCATCTGCAATACCCCCGTGACGCAGGTTGATGGTCTGATAGAAACCGATCTTAGCAATCATGTCACGGTGATTACTAAATTCATGGAAAATAAATTACACAAAGTTAAAGTCGTTCTTTACTAAATGATTTGATGTGTAGTTAAACAAAATGTTTGGATCGAAAACAGATTATTGGCAAGAATCCGAATCATCAAATGCATCTACACACATTAGTTTGTTTTTTAACCTTTCAATATTATTTTTGTATAAAGTTATACTTAGGCTAAAAGATTAAACACTCTTTTTTCTCTCTGAATCACGACGTCACTGACGTGCATTTTTATTTTTTCTATACCCTTTTATGCTTAATCAATGAAACCTTACCTGAAGATGTTTTTCAGAGGTTTGGGAAACGGAATCTGCACGTTAAAAAAAGATAAAGAAAACATCAAATACATAGGTTTACTTTAAGATAGAATGAAGTAACAGACTGGTATGCATGGGGAATTCTTCGATAAAACTGAAACCTAGTTGTCAACCTTGTCATCGGAGCTAGACGTAGTCTCAAAAGGATCAGCCAGTGGTATATAAGAGACTGAAGCTATCTGTTTACTCAAGGTTAAGATCATACCAAACTGGTTTAGAAAAGCAGTCGGGAAATAATGAAATAGACCGTATCAAGGAAAACATACTTAGTGCCATATTACTGTTGAAAGCCCATGCACTGGAGACATATTTCTGTTGATGGTAATTGAGAGCAATTAAGTACCATCGAAAGGTTTTTAAAAGTTTAAGTAGGCATATACCGGCGAACTCATTGTCGCTGAATACACTTCAAAGTGCTCATATTACATGCTAGCGAGGAGATATATGGGATACACCGACACCATAATAATTGTTAACACTATTTCCGCATCTATAATTTATATAAAGGAGTAACACCGTTTAATTAGCGTTTACTGAGCAATAAAACAAATTGGCTTCTCGGCTCAAGGGGGGGGGGGTCCAGAATTGTCTCAAAGCTGAAATATTAAAAACGGCGAGTTAATCCCTACACGGTTCCTCCTGACATGATAATTCAAGTCTTTCCATCCATCTCAGCGGCGGGACTGCATGGCAGGAGGGTTTTAACTAGAAGTTCCGATGTGATTTTTATGCGCGTCCCCACCCCCCCCCCCCCTCACAAATATCCGTCGGCCAATCACACCCCTTTAATCTTTCGTGCGTTTGTTCCTTTAGCTTTCGATTATATTGTCTGATTTCGGCGATCAATTCATTCTTGCGATTTACTCCGATTACGGCAAGACGAAAAGCTTTAGTATGCTCGTTTTCGTTGCTTTTTCGATTTTGCAGTCCCTATCCATATTCGACCTCTCCGCCTATAATCTAGGCGGGACGGGAAGATCTAGCATCCCCTTCATAAGTTACCTAATTTAAATCATAACAATTTCAAAAAGCAGCCTGTGCTATTTAATTAACTGATTGGCCTGTATTTAAACTTCATATTATGTTGTATAATTTAATGAACGCTGATGAATATGAGGACCAGTTCAGCAAGCCAGTGGCGGATCCAGGGGGGGGGGGGGGGGGCCCGGGCCCCCCCACCCCTTGAGAAAAAAATCATGTAAAATCACGTGATTTTTACCTTTTTTGGGGGTTGGGCCCCCCCCCCCCCCCTGGCGCTCAAGGGGGGGGGGGTGCAAATTGAAATTTTTTTGAGGATCAAAAAAAAAAAAATGTGCTCACTACCCCCCCCCCCCCCCCCCCCCCCCCTCCCCCCCACTGAGCGAATTTTTGGCCGGCGCGTTTTTCAAATTTTCGGGAGCAAAAAAAAAAAAAAAAAAAAAAAAAAAAAAAAAAAAAATTGTGCTCTGTACCCCCCCCCCCCCCCCCCCACTGAGCGACTTTTCGGCCGGCGCGATTTTCAAATTTTCGGGAGCAAAAAAAAAAAAAAGTTGGGCCCCCTCCCCTAAGAAATCCTGGATCCGCGCCTGCAGCAAGCACACATATATTAGCTATAAGCTATACAGAGACTGCTCAGAAAAACGATCCCATTTCACATAATATTCACATCGACTTGAACATGGGGCTTCGGATGACAATGGCCAAGAAGACAATAATAACGATTATTTGTTATTTTTTGTAAACATTATGATCAGTTGTCTATTCTCCTTCTTCTGTTAATCTTCAAAGGGCTACGTTTCCTATCATGAAAATGAACCAAAGATTACAAGTGGTGTGAGGAGGACAACTTTTGTTTATTGGGATAAGGGCATTAGATGCCTTAGAAGTAGTCCCTGAAAGTTCTCTGGACTGTCCCGGGACTGTCAGCGTAGATTACATTTTGAAAGATTGTTCCCTATCTTAATCCCGCTCACCATCAATCCTAGCGTTGGCATTCTTAATGATTTAATGTGGTGACGAAACATTGTTGTAAAATGAAAATAACACAGACCGTCTATACTTTTCATCATCATTATCATCATTAAATTCAGCATTATTTCCTTCATACGCCTTGCAAAAGTATCCTCATCATAAATCAATGCATATTAAACACAATATACTAAGGGGTTGGATATAGATTGTCAGGCACAGCAAAGCACATCAAACATGGACTAGACATAATTATTAATACATGTATAATGACATGGAAGTCTAATGCTTCACACCAGTATACAAATATAATGAAACCGTCGTTGTTGTAAAATGTAGGTAACACAGGCTATCTATGTCATTCATCATCATCAGCCATTATTAAAGTCAGAATTTTCCCTTATACGAGGGGTTACTGACTTCGGCGCCATGACAACACTTCCTCCCCCTCTTCTTGTCTCGAGCATCCTTCTCATCAATGTAATTATATGAAATTCTCTTTGAAAACAAAAAATTCAAGTTGATAAAAAAACACAATCAAAAGTTTCTATTGCAAAATAATGGATAAGGCATACAACTCTAAGCTAGTTAGATATTATATTCACATCACATCTATATGACATCGAAACTTTGAGTTTACTTACTCGCTGTATACCAAACAAAAGAATGTAGCATATCAGATAAAATAAGAAAACATTATTATGACTCGACGTGGCAATGTGGAAAACAAATTTTATCTTCTTTTTTTGTGTACAATCATTCAGTTTAATTAATTACTAAGTGCTAAGGACATTCTTAGGGTACAAATAGTGGCCTTGGTAAACCAAATGTTTGCATACATTGTTAATGTGTTACAATTATGTCATAATAATTTATTTTTAAGAATGAAATTAAAACATTTTGAGGTTTAATTGTTAACCTTCCTTTTTGTCAGGTTTTCCCTTTTAAATGCTTCACACTTTTTGTTATCTTCCATGGATTTACCAGCCTTATTCTGTTAAGTTTTAGAGCCTCAAACTTTCAAACATATAGCTTTATATTTCATGTTCCATCAAACTTCCTCTTTCACTCAAACGTGACGACCAGTCAATTGCGACAAGCAACAATTTGATTTAGCAATCCCTATAATTCAAGAAATCCTATCTTATGAGCTCCCACTGAAGCAGTAACGTATTATGAAACTACACTATAAAATATGGTTAACATGTAAATCAATGAGTGTTTTATTTTTAGAAAGATCTACGCCTGTTTAATGATGAAGGTTAAGTCTTTAGTAGTAGATAATATTTTTGTTTAACATATTCCTGACATGGTACGGCACAAAAACGATCATACATGCGTTACATCTTGTTTGTACTATCTTATGAATAAACACATTTTTAAGTAAAGATAATTCCTATACCGAAAACAAAAAACAATGTGAATCGGACGTATTAATTGTCATACATTTTTAATATGTTTGAGATTCAATGAACAAATTACGTATCGTGTGTTATAAACAATCATGATGATGCGGGACTGTTTAAGTATAACTTACATCTTTAAATAGATTACTCATGTGATCTCTCTCTTGGTACTCCAGAAGCATGTAGGATAAATACTCGTCCTGTCAAGAATAACAAATTAGAACAACAAAAATACAGGTTTATCATCTTGGATTTAAGTGTTATAACAAATTTGGAGAGGATATTAAGGGGAAACACATTAAGATGTGTAGATCAGCTTTTTGTATCGGTTAAGATAAAGAAATCCCATTTCTATTTGATATTGGTGTGTATATCTCTGTTTTTAGTGGATACACTTATCTATCCACATTTTACACATAAACATGTATCAGGATAAGAAACATAAACAGGCCTAATTAACCCACTATTAGCATGATTAACAGTCACGTAACGGAGAATATTAGGATCTCTAACATCATCACCCAGCAATAAAGGTGTATCGGGGACGGGGGGGGGGGGGGGTGGGTCATATGGGTCTTAAGTATATGTCTTCCCCCCCCCCCACAAAACCCTGGATCCGCCTTTGGTTCTACAAAGCAACCAAACTGCATAATACTTCTTCCTTCACGTTTGTAGATATTTGTACCAAATCAATCTTCTTCTCTTTTTTTTTTTTGGGGGGGGGGGGCAACTCAGACTCAGGACTTGGATTATTTTAGGATTAATTGATCACATATTGTTAGAAAAAAATTATTTGGAACTTCTCAATGTATTGCCATTTTAAGGATTTTAAAGCTTGTACTTTTTTAAAAATGTATGGCGCCAAACGTAATGTAGTCATGTAACAATGATGGACATAAAATGCGCAGAAATAGTTGCCCCTTCTTTTCATTCATGTGGTATATTTTCAGGGCTTTGAATCAAAAGTTACTGATCCAAACCACACAATGTGGAATGCTTACCCCGAAAGGGATGACGCGATCGAATGATCGACGCCTCGTGTGCAACATGTCTTATTATAATCAAAGTTTGTAAAACGTTATGAGTGACTCTATCTATGAATGACATCAGATGCTATACTCACCCAGTCAACAGTTCCGTCGCAGTTTGCGTCAACTTTCATGAAGACGATCGCTAACTCCTTATCGTCAACCTGAGAAACAAACCACACAACATGTTATGATTTCAGTGTATACTGAATAGGCCGAAATGTAATTCTCACTCACAAAGTTTCACCCTTTACATGTTTTATGTTTTTTGTGTGTGCACAATTAAATCTACATGCGTCCAAAATGCATTGGTGCCCATAAAGTAAAATTACTTTTAGTTACCTCTTTTTATGAAATGATTATGCCAATAATTATGTGCTTTTTTCGTGATAGATAATATCTTCTCAGAACTTTATTGATCAGTTTAAAGAGTCATATAGATTGATCAATAACATTCTGATAAGATATAAACTTTATTTATCAAGAATTAACCATATTGTCACAGTCATTTTGATGGACAACGATTGGTTAAAGGTCAACTTGATTTTTGTTGAGTAGCTATATGTACATTTATTAATTATCATGAAGGAAATATAAAGGCGCGCTATTGCAAGATGAATTCACTTTGCTTTTTTTCATTCATGTGATAAATTTAAACTAATATGAGTTTGACAATAAAATAATAATCAATTTCTTAGTATTTTTTATATGACAGCGCATCAAACTCAGTTGATCAGAGAGGGAAAGAAACAGAGCGAGAGAGAGAGTCACAAACGCCTGCTGAGAGTTCATCATTTCTATATCGATAAATGATAACAGCGCATTGTTTCGTGGTCACTTTGCGATCTTCCAAAAATGTATATATATATTTTTTAATTTTTAATTTTGAAAGAGTCAAAACCTGACAACGCAGTCCTAATTTTGTCTTGCATTCTATTTCATTTAAGACCCCGAACTATTCTAATGCTTAAAGAAGTAAGAACATAATTTATGCTCCAATGTTTATTCATTGTTTGTAGTGCAGACAATCGTGATAAGGTATAGCCGCTTTGTCAACACAGTTAGGTTGTATAATAACCCTGAACATTAACCAGATCATTATATCGTTTAGCATGTAAAAAAAATCTATCGCAGTTAGTGTCTATAGAACAGCAAGTTAGTCGGGCAGATACGACAGATATTGATTGAGTAGTTTAATTATACGACAGTTATTAAAGGAGTAGTTTAATTATTAAGTAAAAAGAAAGGTAAAAAATCGGCACACAAGTCATGACATCCAATACAGGTGTGATAATTAAAAGTGAACACACAAAAAGTATCAGTATCTCAAAGTGAATTTCAGGGTACATGTAACTATGAATCATTTTAGATCACACTCTAAAACACCAAGTGTTAAATCAACAATTAATTACAAATTTAGAAGGACAATGTCATATTTCACTCTTCGCATGTTGAATACTTGGATGAACCGTTTTCGGTTTTACAATGGCTGTTCCGAAAGTTTTTACGGTTAATCAAGATGTATAATGTGTAAGAGAAAACATAACAGAAAATAAAGAACCCATAATTTTACAACATGAGAACATTGTGCTGTTGTTTGATCTAAACCATTAATCTATTGTTGCTGGTGTGTGAAAGGTGCAAATATTGTATACACGTCTCCCCCCCCCCCCCTGAAGGTTTGAATTTTCGAACATGAAATAAGGTTTAAAACCATGTTAACTTTCAGTATAACGCAACAAATCTTCTCTGCCCTTCTCTGTGAGTGTGACATACATACAAAGTACTTGGTACGGTAAAGAAGGGTGGCCGGGGAGAAGTGATGGGGTCAATATTTATTGTCATACCATTATAGGGAAATGGAAGACAAGAGATATAGGTTAGTAGTTAAGGTAAGATATCAGATAATACATGGTATTTTTGCTCTTAGCACTCAATGTGTTGATGGAAAACCCAAAAGGAGACTTACAATAATATGAGTGTGATGATACAAAAGTAACGTTCAGTGGAATGATGGTCTATAGATCAGCGTTTTTTTAAAACCTTTTTATAGTCACGGCGCCTTTTTGAGAAATAATTTTTTTCGCGTCACCCTAATCCCACAATCATTACAGAAGATTCATTTTCCATCACTTTGGTACACATCAAGTGCCATGTACACAGTTACGGACACATTTTGTTTTTAAAATGTGCGAGCGAGCGAAGCGAACGATCAAAATCGAAAATCAGTTTCTCATGCGGCACCACGGCTGAAAAACGCTGGTCAAGATATCGCCTTAATATATCTATATTGTATATTCCATACGAGGTCACACGATATATGTACATTACGAATATGTCCGTCCATTTGTCTTTTTTGCTATCAAGTATGATACCAAGATCTCTTACAGAAGTTTTTACGAAATCGCAAGGTAAAATTGACTACCTCAGTCTTCGACATATTTAGCATGAGTTTTGTCTACTCCGTAAACATACATGTACATAATTATTATCGAAGCTGCGTTTGACAATGTACGTATCATAGTCACACAATGTGTTTACGTTAAGTAATTTCCTATTAGTCTTTCTATTTAAAGGTATTACAAAGTTTAGGTATGGGGTCATGAATTTGGTTCAAATGAACATATTGGAAGCATATGCGGTCCTACAATATTCATTGATCGTTGTAGTTGAAATCGAGTCTAAAGTTATGAAATTGTAAATAATAAACTCTTTATGCTGTATAGCTCCCTCTCAAGGTCAAGATATTAATTTAGCTATGAAACAATGTTTCTTGACTAAAATCGACAGATTAGCTATTCCCGTTTAGATATTATATACCACAACTACATATTCTGAGATTTTCATGGTCGCAGCTACCATTGTACGGCCGTAGGCGCTATTTGAAATTTCTCAAAATTTACCGGGAGTACCGGTAAATTTTTATATTCAAGTTGTTTCGAAAGCAGAAGTGTTTTAGGGGCTAATTTGTTTAGTGCTTATAATACATCCACAGGGGCATCCAAATATATCAACATTGTAAAGAATTACTACCCACCCAATTTTCAAAAATTTCCCAAAACTTTGTATTACCTTTAAGATAAAAGTTTGGATACCAACGTTGCGGAAACTTGATGCCGGTAGTCCGAAGATTACCTAGCTGGCACATGACAGGAAAGACCTCGTCTCATAGGTCCATTGTAATACGAACCTAAATGTATCCGAAATTCTGGATATTTTACATGAGATCTGGAATACTTCACAAACGGTAAGTTGTTCAGTTTCATTCATTTCAAGTTTTGTTCTTATTTTGGGGGTTAACTTCTGATCTTTAAAACAAAACAAAAAATCAATGCAACACTCTGGCATGTCTGGAGCTGCCGAATGTTCGTTACATGTCCCGCCACCATTCATGATGATATTTTAGCCATTGTTTCAAAGTTTATTACAATTTAATAAACTTGTAGAAGTTGCATGTAGGCTTCCTTTACGTAGTTTTGGTTGCCAAATTTTGATTCGTGGATAATGGTCTCCATGTAAAACATTTTTATTCGCAAAGACGGGCATCTGTCAGTAACAAAACGACTGTCAGTATAAAAACGACTATAACTGCTACTTTCCCAATACGTTCATTACAATTTTAATTAATTGCTTAAGTTCCATGTTGGCAGTTTGAGTTGCCTAATTAAAGCCCACTGCACACTTGCCCAATCGTATGACTATTCAGATCCTCATTTTTACATGTTTGAATGTACGTTTCAAATTTAATGCTATTGCAAATTCTTCTAAAATCGGATCGTAGTCGGATCATATTTATTTATTTTATTAATTGAAATATATTTAATCAGGATAAAAAGAATCAGGTATACATTGTATAGATACAAAATATGTTTTACATATAGTGTCCTGTGAGTTTTAGTTTGATTCGTTTTTAACGGTTTCCCGTTGAAAACATTATTTATATAAATAAAAACGGGCACTCGAATATGCCCTGCTAAGGTAACGCCTCTAGATAACCGTTAGGGTATTTGGTATTTTGATGGATAATGGTGTTAGGGCTCAGTTTCATTTTGATGATATGGGTTTTTAAATCACTTCCCACCAAGTCAGTAATGAAAGAGTCACTTGTCATTTTGATGGCATGGGTTTGTATCCCACCGCTGCCACCATGTTAATAATGAAAGAGTCACCAGGCGTTTTGACGGCATGGGTTTGTATCCCACTGCTGCCACCATGTTAGTAATGAAAGAGTCACCAGGCGTTTTGGTGACATGGGTTTGTATCCCACTGCTGCCACCATGTTAGTAATGAAAGATTTACCAGTCATTTTGGTAGCATGGGTTTGTATCCCACCGCTGCCACCATGTTAATAATGAAAGAGTCACCAGGCGTTTTGGTGACATGGGTTTGTATCCCACTGCTGCCACCATGTTAGTAATGAAAGATTCACCAGTCATTTTGGTAGCATGGGTTTGTATCCCACCGCTGCCACCATGTTAATAATGAAAGAGTCACCAGGCGTTTTGGTGACATGGGTTTGTATCCCACTGCTGCCACCATGTTAGTAATGAAAGATTCACCAGTCATTTTGGTAGCATGGGTTTGTATCCCACCGCTGCCACCATGTTAATAATGAAAGAGTCACCAGGCGTTTTGGTGACATGGGTTTGTATCCCAGTGCTGCCACCATGCTAGTAATGAAAGATTCACCAGTCATTTTGGTGGCATGGGTTTGTATCCCACCGCTGCCACCGTATGTTATTAATGAAAGAGTCACCAGTCAGTTCAATGGCAATGCATGGGTTTGTATCCCATCGCTGGCACCATGTTAGTAATGAAAGATTCACCAGTCCATTTGGTGGCATGGGCTTGTATCCCACTGCTGTTAAAGGTGCAACCGCATACCCTGGACTCATTATGTTAGACATTGTTTAGAGCTGATAAAGTATACATGATTGTATAATATTGTAACATTTAACCACATCGATTGAAACAGTCGCATAATCGGCAAAATTGGTGGAAAAGTCTCGATTTTCCCGCTTCACCATAATCTTTAGTGCATGACGTCACAAGTGCAGGTGTCCAGTGATGTAGTGCATAACTAAACATAATGGATGCGTATTAAAGGATGTAGTGAGTGCTGCTTTGTAAATGCAGGTGATGGACTGAACAGTAATTACAAGGAACTGGTTAACTTACTTCATCCTGTTGTATGTAATAGAAGCATGCAAAACGAACAAATTTAATTATTATTGAAACGGATATATCAAAGAAACGCTTAAAGATCATGATTATATAGCACAGTATATGAAGAACGTAATAATCATTCACTGTATTCCGTCAACAAACCTTCTTTACTCATCCAGTAACTCGAGTCATAAGTGCCTCAGAATGAATATTCCTAACCGGATTAAATTAAGGTTAAACCATGTTAACAGCGGAGAAGTATGGCTCAAATTGATGCGTTATTACTTCGAACATTGTTTTAAATCAACATAGTGAAAAATATGAAATGATAGTGACCTGACTAAATGGTTTCAGAAAGTAAGATTAACCATTTAGGGGCTTTAGTTAGGAATATTTTATATTTTGTTCTTAAGTAATGGAATATTTTTGAGTTATTCTTGGTTTAAAACAAATCGTGATTACTACATGTGGCTATACAAACAACTTTAAAAATACATTAAATATGATATTGCAATAAATTTTACAACATAACGATCAATAGAGTATTGTAAGGGTACATCCACAATAATAAATACTTTGGCTTAAATGATAATAGAGAGATGCAATTTTACTGCAAGAAAATCGGTCATACTGACAAAATTGTTCATTCAATTATTGAGGGTTAAGAAGGTCATGGCTTTTGCGTTGAACGAAAAATCATTTATTGAAATTAGTGTGAGATTTTACTGTAAAGGAAGGATTGCTACATGCAGACTTACCATTCCCTCACCCATGATCTTACGCATTGCACCACGGAACTCATCAATATCCAAACCACCACCGCCATCTTCATCAGCTTCCTATAATAAACAAAATCAATGCCAAAACAACAATATTATAAAACAAGAGTCCAACTTGAGAGATTTGAGTAGGGAACAATTTGCCATGGAATATGAAAGGATATGTGCAATGCTCTCCAAATTTCATTTGCATCAAACAAAACAATATGTTCATAAAATGATTGAGCCTGAAACATAATTGTTGTATGATAGTGGATGTCGGCCATTTTGGATTTCTGTGATTTACACATCGAGTGGCTTTGAAAAAAGAGCACCTCGACTGATATTGACAGGTATACAGTCTAGGTCAACGGGAGTGTTTATGCAAAATTTGGTGCTTTTCCGCTCTGCCATGGTAATTTCCTATAGCCACCCCACTCTACTCCTTTCTCTTCTCTCATTTCTCCCCCTGTCTGTTTTGCCCCCTCCCCCTCTTCTCTAATTCTTTCTCTGTCTGTTTTGCCCCACTCCCTCCCCCTCTTCTAATCCTTCGATCTATAGTTGGTCTGATTTTAGCTAGCGAATTGATATTATTAAATAGAGTGTACTTTGCTCCCATTGGATGCTAAAATGAGTTAGAAGAGAAATGAAAGACAAGGTTAGTCACCCAATCTCAATATCGAGTTGTGATTTCAAATTCATTTCGCTATTTTAGTTTTATGTTTGCTTGGCACGCTGAATGTATATCTACCTCCCGTCCTCTCCCTGAGATCACATCCCCCGGGCAACACAGGCAATTGCATCAAGTATTTTTATGTAGTGGTCAGGCTTCCTGACATTTTATTGCTTAACAAGGTAAAACGAATTGAATTAAAAATACTTTTTAAAAGAATCTATTTCGGCAAATAAATGATATCGTGCTGCTCCATTCAGTGCATTTACACTAGATTGGTCAGTCTATTTGCACGCTCTTCTTTACAAGGATTCTGTTTTCTATGCTAACGTTCTTAACGAGAGTTTCTAGATTCTATCCACTGTTCCTTTGTTTACTATTTGTTATTGGAATTAGAAGAAGTATCTCAGTGGTTCACAAAGGATCGAGAGCCGCTTTTAAGATTTAAGAAGGGATTCTCATTGACAAGTGCGTCATCTCTCTTCTAAGCCCTAAATCCTCTCAAAGTTACAATACCTCTGTATCTATTCAATGGTTTCGTCTATAACTGAGCACCACTATAATATATACGGAAAGAACAGCTACTGTAGAATCGTTCAAGAGTCTTTTGAAAACGCATCTGTTTTGGTCACTTTTAGCTATACGATTGTAGTAACATAGTGCATTAAGATAGCTATTTTAACTTATTTTTTATATTTATTATAGAAAATTATACTGTTAAATGTACATGTATAATCAAATATTTCAATGCCGCCTCTTGTATCGTTCCAATAAAATGCTTCTCGTTGTTATTAAGTTTCACCGACATCAATAAGAATGAAGTTTGCGGGATTATGATTAGTAGTAGTTTGGGTCAGAGTAATTATTCTTTCGTTTATTCCAAGATTTTAATCTAGATATTGTTTTGATAAATCGTGAGGTTTTTGCCTCATAATATTATGGGAAGTAAAAAGATAATGTTTAACACATCAAAAAACTATTTCAAATAAAATCTATATCATTGACAAGAATCTTTCCGTCACGCCAATAAGGCTGAGGTAAATATGTGATTTTGATAATCTGACTTCATAAATCCATCATTAAAGAATCAAAGTGAAAATGTATTTGCATTGATGACTTTACAAATAAAAATACGTTTTAAATGAGTAAATTCAATGATTGATTGGTTATATACTAATGACTCTATAGTAAAATATACTAGTTTATGTAGAATAATTCCTATGGAATGGATGAAGAAGGGCAACCAGAAAAAACAAAAACATATTAAGAAAGAGCACAGAGACAAATAAGAGGACGAGAGAACTTGAGAAGAAGCAGAAGAAGAGGAACAAAATAATATAACATGCTCACCTCGAATATTTCCTGTAGTTTCTGTAAATGATCGTTGTTCATCTCATCTTCGAGGCGTGCTCCAACCTCCTGCTTACCCGACATCGAAGTCTTCGAACCCTGTGAATCAGAGTCAGAATCATTACTGTCATCGTCGGATATGTAACTCGATCTCGCCGTCATCCTGCTTGATCTCCCTCGCCATCCAGGCCCTCCACCACCACCACCACCACCACCACCACCACCCCGTTTCACCGACCCAGGGTCAGGAGTGTTGGGGTTCGAACTCAGATACATCTTTCGCTCGAGCCCGGATATAATATACCAGTTTGCACTTTATTACAAAATAAGGGTTATCTCCTTAAACAAATGCTGTTCCTTATAGGCTGATTTTCATTCCAAATCGAGTCGAAATACGTTATAAGAAAACATCTTAAGACACGTCGTGATGATCAAAGTGATACAATAAGTATCAGATGAGTGTGGATGGTTTAAAGTCTTCCCATGATGCACCGTGTTTTATTTACAGTGGTAACGGGGGAGTACATTGCTTGTCCAATTCTTGCTATTTCCTTTGATACTCCTCTACAGGTGAGTCCGTACGGTCAATGGAGGTCTTAGCCCGCTCATTTGCATGAATCTATAATATTGATCAATCCAATATAAGTTGATAATACCGTTACATGGTGAGGCATTGGTCTTAGGTCTTTGTCCGCTGGTGGTATAGACGGTGTATTTTGGATGGTCACACAATGTTCTGCGGTTAACCATCATCTAACCTTGCACGAGCAAGCTTTGAAGATTTGTCTTTTGTTGATAAACAGACTTTATGGTTCTATTACAATACATTGGCAGTGTTGATTGTTGAAAAGTGGGCAGAGTTATAAGGACAATAAGTAGCGCATATCGCAAATAGATAAAGTGCTCCAAATATTTTGGTATGTTGGCTTTTACCGAGCTATGCTGTCTGTAACGCATATTTCAATCAGTTATCAGTTTTTGTGTCTTCCTTTTTTCTTTTTTCTCAGTCAAGGTGTGCTCATAAGCAGTTATTATTTGACAAGAGGATCCTGTCCAAAACTTCTATATCGCAGAGATTTTATTTTGATAAAATAATATATTTTTCGGGAATGGTGGTATTAGAAAAAAAGATATACAGTATTGTCAACAAAACGACGGAAATGTTGTTGATATCTCATTAAATTACTTGCACGTTTTATAATTGTGGTAATAGTTACAGTCATTTGGTTCATGGGCTCGCTTGGGGGTGAACTCAACCAGACTTCGGGGTCTTTTTCGAGGATTCCCCTGGTTACCTATTTGTGAATGACTAAGGTAGTGTGCCAAATCTTACGGGCATTCGGTACAGGCACTGAGACTACAATCATGGAAATGGTGATTGCTACACTCGTATATAATACAGGATCCCATTTATTGGAGTTGCGGGTCCAAGACAATAATTATTTTCTATACATGACTTGTATATTGTTAATGAGGGTATTTCAGTGCCCATCCATGTGTCTCTCTTGCCACTATGAAAGAAAAAAAAAGAATATTGCTTGGTTCAGGTTTTAACTATACACTAAACAGTATGATAATGCACGTGTTGCCCTCTCTATTTATAGGTCTCATAACAGAGTATCATTTAACCATTGAACAAATAATGTATTCAATAATTACAGAACTAAAGTAGTGAATCGCTGATAGTCAACACTATATTAGTACTGACTTCAGCTGAGGAGCCTGTGCCTTTGATGTTTATGAACAGTATGTCATCATAATGCTGTGAATCATCATCATTTATTAGTAACCTGGAGATCTTGAGAGGAATATTAAGTGATCATTTTTTTAACACGTTTCTTTGTTCCCGCATCAGCGTTGCCCCGCTTGCTCCCAGACAAAAAAAGAGAAAGAAATAAGGCTCGGTGCGTGGCATGATGAAGAAGGGGGAAAAAAAAATCAATTCTTGACTTTATCACATTTGCAAAACACCAGTGGACTCCCATGTCTTCGACTTCGTAATTTTGTGCGTCTTTTAAGGAGCGCGGCAGGTGTTCCTATATATTTATAGCAAGTGACACATTCTTTTTGTGATGAAGATGTTTTCATACGAATTATCATGTGCATGATTGCGTTGATATTCAGTCAAACATACTTCCTTAGTAACTGCATGTTTCTCGCTATATCAGCTCCTCCAAATAATTGCATGATAAAATGCACCCGAGTCTCATAACACATACGCTGACTAAATCAATGGCATGAGTTTGGGGCGCGTGCCCCCCCCCCCCCCTCTTATCAAATGGCGAACGAAGAACATAATAAAAAAGGGGGAATTGGAAGGGGAAAGGTTATGTAAAAATGAATGACACGGATCGTACCCATAAAGGTCCTGCATTCATTGCGTTTCATCCATAGAGTAAGAGTGGTCCCCCTGCCCCCTGCCCCCTGCCCCCACCCATAACACCGTTGCCCTTTATCGCCTGAATTCACGCCATGCCATGCCACTGATGATTGACTTTATAGGGCCTTTTAGATTTGCGTGGACTGATACGTGTGACGTCCATTCAAGGCAGTGCATTAAAAGGACGTCGATCGTAGCAATCCACGTTGTCGTTGTGCAAATCTAAAAGTTCCTTTTATATCCTCTAATGATAATGAAGTAGAATATCCTGAATGTAAAACCCTCTATAAGAGCTCTATATAATTGGTCAATTTTATCATGGCTCTGTGCTTCGTTTCTAAGTTATTCATCGCTGATATTCATTCGGCTCCAACTACAATGATCAAGCTTTTATTGAACTATGGATTGGTGTATCATGATTTCATACCGATCCCTACAATGTGGAAAAAATGACCTACAAAATATTCAGTCAAGTTAGACTCCCAATCTAGAGATGTAAGACGTTGTCTGTCCAGATAGTTGATTGAACAGATATTTGAAGAAGTTTACATGCAACGTTTCAGAAAAATTTTGAGACTTATAATCAAACAATAACAAGAATATTGTAAAGGACAAATATTTATGATAGTTAGTGCTATTTAATGCATATTTTTCGTAAATTCAAAGGCAAAACTGACGGCTATATTATTTTGTTAAGTGTCCGGACACACGACCCCATCATGCATGTAGGCCTATATACCCTTCGAGGAGAAAAAAAACAATATATATAATAATTCTATTTGTGCTTTACTGCTTTTTGTGTGTGTTTTCCCCAGTCAATTTAAATAAATTATCATCTGCTGTGCCGGAAGGGCGTTCTGTCTTTTGCTGAACACACATATATATTTATATTTGTTTTAATTTGATTTGATTTGATTTCTGCCTTTTTCCAAATACAATAACTGAAGAACAAATGACAATGTACACGTTAGGTAAAAAACAAATACTGTATGCAAACAATAATAAATTCATGTCAAAATGTGATTTACATACAAATAATAACGAACTCAATATTTCTATAATATAGTATTATGAATTTACAATGATTTATTATCCTAACAATCTGTGGAAAAGTGCAGGAGACCGCCATCATAAGCGACACTTGACTAGAATGACGGCCTCAAAAATTCTGATTCTCAGCAGAAAGTCAATGATTATCATATTTCAAATTAATCTTTCATAGCCCCCTTCTCCGCAAATGAAACAAATACTTAAGTTAATGTTGTCATACCTTGGATGCCTTTGCATCTGCTGGTGTAGAGCTACTACCATCAGGGGTTGGGATAGATGTTTGAGAGGCGGACCCTGGGGGGAGGAACATGCTCTTTCTCTGATCCCGCGAAGACTTCATCTATCATGGCGCAGTTTCAACAGGAAAAAATGGAATATAAAATGTATACGTTGCAAAGAGTTTATTGTCTAGCATTATGCATAAAAAGCAGTGCATCTACGAAGAAAGACACGGGCTTTCTAAGAAATGCCATCATACTAATGGAAATGAATTCGACAGCTGAAATCTGAATAGACAGGTTTACTAACATTTAAAAAAAAAAAGTGTTTAGACAAAGGCTACAACCTGAAAAAAAAGCGGAACAGTATAAGGGGGTAATGATGGTGCGCCACCATAAAAAGATCTTATGTGGCTAAAAACTGGATTTTGTGCAGTTTTAGGTTGAATTGTTTTGAAGGGATCTCTTAAATAGTGTAATTAGTATTTTATAATACTTTAATCAAATTTCTCAATTAGATTATTTGAACTTTCTGACCCTTCCCAGAACTCAACTCTTTCTTTAAGTTATCAAAAAGAGCAATTTTGGCTATAGAAGGGAACTTTTGCCCCCTTGATAATGGATATTTCCTTCGCCCTTGACGGGGCAACTTGAAATAACGCAATATTGGCTTTAGGGGGGCACTTTGCTAGAATTGAAAAATAATTTTTCGACCATGATGGGGGCACTTTATATAACCACATTGGGCAATTTCGGCTCCAGAAGCAAACTCTTGCCCCTTGAAAAATATTATCCTTTTCCCTGACGGGGAAACTTTTGTATTGAACTATATAACTCGATAATGGCTCTGAGAATTTTTCGACCATGACGGGGCACTTTCCTCTTTATAGAAGGGCACTTTATGCCACTTGAAAATGATAATGTCATCCATGACGGGCCACCTTAAGAACCGAATAGGGTAATTTTGATCCTAGAAGGGCACATATTTTGTCCCATTAGAAAAATAAAAATTTCGCCCCTAATAACGGGTTACTCTATGTAACTAGGAAAGTATAATGCTCTAAAAGGCACTTTCGTTCCCTTGAGGGTTAACAAATGCATGTTTCCCCGATGGAACACTTGAGGTTACCAAATTCATTCACAATATTGTCCATGTTAAATATAAACATGTGAAAATGAATCGTAAAAAATTGACACAGAGGGGAAAAAACACTCAATAGTAGGGCCACGCCCTGCTTGAACAGTGATGGGATCTAATTTAGAAGGGCACTGAATTTGCCCTTCGAAAAGGACAATTTTACCTCCTTGAAGGAATTAAAAATCGCCCCTGACTGGCCAATTTTAGTAACGGAATATGGCAATTTTTGGCTCTAGAAGGGCACTTTTGCCTCCCTGAAAAATGAAAAATTCGCCCCCAGAAAAGCAATTTCGACCCGAGTATTATTGCATGTTGCCAAAATGGAACACTTCAGGTAACCAAATTCATTAATAATTATTGTCCAAGTTCACACTCATAACATGTAATATTAACCGTTAAAAATTTGACGCAGTGGAAAACAGAGTGATAACTATGCTTCTTCCCGCTACCACCACCACTGGAAAGAAAGAAAAGGAAAAAAAAAAATCGTATTTCCTTGTTCCCCCACGAAAATGCAAGCGCTTTGCTCCCTCGCTGGGTCATTAAAAAAAATATGCCATCGAATTTCAAACACCCCCTTTTAAAAAATTCTGCGAACGCCACTGGCCACACCTAAATACAAATGGTAAACAGCATTATGATTCAAATAGAGTTGAGACTTGATTAATGATTGAAAACCGTCATTAATTCAGTCTGCTCAACTCGTGCCTCTCTCTGCCTGTTTCATAAAGTCTTTATGCTCAGATCTAACGCTACACAATAGTACTCATGTTTAAGATTTCAGCATTTATTACCTCTCTCTGGGCCCCGTCTTACAATCGATCGCAGCTATACATAAGAGATAGGAGACTGCAAACTTGCGATTGATTGGAGGACTTGCGATTGATTTGGTTCAATCGTAACTCTTTGTAAGACCCAAATCAATCGCAAGTTTGCAGTCTCCAAGCTCTTATGTACATAGTTGCGATATTGATATCAATCGAAAATAAGTTGCGACTGATGTAAACTTTTTGTAAGACAGGGCCCAGATCTTCGAAATTATCGGAAGAAATACAGGATTGAAAATAAACATGAAGAAGAAGAAGAAGAAGAAGAAGAAGAAGAAGAAGAAGAAGAAGAAGAAGAAGAAGAAGAAGAAGAAGAAGAAGAAGAAGAAGAAGAAAAATGAGAAGAAGAATAATAATAAGAGGAAGAAAAGAAGAAGAATTTTATATGCTCGCAATATTTGGCAGGTTGCATCGCGATTGAACAAAATATTTTTAGAGAAAATAATGATCTGTAATTTGGAGGCTTCATTAGCAATTTGATGACAAGAAGAAGACAAGAAGATTAGAACTTACCGTAGACTATTCTAGATCTGCCTGAACCCGATTATTCTGTTTCTGCGAAGCACAAGCATCTTACCATACAAACGATGCAAATGATTGTTGATCAGTTCCAGCGAGTTTCCATCGAAACTGCAATATGGAAAAATGTTTCTTTTACTCGACTGGTAAACAAGAATTTTACCAGCCAAACTTAATGATATTTTTTGGCGTGGTAAACGTGTGTAGAAAATTTGGTCGTGATTTCTGAAGAAAAAAAAAACTCCGCGCGCGCGCCCATTGATTATCCCCTGTGCGTATTGCATTGTTGGGCGTGGTGCGCTCTAGCTCTTAGCTTAATTTGCTAGAGAAAGAAAAGTCCATCTTCAAAAATACTATATTAAATCTTTTCCCAGTGGCGGATCCAGGGGGGGGGGGGGGTGCCCCCTCTCCTGGCAAAAAACACGTGAATTTTATCTTTTTGTTTAAAAAAAGGAGACGGGCCCCCTCCCCTTACGCTCAAGGGGGGGGGGGGGGGGGGGGGGGGGGGGTGTTAACAGGCCGGTACAAATTTTTGGGAGCAATAATCAAAAGTAGTGCTCACTACCCCCCCCCCCCCCCCCCCTCTCCCCCCGCGCTTGTTCCGACACACAATTAAAATTACTAAAATATCGGTTTGTCAAAAAGTTATATGACTCAGGAGTTCCTTTGTCTTTAATACCTATACAATTATGTTATCCATAATAATTTGAGCAGTCCTCCAAATGAGGAGACACTTAGGATAAAAACAGAAATGTATATGATATTTGTGTACACCATCCGGGAGAGTTATTTGCGACTACGTCACAATGACTGACCAAACTGCCAACTTGAGATTCGCATAGACTTATTCTCATATTTCAAACATTCACAAATTTCTTTTTATTTTATTTCTGATATGTATACAGGGTGGCACATATCACCAATTTGGTGGTCTTCCATGAGGCCCTGTTTGGTAATAATAAAACAAATAACAGCATCAAAAACAAAATAGATAAATACACAAGCATAACAGGTAAAATACAAATTAATTGGTATCCCCATGAAAATAACTGATCATTCAAGAATCATCCTTGATCATTTACAAGAAATAGGTGAATGGAATTTTCAAATTAAATACATTTTTTAAAAACGTTCATTTAATAATCTGATATAGCTTAACGCACGGGATACCAAAATTGTTATAAACATAATTTTTATTCAATTGCTCTTTAACTAATACACTTAGGTTGTTTACAAGATAGCTGAAAATGGATACATTACATGTATGAATACATGATATAACGATAACCATATCAATCAAATTTCATAATTTTGCAAATAGGAAAAAAATGGTTACCTTCGCACGAAACCCCCAATGGTCCGATTTATTTTATACTTTCGCCATCCTTCATGTTATTTTTTTAATTTTCATATAAGTACAAATTTACCAATATTTACAAAATATGAGCCTATATAAATAATCTGTGACAGCGCAATTACGTATATTATAAGCGAACCGGAAGAAGAAGAAGAAGAAGAAGAAGAAGAAGAAGAAGAAGAAGAAGAAGAAGAAGAAGAAGAAGAAGAAGAAAGAAGAAGAAGAAGAAGAAGAAGAAGAAGAAGAAGAAGAAGAAGAAGAAGAATGAGAAGAAGAAGAAGAAGAAGAAGAAGAAGAAGAAGAAGAAGAAGAAGAAGAATGAGAAGAAGAAGAAGAAGAAGAAGAAGAAGAAGAAGAAGAAGAAGAAGAAGAAGAAGAAGAAGAAGAAGAAGAAGAAGAAGAAGTGGAAGGAGAAGAAGAAGAGGAAGGAGAAGAAGAAGAGGAAGGAGAAGAAGAAGAGGAAGGAGAAGAAGAAGAGGTAGAAGAATAAGAAGAAATTAAAGAAGTAGAATGTTTGGAAGGTCGCATTGCGATTGAACACAATATTATAAAGTAAATGTCTGTAATTTTAAGGCTTCATGAGCAATTTGATGATTATCATACCTAAAGTTTAGTGCCCATTTTGATTGTGAAGCAAGTTATCTTTCTATTTCTTTGATGTGCATTTTTCCGGGGACAAGTTGCCCCTATATTAGAAGTTCATGACTTCTGTTTGCTATTATGAGCAATGTCTTTGGAATTTTTATTAGAAATAGAATTTTAATGTCTTAGGACCCCAGTGAAATTAAGCTAATTGACAACTTTCATGTAATATCCTGCCAGGTAAATTTTTCCTTCGTTATATATTTAATTTCTTTGCCTCGACATTGTCGAATAAAAGCAAATTAAATAAATTATAAAAAAAGCAAAATAAGAATATTGTTTATGAATTCCTCATTTGTTTGCTCCATATGCAAATAATTCAACTCCATTTTATTTTAATGATCGGGAGCGCCATGCAGGGGGGGGGGGGGGTCAAATCTGACATGAGCGATATACAAGAACCCACTATTATTATTTTTTTGAGAGTTGACAGCTCGCTCGTTTAGCATTAAGCTGATCCGTTATGCTGCCAGCTATAGACGACGTCGAAGATCATCACAAATTTTGTCAGCTGATCACATATCGAGTAAACAACATCTCTAACAAAATAACATGAAACGCGGAGAAGCTTCAGTGCTGGCATTATTATTGGAGTAAAATATTCTTAGCTTGGATCATGGAAGATAGGTATGTAACTTAAACATTTTAAATGCCATGCTGACATAGATTGAAACTAATTACAGTAAATATTACAGCCTAAACATATCCCGCCTTCGACCTTCCTTCCTCCTCGAAGTCCGACCAGGCAGACGGACCCTTGTCGTTGGTTACGATACCGCCGGGTACTTCGGCGGCGCGGGCTATACGTAGACAGAGCATGGACCGGAAGCAGTATGGGTTCAAGTGCTTCAAAGCATGATTGATTAATGATTTAGTGTTAGTTAGTTAGTATTACTTAGCGATCGCCAAGCAAAGAGGCATTTGCGTTGGTTAATATTAAATAACATGTTTATTTATACTGGCATAGAATCTAGAATACCAATTATTTTTCTTCAATAAAATTAAATAGACTGTCTTCAGTTCTGCTGTGTTCTGCCTTCTGGGCCTGGGGCCAGTTTCTCGAAACCAACAACAAGACAGCCGTAACTTTATCTGCAAACTATGCTACGATCTTCCTAAACTGTTTCACGAAGAGCTTACTAGCTAGACATCTCGTGAAATTGATACTATCGGCGAGAAGAGGAGCCAAGACGTAGACATAGCCTTGGTCGCAATTTCACCGGATTTAAAAAAAAAAGTAATGTTGGGGAAAACTGCAATTATTTAAATGAATTAGATAGGAATAAAAAACAGATTTAAAAAATAGTACCAGGGAATAAAAAATGCAATAAACTTCAACATTTGTGTGGATTATACCATAGAATTACCTGTGAAATATAATTGTGAGTATTTCATTTCATGATCGATGAGTCAGTTTTGTTTTTGAGATGGGTATAGACTACCCCCTGAATATTTTCATTTGATAATTGATAGTTTATAAAAATACACCCTTATATTATTCTTAACAAAAATACGATGTTATGAATGTTTTGGGCGTCAGCACAATATTAAAAATGACAAAACTTCAACATTCCAAACATGTATGTTTTAAAGTATTCAGTTTACACATTTTAAGATTAAATTAATATTGGTCTCTGGGTCTGAAAACTAGAAAATCCACTTCTGACTATGGCTTGCCTGCTGTGACCGATTACCCTTCCCTTCAAGGATGTTATAATGTGGAAAAACGTGTAAAGCCTTAGATATAAAAAATGGCATATTTTCAAAAGATTTTCAAATATAAAAAAAAATAACTCCCTGTTTAAGTGAATGTGTACAAAGGTAATACATGTAGCTGTAGGATTTCTTGTCCTTTTTTGCCATCCATAGTCTACCCAATGAATGACATGTATTGGTGCTGCCCACTGATGCATACTTTTTGTTAAAATCCAAATCCAAAAGTGATGGCTTTATTTTTGTTGAAGGAAACCTTAATAAGTGTATAGATATTCTGAAAAATGAGATGCATTCCTGTCTTTTGATGTATGGTGGGCGACCAAAGTTCGCAGAGATTTTTACTCTTAGTTTTTATTTTTACTCTTACTCTTAGTCAAATTCACATTTTGATTAAAATGTAAAATTTTGCTGTATATTGTAAATTGTAATATCAGCTGTAAATATGTTTCAATGTCAAGTAATAACTTTCATCGGACTAACCAATAGGCGCCGCTTTTCCGGTGACGGCGACATGTGAAACTACATTAAATTTTACTTCCTACCAGGTAATCATTTAACACCTGGGTGGAGACTGGTAAATGTAGATTAACGTCTTGCCATTGGACGTTAGCGCCGCGCTGGGTTTCGAACTCCGTACCTTGTGATCTATAGTCCAGTGACTTATCCACTAGACCACAACACATCCTATCAAATCAAAATTATGAATTGTACTTTAAAAAGAGATTGTTTTGTTACTACAGTATATCTACTAGAGGCCATAAACACTGTGTGCATTGTTTCAATCAAACTGGCAATGGCCGCAATGCTCACACTTTTGCAACCTGGTTTTTACTAATACACACATGTACATCATGTATTTCATTACTCTTGGTTACAGTGGGTGTTATGGAATCGGAGTACTTGATGATTGTTGTATTTATCAACAGTAATGAGGAGTCAATTGCTTTTGTTCAATACTGTACCTTGACCCACTAATACTCTTTTCACACTGGTTTTGCTTAACCCCGTACTTTGCTTAGCCCCGTACTATCTGCTGTTTTTAGTCCCGTACTAGCGCCTATTCCGGAATAAGAAAATTCCCGCTGTTCTCACTGCATTTCGTTAACCCCGGATATCGTGTATGTTATGATTGGACATACTTCGCATCTGGCCAGCTGCGATACGCTCCATTGCGTAGTACCGGACTATTTTTCGTTTCTGTTCTCATTCATTTGCTTAGCACCGCAATTGCGGGGTTAGCAGGAGTTAGCACCACAATTGCGGAGTTAGCCCTGCTATTTTGCAGGGTTAGTTAACCCCGTACTATAGGTGGGGTTAGCCAACTTTAGCCCACTTTGGTAAAAACCAGTCTGAACAGAAAGTGGAATAGGCTTAACCCCGTACTATAGGTGGGGCTAAGACCCCCCCTTAACCCCACCTATAGTACGGGGTTAAGCAAAATATTGCCAGTGTGAAAACAGTATAAGTCCTTGACTACCAATTTTGTTAGAGAAACAGGAAATGTAAAGAAAACAAAAATTGCCTCCACTAGATCACTTCTGTCACGGGATATCAGACTACATCTAGTAGAAATAAATTGACAGCTCATTGACAATATTCTTTGTAAATTTGAATTTGTTTCCAGTGCAGTACTACAGTGTATATGTAATCCTGTGTTTTGTTTAGTCACAAATCCCTGGTATTACATGTACATGTATATGAACTGCCCTGAGATACTGATTGACCTTCTGATTGACCTTATCTACATGTAAGTGCTGCTGTATTACAGTAATGTGTGTGTGATAGTATATCTGTGGTCTGATCTACTGCTAATTTGTTTATCCTTGGGTATCACTATCCCCTGGTTTATCTAAGGATGTCCTTCGGGACTGGACTTTCTTATCGTTATGTAAAGTTTACCGGTAAATTGTTCTTTGTCTTCCTGTTGTGAGTCATATGGGATAACATGTGACTATATATTTTATTCTACATCTGAGTAGGAATATCAAATAAACTTTGTGCTCAAATTATTGGAAAAAGCCATAGCATTCAAACTAGTCTGCAAGCATATACTCTAATCGGACGCTTTGCCACAATTTCCCAAAGCCTTGGGTAGGGCCTAGCTCTGTCAGTCCCTGGCTGTGTCATAATGCAGTATAAAGTCAGCCTAGTCTCACAGTGCAGACACTGTTACGCACAGTGACTGCAAATGGGTTCTGCCTGCAACCAACTACCATCAAACTTGTATAAAGTACATGTACCGGTATGCTTTAGTTGTCATTTAGAATTATCATGAGACCCGTTATACTACCGGTACTCATGTCATGTATTTAATGTACAATGTATGTTCCATTTAAGTAAAATACCATGTACGAAAGGTAAATTGTAGTAAACTAATTTCTGTGTAAAGCTACAAACGTGTTGTACATGTATGTACCTTTATTGTAACCTGCAATACTGCCAGTCTTGGTAACAAATTATTCTCAAATAGTGTGTTGACCTCTAAATTGACAGTTCTAATCATTCCCACTAGTGTTCTCAAATTGATTGACTTCTGTCATGGATGTTTACTACCATGCACATTTACATTTTACCAATTTTTATTTTTATATGGGTTGGTTCTATAGTGATGTTGACATTCGTGATGATGATGATGATTGTTCTTGTTTTGTTTTTTTGTTATTACTATAATTTGTATATCTTTTATTCAAACTACTGGTCTTACAATTTTGCTAGGAGTCTCAGACCCTTCAATCAGATGTGTTTTAACCTAAAGTAAAATTCTAAAAATGTGAATATTACCTAATATGAATTTGGAATACATGTAAATACCATGAGAGGGTAAGTACTGTACATGTACTTGAGGTTGTGGTTGAATGCTAAATGTATATGACTGCTTTCTGTATCCCATGTACTGGTACTTGTATGCTCAAACTGGTATTGTTCTAAACCAAGAAGTATCGGTTTATGGCTCTTATTGTATGGTTCCATTTTATTCTTGGTACACAAGAAATGCTTGACGATCATACATTACCTCCATTTGACGTACATTTTAATGCTAGATGTTATGTATGATATTCAACATAATTTTCAAAATGTTAAGACTTCCCTTCTGCTTCCTAAATAGTACCAACAATGACATCATTATACATGTACACATATTCAAAATGAAAGAGGAATTCCACCCTGATTTTAAGTTGGTTTTAATAAAAGCCCCCAAAATGAGTTAAATAACTTAGTGAAAGTTTGAAGCAGTATCCAATTAAAAATAGGAAAGTTATGAATATTTGAAGTTGTCATTAGTTAGACACAGATTGGCAATGCTGTGAATACAGTATCTTGCAAGCTCCTCTCCAATTTGCCCTCTACATGAAATATCATTAACTTTCATTTTCTTAGTTTAATATTGATGACAGAATATGTTTCATTATTCATACCGGGGCTGTTTCAAAACATATTTGCATTAATTGCATTTAGGTTGAATGTATGATTGAAAAATTTCTGAAAGTAATATTTGTTTTCAGTACAGGGCAAATTGGAGGGGACCTCACCAGATACATGTATGTCACAGAGTTGCCAATTTGTGTTTTATTGATCCCACCTTAAAAAATGTATAACTTTCTTATCGTAATTATTTTATTTACTCAAGCTTTTACTGACCTGTTTCTCTCAACTGTCTGCTTCTATTGAAACCAACTTAAAGGGCCACTCCAACCCAACTAACATAGCCTTTCAAAACATGAATACGCCTCTACTTATTAAAGGTAATACAAAGTTTTGGTATGGGGTCATGAAGTTGGTTCAAATGAACATATTTAGAAGCATATGCGATCCTACAATATTCAGTGATTGTTCTCGCGGTTGAAATTGAGTCTTAAGTTATGAAATTGTAAATGATAAACTCTTTATGTTGTATAGCTCCCTCTCAAGGTCAAGATATTAATTAAGCTATAAAACAATGTTTCTTGACTAAAATCGACCGATTAGCTAATTCTGAGATTTTCAGGGTCGCAGCTACCATTGTACGGCTGTAGGCGCTATTTAAAATTTATCAAAATTTACCGGGAGCCCCGGTCTATTTTTATATTCTTTCTAAATTAAATAACTTAGACCAGCACAGACATGATTTTTTTTTTTACTGAGAGGGCAAAATTAGGGTGATGCAACTTCAGTTATGATTTTAATGAAATATCAATGTTTCATAAGACTCATTTTTGGTGAAAAATCCTAGAAATAATACATGTCAGTCTAGGTATATTTTGCTTTTTTCAACACCTACATGTATGTTTTGAGTAAATTACACATATTTGTTTCATTATATGCCTATGTACATGGCTTCATGTACATAGTAATATAAAATACAATAAGTATTTTTCTGACAGTTAATCATAAATAAGCAAATATATATAACAATTGTTAATTTAAAAAATGAAATGATAAACTGTCATACCCTCTACATCCTATAAATACTATATTTCATCAAACATAGAATTATTTGCTGAAGGAGCACTGTCATTGTGAGCAGATTGCTTGAAAATAAGATGGCCCCAGTTAAAGTTAAAGAAACTAATAATAGACCTAATGATTATCATTCTTTTAAATTTGAGCCAAAAATTACATTTTATTGTAAAAAAATGTGTGTGGCATCCATCCAAACCTTCTCACTTGATCTTTTCTGTGATTATTTTGGCATTGTTGCTCTTCATTATTCCCATAGATTCTATTTATTTTTTCTACAGCTCTTTTTGATGTTTTGCTTGACTATTTCTGTGAGTTCTGTATAATACTCCATTATGATGTGTTTTAGGTTTTAGTGGAAGTGTAAAATGAAATAAAATGACTGAACTTAGCATAAAGACAGATCATAGCTTAATCATACAATGTCTTGTAATTGAGTAAGAATGCAATATTGTATTGTTTTAAATTTTATTGTAATCAATATTTTGTGAATGGTTACATGTACTTGTACGTGTATACAGCTATCTCGGATATTGGAGAAAACTTGGAAAATTAGTTCATTTTTCCAGTCAGGGAAAACAGAGGATTTGAGAATTGTCTCTTAAATCAGAGAAAAATCAGTGCATTTTTAAGGCCCATAATGAAAGTAGTTGTCTCTTAATATGATTTGTCTTGTGTCCATTATCTACCGGATGATTTGCTATGGTCGCTTCATTAAGGAAAAAATAGAGACATTAGTTTTCATGAAATGCTAATAGTTCTTTCTACCTTGTTGTAACTTATTGTCAGGCTAATAAAATTGTTGCCTGGCTAATAAAATTGTTGCCTAAATTAGGCCTTTTCTATGACAGCCACTTTAATAGCAATAACGACCTTACATCAGTTTCTAATGTGATTAGTCATACTATGAAGCTTAAAGGAAGCGGAACTGAAACAAATACTCTTATTCTTTTTCTCAGTAGTAGTAAATAGTACTTTACAATTAGTTTAGAAGTGTGATATTTAATATGTATGTCAATATAAACTAATATTTGTTTGAACCTACAGCACAATGTCAGAGAGGACTGCCTTGTTAGAAGATGTAGATCATTTCAGTGATGCTGCTGACACCAATGGCTATGTAAACCATGATGATGTAGAGATTAAATCTGGAAGAGCTTCTAGTGATGTAGGACCAGCTGAAAATCCACCTACAGACAGGTTAGTTAATGTGCAAAGCTTTTATGTTTTACAAACAGTTTTGACATATATATACACTGTACATGTATATGGTACATGTTTATGCTTGACATACATTGTATAAGTCATTATTTTGATGAGGCTTCCATTTTTTAATTAAATTTGTTGTTGTTGCTGTAGAGTCGCAAATTATTTTAAAATGTGCGAAACTGGGCCGGCAAATCTTCATTTTGAGAGAATATGTTATCAAAATAGTAAGAAAAAAATGATAACAACTGATTATGTGTTATCTAACTTGCAATTTATGCGATTACCTTACCTTTGAAGGATCGCTTTTTAAAACTCTTATGGGTAAATTAAGGATGTGTTTTTTTAATGACCATTTCTTCAGTTGTTGCACATTCCCATCCAACATCAATTGATATGGCCCGAATTCTTTTGACGATCATTTTTCTAGTTGGATGTTCATTTGGTACTAATTGATCTAAATAAATTTGTATAGAATATATATGAGAAATTATGGATTGAGTTTCACATCCCTAATTAGTTGTTGATATGTCCGCAAAATTTGGTCACCCAATCGTACGCATGTTCCCCAGACTGATAAATTCATTTTTTTTAACTCTTAAGCTGCCACCCATACAATGCACCCAGTGCCACAGTGCTAATTCCTATTGTGCCACAGTGCTAATCTCCTGCGTGCCAAGTTAATTTTAAGGTTGGTTCAAGTGCGTGTTATTTAAATCTTTACAACCAAAAAATCGCTGAATTACTCGAGAAAATCCAATCTGACTGTTGTATACAAAGACGCGTAATCCAAAGCTGATAATCTGATGCACGTGATGGTACTTTCAATAGCGCTGCAAAAGCACTCAGCACGGTGCAATGGGCATGAACAATAACTGTTATTACATCTGCGCGCTAGCGCGCACAAAGCACCGTAGCGGTGGCTCGCTAGCATGAACGTGGCTTTCAATCGATAGCACGCTCGCGTGCACATGGCACTATAACAATAGCGCGCTAGCAGTCTCATGGCAGGATAAGAGTTAAAGGATGTAGACATATGGTATTCATATTTAAACTATAAAGAACTCATATATTTTAGTTTCAGACCATAGGGATGCACCTTAACATGCAAAAACAATTTTTTTTTTACCACACCCCTTACTTCGACTATGATATCCTTCTTGTGCAGGTATCGCTTTGTTTATGTGGTCTTCTACATCTTTGGTATGTGCTCAGTTCTTCCATGGAATATGTTCATCACTGCTCAGAATGTAAGTGTATCTGGTCAAATATAGTATACAAATATAAACTGTCTTAAGAGGTTCTGGTTAAAACTATGCGCAAAATATAAAAAATCTCTGTACATGCAGTCAACTGCTACACTGGCCCTTGTGGACAAGTACTATTTTAAAACACTGGGGAGAGATACAAGTTTACTTATGAGTGAGCTCTATGCCTGTGATGCTAAAGTTTTGACTTGAAATTAATGAAAATTTATGAATAAAGAAATGAAATCTTGGTCTCTTAGTATTATCAAGAGTAACAGTGCCAAAATGTCACAAAATTTGAGCAAGAGCAGTACTAATGTTTAATGTATAAATTTATTTTGCCTCTTATACAATCTCATTACATTGCTTGAAAATTAAAATGTCAATTATTGCATTTTATATGTACTTTGTACATATACTTGCCATGCTTATATTGAAAAAGAAATTAATTAATCAAATCAAAGCAAATCATTTATGTGGACAGATGGCAAATGTTGTTATCACCCTGTTGTATATATGCAACAAACATGACTCAATTGAAATGTCACAATTAATTTTGTACAGAAATTATTTGACAAGAATGAAACCATTAACCATGGCAAGGACATGAACCCTCACATTTGACTATCTGACACAACACCCTTAATCTCAGGAAGTTGTAAAAGAAGTGAAAGTTAATAAAAAATGTTATTTTTCTTAGTGGAGGAAACAGATTTGTCTAAAAGCTCCCTTTCTTTGTCTTGTGAACTGGAATAGGTCTGCAATCTCTAATTCTTTTTGTTTCTGTTTGAATGTGAACTAATATAATGAGAGTTGAAGTAAATTTAGTATTTGATTTGAGTGACTACTAAGATCCTGCTCGTGAAACTAACAAGAAAAATGTGTAACTTTGATTCACCTTTTCTCCGGACATACATTGTTTATACATGTATATCAACATAAAAAACAATTGTCTAAAAGTGAAAAAAGAGAAAGTAGAAAGGCCTGTTTTCGAAGTGAAAAGGACTCTCATGCGTACTATTATAATAAAAATAAAGATATCATTAAGTTTAGTTTTCTTCCACTCATACCAGAGTAATACATTTTTGGGGGTGTTATTTCATTGACCTGTGTTTGTGTAACATATTTGTACTCGCTCTCTCTGGAGGATAGTGCAAGTAGTTGTATCCTTTTAAATATGTTTAAAAAATGTATGTTTCTCTCATTTTTGCTTCAACACTTCTTGGAATAAGAATGATATTTTTGAATTTGTAGTGACTTAGGTAACATTAGGTTTGATATACATACCAAGAAAAAGTGAGAATAGGTAGCATGTGTTGATATAATATTTATATTTCTATGAAAAGGATTTTTATGATTTATTCAGAAGTTAGAAACAAGTTTGTTTTCATGCTCACATTGCTTCTAAAGTGCAGTAAATACTTTTATTAATATAAAGCGAATCGGACCCTCACTTAAGACTATTTTCCTATCAATCCTTGTAAAGCTCCAATATGGAGTTTTGATTTATCTACTTTCTCTTTGTTTTCCTATGTTTGCTTTATTTAGTACTTTGATTACAAGTTTTCTAACCATGATGAGAGCAACACATCAACACCTAATGCAACACTCTTTGGTATGACAGAGACCCCCATCTTTACGTCGGCACCTCAATCTAAGACAGAACTACAAGACATGTATGAATCCTACTTCTCTATAGCAGCTCAAGTACCCAATGTTGTTATACAGCTCGTTAATACTGGCATTAAACACAAGTGAGTTTTAAATAATAGAGGCATGCATGGCCCTCCATAGCAGCTCAAGTACCTAACGTTGTCATACAGCTTGTTAATACTGACATTAAACACAAGTGAGTTATAAATAATAGAGGCATGCATGGTCCTCTTGATCTTACTTCATATTCAAAGGTGTAATGCATGATATTTAGCAGAGCAGAAAAATAACCTCTTATTAATTGTATAAAATATGACCCCTTTCTGAGTTAAAACCTCTGCCACTTTTGAGGTGTCATGGTCTAGTGGATAAGTGGATCATAATGGTCCATGGTTTGTAGTCCCGGCCCCAGTACCAATATCATAAGAAAGAAAGGAATAAACATTGCCACTCTTATGAACTAGAAGTAAAGAATGGATACTTACATGTACAAGGATTGCTAAGGGGATAAATGCAGCCACCCTTTCACAAACTTGTCAGAAGTACAAGTTTGCTTGACATCCCATTGAAACGTGTAACACTAATAATTTAAAAAACACGTGTCTCAGTGTAAAACTGGTAAAACTGTACTTTTGATTGTTTCATGAAACGCTGCCCAGTGACCAGGAATGAAACTAATTGTATAGCACATTGAGTACTCAGGGAATGTGGTATCATGTAGAATCTTATTACCATATTTGTACACCAGCAGTTTGCAATAACCGCAATAGTAATAGGATTTTTCAATACTGGTATTGAAGACAAGTAATTTTCTTTTTTTGGAATCCTAATATTTTCTGATAAGTCAGCCATGTTATGTTAAATATTCATAAACATTTAATCATAAAAAAACATCTCATACTGTAAGCTTGTGAATGTGAAGATAGTGCAAAAAATTATGCATAGTGTGTCTCCTTCCTACAGCTATTGTGGGTAATCATTGTTTATTTTGCTATCTGATATTTACCGGTACCTACCGGTAACCTTTTCAATGCAATCTTAGGTCAAATATAGAAACCATAGTAGGGTACATTGATTTAAGACAAGTTGATTTCATGATCTCTTTGTTTTCTTTCTTTCTTACAGAATAACTCTCAAAGTGCGAATGATTACATCGCTTACTGGCATGCTGGTCATATTCATTTTCACTACAGTACTCACCAGGGTTGATACTAATGGCTGTGAGTACTAGTTTTATTTTCAATTCTCTAATAGCATAATTGAACTATACATATTGTCTGCTTAGTACCAGTAGGGCACTAACTCATATACTTTAGCACAGATTTAACAGCCTTTTGGCCCTGAACAGGTTCTGTTACAATTCAAGAATATGACAACACTGGAAAGCCCATCTCAGCTGCAAATTACCTGGTACACAAAATACTATTTGCATTCCATGGGCATGGTTCAGTTAATGAGAAAATAGGTTACTTATCTAAAGAATGTTGCTAGTTTAAGTTAGTTTGATTTTTTCAATAAAAACAAAAGTGATATTTACTTCGACTTTTCATGTGAAAGGAAGTTGTTAAAAGAAAAACCCTGTAAAACGCACAGATACTATTGGGAAAAGGAAGTTTAAAGAATATTTATTTTAATGCAAGATATGCACAAATTGAACAAAGTCCAAGATAAGGTCAATGTATTAAAAAAAGATAGAAGGAAAAGGCAAGGAATGTTAATGGAGATACTTGACAGTCTATGTGATTATCATTGTGATAGAGAGTGCAAATTCCACCAAATTTTTCAACTAATTATTTGTAGTATTAAGAGGAACTACTCTTTCTTAAATGCTACATGGTGCAAACATTGCTCCCCAGAAAATCATACATCACACAAGTACAAGCATACTTAATGGTGCATGTTCAGATCATGTAGAATGCATAGTGAGGACTATCTGCACAACGTATGATGTATAGTAGAGTATTTATGTATGGCTTTATATTTTTGATTAAATGTAATGGTAATTGTACGAACATTTAATGACAAATGTGGCTTACTACACATAGATCTTTCACTCATTAGTACATAATATCTCTTGCACTTCTTCGAGATAAGGCAAGATTCATTTTTATGCTAACATTTATACATGTATTTAAAAAAAAATTGTTTTTCTATTAACTTTTCATTCCCCCCTTTGTGTTTACAGGGGAGCAGGAGTTTTTCTGGGTTACCCTAGCCAGTGTTGTCGTCATCAATTGTGAGTACAAAGATCACATTTAAACAGCTGAAAGATTGTACTACCCTTTAAAATAAGTACCGGGTAATGTCATCCCCCCCCCCCCCAAATGAATGCTCATTTTTAGTTATGGTTTGTTTGTGCAACAGAATAATATAACAAATTGGAGTTCCATGCAAATGACTATTTAGAGTGTGATTTGAAAGGATTTACCCGATGAGAAACTTCTGATACAGAGTTTAAAGTGGGTTTATTCTATGACGGAAAGAGGGAAAATGAGTTCATGGCATGTGCTCTGTCCTTCCTCAGTATAACTCAAGCCTGAGGTATTTCCTTGCAAACTCACTCCATCCATGCATACAAATATTGCATCCATGTATTTAGATAGAGATACAAGATTAATTATTATACTTCAACCTTCCTTTGTTCCTCTAAAAGCACAGAAGTTGGCTCCTTTTGACAGAGAAAATCAATTTAAAAAAGCAAAATTTCCATCCCCCCTAAATTAAAAACACAAAAACACAAAAAAATTATCAACAAACACTCAACATTTCTACTTACCACCCCTAACAGGGTTACAAGGTCCTAGCCAGGCTGATCATGTCAGTTTGCATTTAGAGCATAAAAACAAATCAAGTTGTTATTTTTATCATGAGATATTTTGTCTTTCAGGTTTTAGTGCGGTATTCCAGGGCAGTGTGTTTGGACTAGGAGGGTTACTGCCCAAGAAATATACCCAAGCTCTGATGGCTGGACAAGGATTGGGTGGAATAGTTCCAGCATTGGTCTCGATCATCTGTCTTGCAAGTAAATTGCTTTAATCCTTATTTCCTTCACTATATTTCATAAGTGTTGTTCCCATACCTGATGTCTTTTGTTAGTTTCTTTCCTATTTGCCAGTAGCTATCAATTCTAAAATTCACCAAGGTTATGTTCCTCTGCTTAGATAGATTTACATGCTTATAAATACATAAGAGTATGCTCTCCTCTTCTCTTATCTGTCCTTCACTCCTTCCCTCCCATACCCCTGCCCCCTTCTCTCTATCTATCTCTCTCTGCTTTCCTTCCAAGCATTTACATACCTATAAATACATATGTATGCTCTCCTCTCTATTTCTCTTTCACTCTCGTTTCACTATCCCTCCCTCCTGCCCCCCCCCCCTCTCTCTCTCTCTCTCTCTCTCTCTCTCTCTCTATCTCTTATCCTTTATATCATTTGAAAAGGATATAAATGTATTAAAGGACATTGATGTTCTTGAAGTGGGATATTACCAATGCTAAAAAGAACACTACCAACAATATCATATCTTGATAATGAAAATGAAATTGCTCAATCTGACCATATTTATAGATACCAGGTTTGTACTGAAAATGATAAGACAGATGAAAATTCTTTCTGTACTCATTTCACTCTATTAAAGGGAAAGTCCACCCCCAAAATAAGTTTGTTTCGATAGAGGCAGAATAATAAGAAAATCAGGTGAGAGAAAGTTTGAGCAAATTCTGAATGAAAATAAGAAAGTTATGAATTATTGAAGTTGTGATCAAATACAAATTGGCAACTCTGTGACTTATTATACGAGCTCTCCTTCATTTGCTTTGTGCATAATATTCCATAAAATCATGTTTTCTTCGTTATTGATGACGGAATATATATTTGTTCCTTGCAGGGGGAGTATAGAAACATATTTGCAATTATTATATTTAGGGTGCATGTATGGTTGAAATTTTTCTTGAGGGAAAATGAAAATTTTAGATTTTTTTAGTACTGAGCAAATGGAAGTTGAGCTTGCATGATACGTCATAGAGTTGCCAATTTGTGTTTGATTGATCACAACTTCAAAAATCCTAACTTCCTTATTTTTAATCGGAATTTGCTCAAACTTTCACTGACTTGTTTCTCTCATTTTTCTACTCCTATTAAAACTAACTTAATTTCAGGGTGGACTTCCCCTTTAATTCTCAATGATCCAATTATGATACTCTCAATGGTTTCCTTACTCTATGTGGTAAATGAGCATGTGTATGTGTATTTTGCTGACTAATTATGTTTTTTTTTTTGCCTTGTGTCCCCCCTAACAGCTCTGAATGACAACTCGCTAGTTGGATTTGTGTATTTCCTCATATCCGTCATATGCATCTTCATAACGTATGGGGCTTATCTAGTGTTACCCAGAAATAAGTATGCTGAGTACTATCTCAATAAGCAAGGTATGTATGCATTACACCATTACATATCCAAAAAGTGTTTACCTGTGACAGTACTAATATCTCTAGTTCAGATGTGTTCTGGAAGACTGAACCTAGCTACCAGTTTTGAAATCACCACAAGATGCCAATTGGTGATCACCACATTATAAATGTCAGACAGCTGGTGATTGCCCTAGTCTATGTTCATTATGTCAGGTGCTCTGTCGATCCAGATGGCTTCGCAAATCCTGGCCCAGTATATGTATGTGTGAACCATGACATTCTACTCGTCACAGGGGAACAAATTTTGGACTTGTCAGAACTAATTTTCTATACCGCTAATCCAAACGATAATAATAATAATACCAGTTTCTTATATAGCACTTACATGTAACCATTAAATGAACAAAGTGCTACTCTGGTCACTGGATTCAATTACTATTCTACACATTATAGTGCACATTCTCCACTCCCTGGCGATCATTCCAGCTAGTCGCCTTTTTACGGGTGCATACATACTAATTTAACCGCAATGACATTTGCATCCTACCAGGTACCCAATTAACACCTGGGTAGAGGGACGCAATGTAGCAGAAATGCCTTGCATAAGTACATAAGTTTACTTGTTCAGGTATGACATTCAAACCCAGTGATAGTGTGTATCACCTTAGGAAGACGATCAGATTAGATTTTGGGATAGGTAGGTCAAAGGTCATAGAGGTCAAATCTGAAAATACAGGTTTTAAGCACATTATCAAGCAAAATGTCAAGAACTGCCCTAAAAAATACGAGCTTCAAACTTAATCAATGAAGTAGCACCATAGGAAGACAATCTAATTTTGGGGGTGAAAGGTCATAACGGCTAATTTCCATTAAAAATCTTGGGTCTTTAGCCCTGTTATCGCAATGTACATTTATCAAATATGATTTGAACCGTGAGCTATCATATGGTGATGCACACTAAAACCAATTAGAATGCATCACCATAGTGAGACAAATTGATCAGATTCTGGGTAAAAGAAGGTCAAATGTCAAAGGTCAGCATGTCAATTTACTTGAGATTAAAGTTTTTTTTAACCTTGGTTATGACCAAATCAATGACTATTTTAAGATATTTTAGCAGTGAACTTAGTATGCATCACTGTAGGGAGACAAGTGATCAGATTTTTGGATTGTCATTTTGTCAAAAAAAGTGGGGTTTTTCAAATATTTACAAGATTTGTCCCTATGCCCCTACAAAAGCACAAAGAGGGTCATACTCCATCTTATGACATATAGGGACATTAATTGTGAGGAAACTATGCTATTGAATTATTTTCACTTTTTATCTCAAAAAATGCTTAACCACTCCGAGCCTTACCATTTTGTCAAAAAAGTGGGGTTTTTCAAATATTTACAAGATTTGTCCCTATGCCCCTACAGAAGTACAACGGGGGTCATACTCCAACTCATGACATATAGGGACATTAATTGTGAGGAAACTATGCTATTGAATTATTTTCACTTTTTATCTCAAAAAATGCTTAACCACTCTGAACCTTACCATTTTGTCCAAAAAGTGGGGTTTTTTCAAATATTTACAAGATTTGTCCCTATGCCCCTACAGAAGCACAACGGGGGTCATACTCCATCTCATGACATATGGGGACATTAATTGTGAGGAAACTATGCTATTGAATTATTTTCACTTTTTATCTCAAAAAATGCTTAACCACAAATCTTGTAAATATTTGAAAAACCCCACTTTTTGGACAAAATGGTAAGGTCATGAAGATCTATTGACATGTAAGCAGTGGCGTACACTGGATTTTTTCAAGAGGGGGGTTTAACATTTTGAAATCAGGCCAAAAATATCGCAACGACTCAGCCAGCTGCTGAATAAGCGGGGAGAGGGGGGGGGGGGGGGGGGGGGGGGGGGGGGGGGGGGGGGGGGTACGAGAACTTTTACTAAAAAAAACCCCCAAACCCCCCAACCCCCCCCCCCCCCTGCGTACGCGCCTGCATGTAAGTATAGGCTTTTTGTTGTCATTGTGATATTCCAAGAATATTTCAAGCCAGGATCTTAAAGGGATCGTTTAACAATGTAAAATCTGAGATACACGGCCCTACGTGTTATCAGTGTCTGTGGTATGGTGTAATATTGAAGCCCTAAAAAAATCGCGCTTCAAAATGATCAAGAAGTGCCTCAAAAAAGTAAAAATCTTTGAGTGACCGGTTTTACCATACTCGTTTTCCCCAATAGACTGTAGTGTTATGAAAACCGTCCGGCGAACGGTTTTCAAAATTTGTAATTCCAATCATAAATATCTTGATAATCAGACAGGCGATCGGCTTGTAAAAGTCATGGATTTCCTGACTGATCTAAAGGTTTATAATAATCATTGCAGCATGAGCTAAATCCAGGATTTTGTTTCAGAATCTGAGACAAAGTTACCGGATCCCTTTAACTGAATTTAGGTGGAGGCATATTGGAGACATAGTCACATTTTTCTTGTTCTTTCTCCTTCTTCCTTCACACAGCTTCTCCAAGAACCGGGATGATAGATGTCTCTGCATCGTTTAGTAGTAGTTTTGAAGAGAAAAAGACAACCAAACCACCATTTTGGAAAATATTAAGCCAGGTAAACTTGGTATCATTTCATTTAGAAAAGACGTGTTTGTTTAAGTTTGGCTACAACACTCAAGGAGAAAGGAACCATGGTCTTCTGAATGATTTGTCGATTTAATACTGACCGTGGAAAACGCTGGATTGCAAAAAAAAAGAAAGATGATTTTTGCGACAGAAAAATCTTGTGTTGCGCATGATGTAAGCGTGATGAACTCATGCATTGATCTCTAAACATAGTGGGCTGGTTCTCATGTATTTTTGTTCTGAGAATTATGAAATAAATTAATATTGAATTGAATTTAATTGAATTTATTTATTCACCACCATTGAAAACATTGAAACAAAAGATAAATGTACAATGACAATGTCAATATAACATAAATGCATGACATGAATTATAAAAAATACATGTTCTACAGCGATATACATGTACATTATGACAAATATAAAATAAACTTTGCTTCAAGAGTAAAACAATAAATGACTGTTTACAATGAGTTTGTGATCGATGGTAAAATAGAGTAAAAAATAGCAAATGTGCTAGTCGAGTCTGACTCTCGTCGTTTAAAGCCTAAAATGAAATTAATTGAAAAATACATGATGGGTTTCCAAATCCTATAAATAAGATTTGTGTATAATATTAAAATGAGACTGGTTGCTATATACAACTAAATAGTTCGAATGTTATGATTCATGGTTTTCACTTAAGAGTAATTTTGTAAGTTTTTTACGAAAAGAGGTTCTTGATTTCTCAATTCTTAGATCAGTAGGAAGCATATTCCAAAAATTACTTCCAACAAACGAAACAGAAAATTTTCCTTGGTCTGTTTTGAATGAAGGAAGACAAAATTGTCAAGCCTTTTTTTTGTCTTGTGGAATATTCATGTTGTATCATACTGCAATGATGTTTTTAAGGAATGAGGTAATCGTTCATTTATCAAATCAAACACAAAAGGGGTATACTTTTTTAAGCACTCTTTATATCTGACATTCTTTTTCTCTTGCAGATATGGGTTCCAGGATCAATGGTATTTTTAACATTTGCTGTGACGCTGGGTAACTTCCCTGGTGTTATATCACAGATAGAATCTATGCAACAAACAGAGTGGACAGGTAGGAGGAACTCTTGTTATCTTATAATAATACTTTGTTCTTATATAGCGCTTTTCAGGACTGCAGGCCCTCTCAAAGCGCTTTACAGATATTACCCCAGTCAGCGGATTCAGGCTTACCCTCACACAATGTATGCACATTCTCCACTCCCTGGGGAGCATTCCAGCCAGGCATTATTTTTACAAGCGCACACATGCTCATCGAACCACATTAAATTTTGCATCCTACCGGGTACCCATTTAACACCTGGGTGGAGAGTGGCAAATGTCCGCTGACATATCCACTCGTGCACGACACCTCTACAATCTTATACAAGTGATGCATGAGTTATAAAGTTAAACATATCAGTTTAATGTAAATGATGCATAAGATTAAGTAGTTACATTGTAATAATAATAATTATTATAATTATTATTATTATTGTATGCTATAATGTATGATATATTGGGATTTTTCATGTCCCATAGCCTTAGACATTCCTTCTGCTCTTTAACATTTACTTTACCTGATTTACCTCTTTGCATGGTTGCTCGTTTACTACGCATGCAATTTTTCCACAAAACAATACTCACCAATTGCATAAGGATTGGTTTGTTCAACACAATTGGTTTGTAAAATACCCATTTCTGGTCTTGATTAGCTCCATGACAACCCTTTCGATACAGATTTAGATTAATTTTACCCTAGAAACAGTTATATTTCTAGAATCCTTTGGTATCTTTATCCCATGATAATACAATGTGGCATAGAAAGATTAATTGTTTGTTATATACATGTTAAGAGTTAAATACCGTACAAGCTCAATATTGATATTCACATGACCATTTGGGACCTCAAATAGGGAAATATGTCAAAATCTAATACGTTGGCATGTTACATACTGTCAAGATTTGAAGTTTCTTTACAAGTTATAGTTTCGATATTGATGAGATCATGATGAAAGTTTCTCCTCATATTTCAAGGCCTGTACCAAATTGCAGAGAATATCCTTTCATGTATGTAAAGTAGAGTTGTTTAAAAAAACAAATAAATAAAAAAAGAGAAAAATCCCCAACACGTCTTTTGCTCCCCCACTCCTCCATCAAAAGCCATTGACCTGCGCAATATACCACTTCATCCTGTTTCCTGTTTGTGTACATTACACACCATTTATAGGGGAATCCCATCTCCATGCCAGATTTCACTTTGTCTTTTGTTCAGATGTCACATAAGTGAAGAAACTAAGAAGAATAAGATGTACTTGAAGTGTAGCAGAAGGAAAAATATAAAACATGAAGTGCTGTGTCTTTCACATTCAGGTTGTTTTCGTCTGGAAATTTATCGCAATTTGCTTTGTAAACAATTTAAACCTGTAACAGTAATAGATATATTGTTGGAGACATGTTGTTACACGTACCGGTACCTCTCTGTGAAATCACTCTTTTCCTTCATCAATAATTAAATATAAAGGATATTTTAAAAAGATTGTATGAAAAAAAGAATGAGCTGCTCCCAAGGGTTTTCATAGAGTTGCCAATTTGTGTGCCATTTGATCTCCACTGTAAAGTATCATACCTTTTAATCCTTTATCATATTTTCCTTCAACATTAAACAGAGCTGTTTCTTTGTCTGAAATCCACTCTACTGTATTCTCTTTCAGAAAAATACTTCACGCCACTCTTCTGCTTTCTGCTATTCAATGGAATGGATTTTTTTGGTAGATCTATGTCATTTATACAGCAGGTTAGTTATTTTGTTTTGAACACTTTATAAACAGAATATTTCATTCATTCAGTGAAATTCAATTGAAATAATATTCCCTGCATTGAAAAACTAATAACAATAATGGGCATAGTAAAATATGTCTTGTTTACCCAGGGTAGCCTCATAAATATTTATACTGTTCTCCATGAGGGCCCTGCAATCCTATAATTTCCCTGGCCAGTGTATACCAATGTATATATGTGACTATAAAGTATAAACACATTGAAGTGGTATTTCAACCATGCTTTAATTCAGTTGTAATAATAATAATGATCTTTTAAAGTCCACTCCAAATTTTATTAAGTTAAACCAAAAATGGAAATTCTTTTTGCCCAATTGATCGTGAGCCCTGCAGCCACTGAGCAGCGCCAGATCGACGTTGCTCTATCCCTTATTGTTGAACGCCAAACAAGGTAGCAGCAACTCCCGTCTTTTAACGTCTTTTGGTATGACACGGCCGGGGTTCGAACCCACGACCTCCCGGTTGTGAGGCGGACGCTCTACTGACTGAGGTGTCGTAATATATTTCTAGCCAACAGTAACTGAAAGGGCTAGTGCATGTTTTAACCCTTTCACGATAATCATTCCACATATTGTGGGTTTGGCTCATTGACTTATAATTCAGAGCCCTACAAAATATGCTAGATGCAATTAATAGTAGAAAGAGCAAAAATTTCTGCACTCACTTCATCATTTTTTCTTTTGTTATTGAGTTTGATGTCAGAATTGAAAAAACAGAAATAAGCATTTAAATCCTTAAATCATTCCAAATCATTGTTTTTGTTAATCAAATTTGGCCATTTCTCAACTTTTAGACAACATTCTTGCCCATGGTTATATTGATTATATTTTATTTGAACAATGTAGCTATACAAAGAAAGATATTATTGTTGCCACTTCGAAGAACAATATGTGATCAATTTAGCCCTAAAAATAAATCCTTTCCTGTCAGTCTGCTACAATATGGTTTGTGAAGGAAACTGTTTCAAGAGGTTTTATTGAAATCTCACAGAATTACTACATGAACCATAAACAGTGACAAAAATATAAGTAAATAGATTAATTGATTTGACTATGAATCAAACATAGATCAGGGCAGTTGTATTCATCTAGTCATATGTTAATCATTATTTTTCCCCCTTTTATTTAACAGCCCAGCCAAAACCACATGGGTATAGTGAGTCTGCTGGTCGTTCTACGATTAGGTTTCTTCCCTCTCTTTGCGCTGTGTAACGTCAGTCCCGACTCAAGGAATTCTGAGGTTATCTTTATGCATGATGCATACCCTATCGTCTTCATGTTCTTCTTTGCTGTGTCCAATGGTTATCTCGGATCACTCTGTATGATGTATGGCCCAAAGTAAGTAAAAAAAATAAGCTTGTCAGCTTAGTTTTTGAGATAAATAAATCATAAATACTACAAAATTGAAGAATAGCTGTAGGTTAGGCTTATTTCAGTGGCAGAGGCATTATGTTTTCAGGTTGTCTGTTTGTCTGTCTTTTCTGCTTTTCGCTACCGCAATTACTCAACAACCATGTAGTGGATTTCAACCAAACATGGATCATATATGTATGTGCATGCAAGGATGAACTGATTCGATTTTGGGTGGAAGAGGTCAAAGGTCAAAAGTCACAGGTTCATAAAAGTGTTAAAAAGCAATTCAAACCAAATACGAATGAGCATACAGGGATGAATTAGTCAGATGTTAGGCAGAAAGGGTCAAAGATCAAAGGTCACTGGGTCATAAAAGTGTTTGAAAAATGCCAGAAAATATCTTGTTAAATTTGAGAAAAATCACAAGAGGAAAAACCAAGGAATTTCATTGGCACATTTTCTAATGTCCAAACAGCATATCCATGGAATAATGGGCAAAGTATGGTGTATAGTGCCCGTATGAATAATTCTAGAATTTTGACAAAACATCTTGGAAATAAGGAATTTGTTTTTATGAAATGCTGGGAACCCAGTATTGAAGATGCATGAAAACTAATTGTGTTGTTCTATGTTTGTACTTTTTTTTTTAGGTATGTGCAGCCAGAGCACCAGGAGACAGCAGGCAACATGATGGCATTCTTCCTGGTATTAGGATTGGCTACAGGATCAGCTATTTCAGTCTTGGTCTTATATGTACTTTGATAGGTCATGATGATGATGAGTCTCAAAGCAAGTTACAGTACAAGATACAGGGTGGTATAAAGGCTGCATCATGTGATTAGATAAAAAGAGAACATTATATAAATGATGCTCTCAAGTTGAAGCTCTATGCATCTATCTTACAAAGCCGCTAGGTTGAGTATGATAGGTGCATGAATAGCCTCAACAAAAAGCTGATAGATCCTGTAACGAACGAATGAAAACGTGCATCATTATATGTTTTGTACAATAAAACTCCTAGATCGTTGTTATTTATGCAGAGGTGACTTTACCTCTGCAGTGCTGCGCATGTACATGTACAGTATAAGTGCATTAACCTCTTCATTCCCTGCTGCACATTGCATACCGGGTACTTAAAAATTGTTGGATAGTACTGGAAACTATTGCATGCTTTTTCATCAAAAAATGTGTGATAGATAAACGAATCACACATGACCATGTTTGACCAACCATTTGACTAGGATCTAGGAGTGAGTTGTATGATACTGAATGAATGTAGGTACAGGTATATATATGGAGCTATCCCATAAAGGTCTTACAGTTGAATGCTACATCCTGCCATTATATGCCGTTGATTTATCCTGCTTAAGGGAACCTTTGTGAAATATTGCATTACCAATATATTTTAGATATTGTTTGATCTGTGGTGCTAAGTGATGATTTGGACTACAAAATCAAGGAAGAGAAGAGGCAAACCAAAGCTATTTTGTCTTGTGCTCATCGGAGTAAACCTGAAGAATGTACCATAGCTTAAAAACAGACCATTTAAATCCGCAATATGTTGTGTGGTGTACCTGTGTCTCGATGACGAGATGATTTGTACTCCCGGTGGGGTCACTCCCCTGCAAAGAGTGACACGTATGACCGTTACCACCAATGCATATAACCCCCTTTTGCGGTCAATTTCAAGGACATTTTGTGAAATTTAACCCCCTTTTTTACGTCAAAACAAGGACAAAATCGTACTTTGGAATACCCCTATTTATAAGATTGTAAGGACACTTTCGAAAATTTACCCCTATTTTACCATATTTCAAGGACAAGACTCGGCTCCGAGAATTTTTCTTCCCGGTTTTCTCTTTTCCCTTTTCCTGACCCCTATTTATCAATTTCGGGGACACCTGTGCCCCCCTATTTTCTTTATTTCGAGGAATATTTTGTCCGCGGACATTGCTTGAAATTGACCCCTTTTTCCGCGATTTTGGTAACGGTCATGCGGTCCGGAAGTCACATTGAGTGACCCCACCGGGTTTGTACTACGAAATCAAATATCATTCAAGAGATACATACCGAGGCATTTTATCTGGCACTCATTAGAGGAAGCTGCAACATTGATCAGATGACTGAAATTAGACTATTTAGATCCGCAATCTGTTGTGAAATATTTAGAAGGTGTAATATGACAGCTGATTTCATATGATGTAGATGTAATATCGAGAGCAGTATTTCTCACAAGATTATCGAAACTGAAGTACGGTAAACACATGGATAAAAGAGTGTCTATTTCTGTGTAATTCAATAGATACGTCTAAGAGCAAAAATCCTGGAGTTTAAACTTGAGAGTACCTTAACAATGAATTTTGTAAAGATAATATTCTAACTTATATTGGTTTATTCTGTCATCTCCTTAAAAATATATATTTTACCGAAACCACTGGCATTTAAAAGCATTGATGTTATACAGTGTACCTAGAAAAAAAGAAAGATATATGGTATATAGTATATACATAAATTTGGATGTGGAAATGCGTACTTTACTTGAAATATTTGTACTATTAAAGGTTTGTTACAAATATTGAATTCTGAAAATGTAGGTAGTATGTATTTTCAGTACTTCAATTACAAAGTTGTTCTATCTTTGATCATAATTCCAAAGGTCTAGGTAGGCCTGTGCTAAGTGATATTCTGAATAATTCTTTTATGTCAGATGAATGTGATGTAAGGGGAAATTGAACCTTTGTGGAATACAGATAAAAATCTAACAAATTAGTGAAAATTTAGAAAAATCTGACCAAGAATAAGAAAAAGTGTTTTGAACCTTCTAAAGGTGGGATCATAAGTGAATTAGGGAAATCTGTTGATAATTCAGCCATGATTTATTATGTCATACAGGAAAAATCCTTCCCTCCCTCTCTACAAAAGATATTTAAGCATACCGGTAAATATATTTCATATGTTATGTGTAGCAAGTTTGTACAGGTAAAAAAAGAAGAAAGAATGAGATACATGTGCAGTGGGGAAAATGAAACAAAACAACAAACCAACACACAGAATAGTTCTAAGAATTTTCCTTGTATGATGTCCATATAAATGATTCCATTGCCTAGAGCAGGACTCCCAATATGAAAGTCAAGTCATCTGAGTTTTACAGAAACATTCAACAATGTTTCTTTGCCTCCACCCAAAACTGACGTTTTATAAATGGTCAATACCCATGTGAGCTTCAAGTAATGTCCAATTAAACTTCTAATACATACATTTGAAGTAACTGCCTAATTCAAGAATAAATGTAAATCATTGCATAATATCTCAGGGTGCAGTATATGTATAGATTAAGACAATTTTCTTGTAAGATATATATAAATTTATTTGAATATGAACTTGTGTATATGAAATAGTTTCAGAGTTTCTCCAGTAATATTTTCAACAAGAAAACTAATGAGAAATTTGAATGTGTTTTGTGAAAATGTGAGTCTTCCTTTGTTGCATTGTAAGACAAAGTTTTCTTGTCAAAAAGTTGGTCCTATACAATGACAGTACAGTTTGCTCAGAAACAGGTCTGTACAGTGGAGCTTCGTTATATAAAACTTTGCATATAACTTACCATCGGTGGTAACTTTGCCATTTATGATAACTTCCATGGAAACCTTGATTCGATTTGCTGTTGAGTGATGTTGTGATGGTAGTTTATATTAAAGGCAAAGTTACCATCAGTAGTAAGTTTTGTTTATGCAATGGAGCCCAAGTCCCACTGTAATGTATTTATTACATTCATGTATGTACCTTTCCATTTATATTCTTGTGCAGGTTGCAGGCTACATCTACTTAGTACTTGATACAATCAAACACATATGAAATACGATATATCTTCATGTATAAATATGTTTTATTTACAACAAAAAAAGATGAAGTGCTTTATTTTTTCGTGCCTTATTTTCTGTAACTTGTTCAATCAAATTTGTTTATGAGAATTATATTGAGTAATAAATAATTACAAATAAAAATTTATATTGAAAAGAATTTAGTATTGTCCTATTTCTGTATGTCGCTTGTGTCTATCCTTGACACAATACTGAACAAGAATTACTCTTTTTAAGTTTCAACATCAAATTAATGAAAGTTACAAAACGTCCTTGTCCCATCACAATGTATCCTTCATCAAGACAAAGCTCAAGTAACAATGATGAATCAGAATTAACTCAATACACCCACAATACAAAATGGCTTTACAAATTGCAGTATCCATTAATTAAACTAATCATCAAGACCTAATTACATCATTATCGACTGATGACAAGTAGATTTGTTTTCTGTTTAAAATACAACAAATTAAAAATCAAATCAGGACACCATTTCAATCTTAACATGCAACAATTTCAGGAAAACTCGTTTGTATCATGGAATGTTCATCGTTTCAAGATTTTTTCCAGGATTTTGTAAAAAGTGGTGGTCTAATGCCCCCTCCCTCCCCCCCCCCCCCCCCAAAAAAAATGACAATCAAATGCAGAAAGGGGAAAGGGTGTCTGCGCCCTCTAGACCCCCACCCCCACTCTACCCTGTATGTAATTGGTGTGTTTTACATACTGCTCTTCCAATTATAACTAATGGAAGCACTCTACTGTGACTTAAGGGAGTCTATTTCAAAGACTGCTGATATAAGCCAGTTTGTAGGTGCAACCCGTGCATAGGCAGATAAAGGTCATTTGTACAAAAATTATAAAACCCACAAAGAGGAATAGTTGATAGATGCTCGTTAAACTTATGCAATCAATATGCATTTATGCCCCGATGGTACATTCTATTAAAGCTCCACTGCACTACTTATATCTACTTGCGCCCTCTTTGTAGCAAACAATGCCTAATCGGTGACCACTGGTCCCCCATGATCCTCTTTTTCTTATGTTAATTGAGAGCTTATTTGATGAGATAACCACCTGTCAGTGACCATGCAGGGAGGTCTAATCCCTCCTGGCCAAACTAGTGCGGTGGGGCTTTAAACACAGATGGAAGTATTCTTTTCAAAAGGGCAAACAAAAGGTATTCATGAAGCACCTCCATGACTTGGGCAGTGATTATTGTAAAATGCACAAAGTGGGACGTCTCCATGTAATCTGGATATTCTGGATTATTCAACCATAAGCTAATGAAGAACTGGTCTATTGTTGCCTTCTAATTATTCCATTTTTTGGTGGAGAAACATCACTTGAGCAACAACCCTTGGTCTCCCTGGTTCTTTCTTTGTACAAGTCTCTTCAAATCTTTGACATAAGATGGTTCTTTAATACAGGAGTTTTCATTTCTTCTTGTTCTTGTTGCTACCTGATAGAACGTCCAGAAACTTTCCTCTTGTCATCTCACGAGCTGCACAAAGTAAAACAATATTGGTGCTCAAAGTAATGTTATTATTTAAACATACTACAGGTAAAATATGGCATATTGGAATCAACTTTAATAAGAGAAATCAAATAATCACATAGCTCCTCCTACTACTACTGCTGATTTTGATAAAGCGGGCATTAAATTGGTTTCAGGCCTTTCAACACATTAAGAGCACCGTGCCAGATAATTTGCATAAATTTATTCTGCTTATATTAGTTTGGTAACGTTTTAAAAATATGTGCCCAGACACACAAAAGAGAAATAGTTAAGGTTGAATATGAGGCTGATTTCTAAGGAGATGAGGCAAGATTGCATGAAAGAAGGTCAAGATTTAAGAGACTGCATTTGAAAGCTTCCTTCGTAGACTCACCTTCTTCTAAGCCAAGTTGGTAGGCTAGGTTTTGCAGACCTTTTACTTTCTCCATTAGATTGGATGTAGTTAAACTACCAAGCTCTGACAAGGGAAGATAAAAGAACCTGATTAACATTATGCAAATCATTGAAACAATTCAAAATATTTCCAGTATCATTAATGGCATATTCACGATCAAATTGTTTACACAAGGGTAGTAGACTTGTTAGACAAAGGGAGATGGCGAGACATGCCACATCACTTCCTATTCAAAACTACTATCAATCGTAATAATTTGTATGTGTGCTAGTTGGTCAGTAATTCTTGGCTAATTTGTCAGCAATTTGGTTCTGACAACCCTCAACCCAAAAGAGAATAGTCTAGTGTTGCACCTGTTCAAGGTTTTATTATCTATATCTCGCATCATGATCAGCATAACAAGGGTGAACCAGATTTATTTCTATGTTTTCTGTTGTACGCAGAAAACCTAAATTTTGTATTCTTTCAGTTTCATCAATATTCGACTTCAAACACATTTGTTTTGAAAAGCCTTGCAGAAATGTGTCGTAAATGACATCCTCTTTCACATTATGATACAATTCAAGTGAAATTTTGCCATCAAATGACTTCTGTTAAACAATAACATGGTATTGCCCAAACTTACATGTATGGGTCATGACTACAATAATTTCATTTTCTAACCAGGTACATATCAGAAAAAACTGGAATAATGGAGTTATTCATAGATACAGGCTATGTTACAGTACTAAACATCCCACACCAAGGATAGCATGTTAAATGGAGGAGAATCTCCACCTTTGCATATTAAGAACAAATTTCACTATTCATATAAGAGTAGGGGGAAACCCCATGTAGTAGTCGACCTACACAACCCCAATCAGTTATACCAAGAGGAGAGACAGAGGGTTACAGTGATTCAGTTTGCTTATCCCTTCCCAGGCACTGATGATGTTAATACTTAATAAAAATACAGTAATCATAATTTTCTTGTATAACTTCTTAGAAAACCTATTAATGAACATGCCAGTAGTCAATACACGACATTCCAGGACACTGACAGCCTAAAAGTCTGACAATGCCACTTTCATGAAACCTCAAAAAACTGTCAAGAGGCCCACTAGACCAATAGCATTGTCTCATGGGCTGTCAGTCTCATGTCCTGCATGTCGTATAGGCTATAGCCAGACAAATAAAGAAGAGATTCTTACCATTGAGCATATCAATGTCATTCTGTTCCAAATCAGCTTCCCAAGGGGGCGAGTTTGCATTGTTGAATGGCTAACCATAGAAAATAAAGATATCCTGTTTAATATCATGCTAGTAAGTCATATTGAAGATGAAAACAATTATATCTCCTTTAAGTTACCCAGTACCCTGTAGGGAAATATTCCTTGAATGCCAGAGCTCCTTAAACCGGGTAGCTCCGCTAGAATGGTAAAGGCACAGTGCTATATATCTATGTGACTATTATTTAGCTTTAGTTATTCTTACGATTTTATGCATTTTTATGGGTATTGGTAATAGACTGTTACCACCAGGGGTGATAGTGAGCACTAAAAAAAACTAGGTTTTTTGTTTTCCTCTCAACCACACCCCCCCTTGTGTAAAAAAAAAAAAAAAAAAAAAAAAAAAAGAGGATTCGCGGGGAAAAATGGCATCTAACAACATTCCCCCCTTTCGAGTAAGAAAATTGGGGGAAAAATAGGGCAAAATAGGGAAGAATAGAGAAAATAAGAGGGAAATCAGGATAAAATATGGAAGAAGAAAAAAAAAAAAAAAAAAAAAAAAAAAATGATTTTTTTTTTTATTTTTTTTTTTTAATAAATCTGGAAAAAATCAGGAAAAAAAAAAAAAAAATCAGATTTTTATCAGGCCTTTACCACGCTCATGATTTACTGCCCGACGGGAAACATGCCCGAATAGTTAATTAATTACCAGCAAATTCAGGAAGAGTAACCAGATGGATGGCATAGAAATAGACAATACCATTATCAAATGTGTCGATGCCGCTATAGATCTTGGCGTGCAGCTAGACAAAAATCTTACAATGAGAGCTCAAGTCAATAATGTATGTAAAACCAGTTTGTTTGCTCTGCACAAAATTGGAAAAATCCGCCAATTCCTAACCAAAGAAGCTACTAAGCAGCTGGTGCATGCCCTGGTTATATCTCGTATAGATTTTTGCAATAGTTTACTATATCCTCTTCCGTATGTTCACACCAATAAATTACAAAGAATCCAAAACTCAGCAGCCGGACTTATCACTAGAACTAAACGCAGAGAACATATAACACCCATACTTAAACAACTGCACTGGCTGCCAGTTAAGTCCCGTATTAATTATAAGATCCTTTTACTGACATATCAATGCCTAAACGGTACAGCCCCGTCTTACCTCCAAGATCTCATTCTACAATATACCCCTACAAGAACATTAAGATCAAATAGTAAATCCCTCCTGGTAGCTCCAAGCACTCAAACAAAATATTATGGCACTCGCTCTTTCAAAAATTCTTCGTCCGAATTGTGGAACAGCTTGCCTGATATTGTCAAACAGGCAAGCACAACAGAATCATTGAAGACTCTGTTGAAGACCTATCTTTTTGTAAATTGTTAATTTTGTTCCAGCTGTTTAGTGACTTCTTTGGTAATAGCATCATGTACATATTTAATATTTAATTTAATTTTCATTTAATTTTCATGTTTAAATTTGTATTACCTAAATTACCCTATTACATGTAAGCTAAATAGGAATTGTGTATCATTATTGTTGTTGTAATTAATTATTTTCATGTATGAGGCATAAATGTTCATTTCTATTCCACCCTTTTCCTTCTTTTCTAAGTGCATAGGGACTTTCTTTGTGTTAGTGATATGTGCTATACAAATAACGTTCATTATTATTATTATTATTATTATTATACAATGTTATGTAAAATGATCTAAATGAGTGTTTCCAATAACTGCCCCTCCTCCAGAAAAAACCACCACTATATACAAACTGCATTTAAAGAAAAAAATAAAACGATTACATGGTTTTTAATTTCAGCATGCTCTATTCTGACCCCATTTAATAAAACTGATGTCACAATCCTATAACAAATCTGCTCACAGCCCATCAAATGCAATGATTTCAGCTGTTTATAAAAAGTTTTATCATGAAACAGGACCCTGAGTGTTGGTTGCATTCCCACTCATTTTCCACTCTTTCTCTTTCTTTCCTTCCCTGCACTTTAATATTAATATAATATTATACTTACACTTTTGATGTCAGCAAAATTGGAAACTCCAGGAACTGCAATAAAGTAAAGAATTTAAGAAAAAACAGGTACAGATAATAACTTTAATGAAAATATCAAAACGAAAGAAAAGCAGGCACTTCTCAAATTCATTTATCACATACCGTAATCTAACTACTGTGCCAATGAATTATACTGGTATTTTTTTCTAGTCACAAACCAAATACTACCTTAAAATCTCATTATCTAGCTATTTCTCTTGAGCAGTTAATGAAATCTTCCTCTAATGAATATACTCCATTTGTTACAGGAACATAATTATTTCCACATCATGCTCCAAAAGGCGCCTGGATGAATGAGCCCCATGTTAACACTATTAGATTTAGGGGTGCAGACTTTTAGGCACCAATGTGTCTAGAGTGCCTGTTAGTGTCAAGACCTTGGTTTGGGGTACCAAACAGTAGAGTGCATTTGCCCAATGGGATATGCCCTGCATTAAGCTGAAGGCACACACACACTCCTGGTGAAACGTCTTACTTTGCTCAGGCCACAGTTCTGGTGATGCTCGGTCCAACCTTTCAAAACTCAGAAGAGTTGCTTCCAGATCTGTTGAAAGACAAACACATTGACAAGAAGTAATAATCACTATTCTAGACAAGCAATTAAATATACATGCCAATATTTTATGTTTAAATCTTACTCTTAGAACGAGGCTTACTGGAACGTGAGCGCTAAGCCTTAGGTACTCACCCATTAAATATAGATTTCAAAGGATGCAAAGCTATTAAATATAGATCCTAGACTAATTTTAATTAGGCCTATAAAAGGCTATAATTCTAAAAGATATAACCCTTACAAGTAGGAGAGAGGGCCATGGCCCTTGCCTTAATACTAAAAAAAGGAAACCCTACAGCCAAAAAAGGAGGGCATGATTTGGCTAAAAAAAAAGTGTTCAGGGCAAAAAGAAAACTGGTTTCCTCAAAGACATCGCGATAATGCCGATCTAGCAGACCTCTAACTCACTCAGCTCAGAGGCATAACCATAGACTAGTCACTTGGAACTTTACTTCTGTCTGACTTAGCCAGCCAGGTGCCCCATATTATTAATCTGCATCAACAAGGAAGGACACCACCAGGGGCGGTATTCTGAAACTTGTTTTATCTCTAATATTGTTGTATCTTTGCTGTTAAGATAAAGAATTAGAGTTGGTATCTTGAAAATTGTTGTAATTTTTGTCTTACCAGTAAATTTTATTGCAACTTTTCTGTGATCTCTTTGCCTGCGCTCAAACTTTTGTGCGCCTGTGCATATTATTAATAAAATGGCGCTTAATCCTCATTTGCATATGCGCATGGAATATAATGACAAGATACAGTCTAGACCTAATGAGTATTCTAAAAATTATTGTATCTTAGTCTAGATCTAGATCTATATTTAATTTCATTTCCTCAAAGATATCAAGATATTCTGATCCAGTCCAACTCAGTCAGAGGCATAACCTTAAACTAAATTCCGAAGTTTACTTCATCTGACTTAGCCAGCCAGGCGAGCAAGCCAGGTCAGGGGCTCCACATCACATGCATACATCGACAACAGTCAACACGGAAGGACACAACCTGGGCATTGTTTTATGAAAGCGTCCTGAAGTACAATTCAGTTCACCGATAATTTCCGACATCCCCTTGAAACGCGTCTTAAACTTGATACAAATATTTTAATGGGATGTCAGTGAACTTGTACTGACCAAGATGATGACGTTTTCGTGACCGCTGCCCAAGCTGGGTGTTTCCATTTACTGTACCACTTCTTTCTGACCTACCTGACACACTTAATCTGACACACTTTTTTCCTATTCATTTTCTACACAGAGGCATTTTCAAGAGCCATGATCTGTGATTGGCTTTTTTGCTAGTAAATTTTCATGATTATGCAAATTATTAAGATCGCGCGCACAGTTCATATTCTTTGTTTTGGTCTTGCGAAAAATACGACCAACTTTTCAAAAAGTTCCTGAAAATGCCACTTTGAGCGAGAAAATGTTATAATGAGTCAGAGCTCTTTGTAATTTCTGAGGTATGCATGTTGATTTGGTAATATTTAAATGTTATGAAACGGACGTATATTTCTTCTCAGGACCATGTTTTGAGGGGTAACGGGTTTATTTTTCGCCCAATGAAGGTGATTGCAGCCATTATGTTACTGCACGACTGCTAGCCACGGCTGTGGGGCCGGAGCCGCCCCGCCGGTCAGCTGATCGACCTGCTGGGGCCTAATCATACAACATGACTTTGTCTATATAGGACTTGTTTGTAGCATCAGAATTAGAAGTTCAGACGTTGGTCTACAGAAACACTACAACTTTTACTAATGTAGGCTTAGACGTACGGCTGAACTTCTAATTCTTATGCTACAAACAAGTCTAGCTATGCAGACACAATCATGTTGCATGATTAGGCCCCAGCAGGTCGATCAGCTGACCGGCGGGGCGGCTGCGGGCCCACAGCCGTGGCTAGCAGTCGTGTAGTAACATAATGGCTGCGATCACCTTCATTGGGCGAAAAATCAACCCCGTTACCCCCTCAAAACATGGTCCTGAGAAGAAATATACGTCCGTTTCATAACATTTAAATATTACCAAATCAACATGCATACCTCAGAAATTACAAAGCTGACTCATTATAACATTTTCTCGCTCAAAGTGTCATTTTCAGGAACTTTTTGAAAAGTTGATCGTATTTTTCGCAAGACCAAAACAAAGGATATGAACTGTGCGTGCAATCGTAATAATTTGCATATCATGAATATTTACTAGCAAAAAAGCCAATCACAGATCATGGCTCTTGAAAATACCTCTGTGTAGAAAATGAATAGGAAAAAAGTGTGTCAGATTAAAGTGTGTCAGGTAGGTCAGAAAGCAGTGGTACAGTAAATGGAAACACCCGCCCAAGGCCAAGCTAAGCCCTTCACCATCCGGCCAGCGCGGCGCTGAACTGGGCGGCTTGTAGTGGGGGCGAGAAAGTACAGTACTTCAGCTCAGCTCAGCTCACTCAGCTCACATACACTGCCTCACTGTTATTGTTAAAACATTGCACATTAACGATCATTCAACGGTTCAAAATGTCTTTTAAATCAAAACAGAAATCCACATCATTCTCTCGAGCAACCTTGATTTTAAAAAGTTTAAGAAAACACATAAATACTTTAAGAAGAATAAGGAAACTAAATTGGAATTGAAATTTACCCGCACTGCCTGGCGACGCCATTTTTACAAGCCCTCTCTCGGTTGTTTCTCGTACAATGTTTACATTCGGGGGATGAGCTGTGTGTACTTGTGTGGCAGCATAATGCATTATTGAATGAGGCGAGTTCTAAGTGGTTCTGAGTAGTGATGTCAATCGTATATCTATTATTTGCCAGAAAATGGAGTCAAAATGCCATCGCTTAGTAGCAGGCCGTGTAGAAGATGCGAACGACCAGTCACATGATTTAATTTACCATGGTATTGTTGATGATACACCTTTGTTGCCTTCAACTTCAGTACAGGCAAGTAGCTTCTTTCACAATAGGTGCATAATATTATCCTGGCTCTCTATTAAAAGCTGTGCTATGATTCTTAACATTTCAAACACCGCTGTACAAAATTCAACTAATTTCACTCGAAATCGGTACTCTATTGACGATTGATGACACACAAATATCAGTAAAATACAATTCGTTCAACTTTCCGATGTCAGAAAGAATAATTTAAAAATTCAAATTGTGAGTCTACTGTCAAATTTGCCGATCAGACGCATTGGCATGATTGTGTGCATTTGCGTGTTGTGAGTGTATTGACTATTCATGTATTCAAATGCTGCCTATTAACACGTAGTGCAGTGCTAAAGGTCAATACGCATTAGCATCGACTCTCTATGCTATTTGCTAGAGTGTACTTCTTTACTAAAATATATAGTTACCCAAACCAAGGCTATACTAAAGCTGGGCCATAGGACCTGACAAAACTGGGCACAAGTTTCTGCACATGTTTATGCTTCCACTTCTTCTTTCCTTTTACTGTCCCCGCTTTTATCTTTCTTTTTATCGTGTATTTCCACAGGAATTTTCAAAAATCCTATTCAGACCCTTTTTCTCGACTGAGATGAGTAGTTTACTGTTTAGTCTTTTGAGTTTGACTTTAACTTAGTTTAAGGCAATTTGAATTCTCATTATTTTCTGAACTTGGAAATAAATCAGGGTCTTTCGATTGGATATGACTTTATAGTATCCTCTCACTTGCAAGTTTTGATTCGCTTGTCACAAAAGCAACCTCAAATTTCAAGTTTTATCAATTCTGATATATCATATATATTCCAGACTTGATCGTTGCTGGAAGGAACAGTGTCATATCTCTCAATACTCGAACTGATTTTTTCAATTTCTTTGCTCCTGGGACATTGTACATGGTATATTGTCCAGTCAAGATGCAACCTCTTGCCCCTCTGCCTCCCTTGCATATAATGAGAATTATTATTAAAGAGTATGAGTACAAGAAGATAGACCAAGAAGATAGACCTGGAAGCTCGACTGCTGTCTCAGCATTCTTCCAGTATTTGCGGTAAAGGTAAAGGTATCATTAGTAATTCTACCCCTACCCCCTACCCCCCCCCCCCCACCCACCCCTTGTGTGTTCGGCAAGGGTTATCATCTGTGTGTAGCCGTAGGGAAGGTTGACAAATGTCAGTTTAGTTAAAGAATTCCTCATACCACTACAGAGGGTTATTTCTGCTAAGTGATTGATTGATTGATTGATTTTTATTCGACAAGCTTCCAACATACAACAATATACAATAATAACAGATCAGAAATAAGTCAGCTTGAACAGGATAACCCACGAAAGCTCAAGAGCTTATTTCCAGTGGGGTCCACTTCTCCTGCTCGATATCACACGCCAAGTTCTTCTAGTAATATTGAATGTCCAGTATTAATTTTCTTTTTCAGGAGGCTGTGACTGAGAGAGTGGAGCCAGTTGCATATGGAAAGACATCTTTTGGATTATCAGTGTTCAATCTGATGAATGCTATACTAGGGAGTGGGATCTTAGGCTTACCCTTTGCAATGGCACAGTCTGGCATTATCCTCTTTAGGTAAACTAAAATCGACACCTGTTTTCCTGGGTCATATTGAACAATGTCTGTTACAACCTGGGCCTTATCAAAAAATACAAACCACTCGTTAGTTCAACAAAGTATTTAAGCATTTATTTCATCAAATGCTTGGTGCTTCAATAGAATTGTAGCCATATCCAATGTGAAAAATTTGCTTCATTGGTATGGTGGCAGCGATGGGTTGTAAACCCACATCATTAAAAATAACTGATAATACATATGATTTATAAGGCGCAAATCCACTTGATAGTCAAATGCTCAAGGCACAGCTTGTGCAAAAGATGAAATACATGATACATAATGCAATAGGAAAGGTAGAGACATGAAAGGTAATGGTAATCAATTACTGGTATAAGCTAAATTAAACAGATATTTCTTAAGATTGTTTTTAACACTTCAGCAGAACTGCTATACTTAATCCATTGAGGGAGAGTATTCCATGACTCAATCAAATGCATGTACAATACTCTTGCAACGTGTAGTATGAATTGATATTGGTTGTTACTTCTTAATTACCGTATACGTTGAAATCAATTCCAGACAACTAAAATCCCTCATCTTAGATGAAATTGTCATTTTTCATGATTTTTGTGCTTTTATAAACATAGTCATTACAAAGAATAAAGAATAAAGCTGATTTCCCTTGCAACAATAATATATTATTGACAAACCAAAGGCATACGATCGCCAGATCATTGTGATAACTGATGGGGGAGGGGGCAGTTGAAATGTGGTTTATTTCTAGATTTTCTAGGTTAGTTTCGCACAGTCCAAAATAGATTCTTGTTGCGGGTCTTGTACTTGCAAGCGCAAGGAAAATCATCTTTATTCTTTAGAACAGCTCTCAAAGTACTCACAATTTCCATGTTTCCTGCCATGACTGTGTTTATAAAAGAATAATGAAAACATAAAATGACAATTTCATCTAAGATCATGAAGATGAGGGATTTTAGATCTAGAAATCATGAGGGGAAAACAGTGTGGCGAGTTGTCTGAAAAGGCACCCCACCCTGGACAACTCGCCTGTGGCGAGTTGTCCAGGGTATTGTGGTGAGATGTCCAGGGTATTGTGGCGGGTTGTCTTGGGGCGGGTTGTCTTTGTGGCGAGTTGTCTGGACCCCGTTGAAATAAGCTTCTTTTTTTTTAAGTTTGAAGTTTTGGCATGAGTGAAAATATAACCTTGAACAAGTGTATTGGTTAATTGACAACATCCAATCGAGTTTGAGAAAGTTATCTTCTCTTTTTCTCTAGTTTGATGCTGTTGGTTGTTGCCATGATGGCAAACTACACAATTCATCTCCTCTTGAAGATGTGTGACATCACAGGCCATAGGTCATATGAAGACATAGGAAACAGTGCAATGGGTGTACCGGGAAAGGTAGGTTGTTTGAAGAGCTATCTTTAAACTGAATACTGAAACAATACTGAAATATTCATATTTAGACTCAAAACTCATCTTTCCAAATTAGCATGGTACTAAAGGACAAGAAATGTTGTAATTTTTCTCTTTGTAAGAACTTAATTGTTTTCTACACGTATATAGGTTTCTGTTTCATCTTCCTTTTATGATCGTGTTATACTTTATATATGTATATAAGTGCATTGAAATTTCAACAGACATGAAATGCGCTTTAAAAGAACAAAGTATTATTATATTATTATTATTCATTAAACATTTGAGAAAGTGTAGAATAATAGAATTCATATCCTAATATAAACAACTATTCTTTTGGTAAACTCACTTTTCATAAAATTAATTGATTATTCCTGACTCTTCATCACTCTCCCTTTGTCTCTATCCATTTACAGTTACCTCCCTATTTATTTCCACTCGTCTCTCATGCTATGCTTCTCCTCTTTTGTCATCTTCCTCCCCCCCCCCCATCACTTTCTGCATTCAAGTTTTATTACTTTGATACCGGGTTGTGCAAGGAACTGTATGAAAAAATGATGCATTGATTATGCTTGTTTTATATCATGAAATGATCAATACATGTTTTTTCTTGTTCTTTATTGTGTTTTCAGCTAATGGCAGCGTGTGCTATACTCCTTCAGAATATAGGTGGTGAGTACAGAATCCATATATACACTATTTTCATATTAATTAGTCATGAACAGTTATAATTATCACATGATTCACATCATTATCATTATCATTATTAGGCTAAAAAATGCATTGCACTGCGTATCACCTCTTGATTTCACCAAGATTTTTGTTTCTTTCTTTCTTTTTCTTTTTACTTTCTTTTCTATTTTGTTTGTTACATATCTCAAGAATGCATGAAGCCATTGTAATGCAATTAAAACATTAAGCTATATAGTTTCATAATTTGTTTCACTTAACATTATTTTGCCTTTCTTTCCCAGCTATGTCAAGCTATCTATTTATTGTAAAAAATGAGATGCCAGCAGTTCTCAAGACATTTCTACATGAAGATCAGTCTGCAAAGTAAGCCTCTTGTGAAGTAATGTAAATATTATTTCATTATCAAATTGCATCATCTGTCACCTCATTTTTACCTGTTACTATATTGAAGTGTATTTAGAAGTATCATACCAGTACTTCATAATTGGAATTGACCCTTTTACATACATATACAGTTGATATGAATGAAAGCATAGCAAAGTAAATTGGTAAATCACCGGTATCGAGAAAGAAAGAAAAAAAATGAAAAGCCTGTTATTAAAGTTTGAGAAAAACATGGAGACAAGGACTATAAGTGTTAAGGATTGTTGGGAGATGATATCATTATTGATATACTGGTATGGGACTACCATTTGTAAGGATTATGCCATATGGGGAGAATTAAATTCAACTGTAAAAGTATAATTTACAATTTTAATTAATATATTGTAAAATAACCTTCTCTCATTGCAAAACAAAAAGCAAGCCAGAACACTTTTAACTTGCATTCATAAATTCATAAATTATAATATGCAGCTCATTACACAGTAGAATGCACATCTGCATGATAAAAAGTGCCTCATTCCCTGAGCATAGTTAATTAAGACAGTTCATAGAGCTTATGCCACATCAGATTTTCTGCATGTTCCATATAAAATATTTTCATCAAAGCATTTTTGTAATGAAAGGCAGGGGGAAAGGGAGTGGGGTACTCTAAACTTTAGAAATATCATTCCCAATTTCTTTTCACTATACCTGAACTTGACTTAACCTTTGAAAATATAAAGAGACACTTCAGCACAGTAAAATCTCCTTCTAACAAACTCCTTTAGATGAAGAAAATTACCTTGTTGCTTGCCATGTCAGGGATAAAAAGCAAGAGATATTGACGAAATTGGGATGATTTACTGGGATTGTTATAACAGTGTTCTTCATAACAAGATTCAACTGTTATTGAAACATATTTGTGGCTAACACCCAGTAAATAAGATTGATTGATCGATCTGTATTGAAAAACAAGTCAGAAAAAATCTTGGAACCAGCGGGACTTGAACCTGCATCTATTGCTTGCCGGGCAGCGACATTTATAAAAGTTATTGTCCTATGGCGGACTAATGAATATTAATAAGTCAGAATGAATCAGGAGAACTTAGGTATTTGTTTCTAGTTCATCGTGACTGTGCCATGGACCATGCAGTGATGGCCTGGTGGTAGAGTCGCTGCCCGGCAAGCGGTAGATGCAGGTTCAAGTCCCGCTAGTTCCAAGATTTTTTCGGACTTGTTTTTCAATACAGATCGATCAATCAATCTTATTTACTGGGTGTGAGCCACAAATATGTTTAAATAATTGAAATTTCTCCCAGGAAGCATTTCATTTATAAAAGATTCAAGTGTATTACAAATGAATCCTAATCTCAGCTATGCGCAATACTCCATGCTAATTCATGTTCTTTCAAGCAGTGAGTGGTATGTAAACGGAGACTACTTGGTTCTCCTTCTCGTCTTCTTCATCATCCTCCCCTTGGCTTGCCTTCCTAAGATTGGTTTCCTTGGCTACACCAGTGCTTTCTCCATCCTCTGTATGGTCTTCTTTACAGTGGGGGTGAGTTGATGATCGATGGGGTCTTTAAAGGCATCGTTAAACAATGTTAAATCTGAGATGCATGGCCCTATGTGTTATCAGTATCTGTGATATGGTGTAATATTGAAGCCCTAAAAAAAATTGCGTTTCAAAATGATCATGAAGTGCCTCAAAAAAGTACAAATCTTTGAGTGACCGGTTTTACCATACTCCTTTTCCCCAATAGACTGTAGTGTTATGAAACACAAAATATCTTGATAATCAGACAGGCGATTGGTTTGTAAAAGTCATGGGATTCCTGAATGACCTGAAGGTTTATAATTATGATTGCAGCATGAGCTAAATCAAAGATTTTTTTTAAGGCTCTGAGACAAAGTTACCGGATCCCTTTAACTTTTGTGCTTGTGACTGCAGAGTGGGACGAAGTATGAAAATTTGTTTAAAGAAATTGAAGTTCAGAAATAAATTTATAGGATATATTATAGACTTTCAGCTCTCTAAAAAAAAAAAAAAAAGACATTGTGCATTTTCAAATTTCATGAAATTCACTACACTTGGTCATTTTCAACATTTTAAAAAGCTAAAACACACTTGCATGTATCTGCTTCAGACCTTTGAAATATTTCACTTGCTTTGCATTTTGCTTTAGTATGAATTATTCATCTATAACAGGCTTTATATCTGATGAACATTATTTAGAGAAAAGTGTCATAAGTAAGACTCTGCATTAAACTTCATTTATAGGCCTACTGGGAGACTGTTGGAATCTTGGTATGTGTTTGCATCATTAACTTGTTAATAATTTGAAAACTCGAAGATGCTCAATGAATGTGTCCTGTTTTCACTTGTGTGGTAATTAAAGCCCCCCCCCCCCCCCCACTTTTTTCTTTCAAATGCCACAACAAAATAAAATATGTAAGCCACGTAGTATGCTTCACATCTCTGTATGTTAAATAACACAGAGATATATAAGTCAGGTTGCCATTCATTAACATAAAAGGATATTGATTTGTCACAGCAGTTTAGGTTTTTTGTTTTTGTTTATCAAGTTGTTATAACAAGCTTTAGTCAGAGTTGAGCGCTATTTAATGAAGTAGACCATATTAATCATCTGTGTTCCACCCTATAATGTTCCTAATCATGCTTCTTTTTCAGATTGTTTACAAGAAATTTGGGTTTCCATGCCCGATTCCAATCACACCAGGGCCCAATGGCTCATTAGAGAATACCCTTGAAGACTACATGTACTACTCTCCTAAAGATAACCAGTCTGATCAATGCAAGGCTGAGCTCTTCTCTATCACCTTGCAGGTAATAACTCCACCATTTAAAATTGGTCTTGAGTTGTGGTAAATGAACTACATGTCAAGAGAAATCAGCAGTCTTTTCACAAATGTTCCTGCAACAACTGGGGAGTGTTTCACAAAGACTGAGATCGACTTTAAGTTGGACTTAAATATGGAAGGCCGTTCATGCCACTGTTTGCTCTCACCATTTACTGGCATTGTTCTCTCAAGGGACTTACAAATCATGGTCATAAATCTACAGATTTTACATATTTTTATAATTCATTATTGAAGGACAAAATATTATCTAAAGATCATAATTAATAGGCCTATGGTGAGAGCAAACAGTGGCATGAATGGCCTGCCATAGTTAAGTCAAACTTAAAGTGGATCTTAGTCTTTGTGAAACACCCCCAGCTCTGCAGTATTTTCCTGTACTAACTAATTGAAATTGCTAACCTCAACATTCGACCCAGTATGATACCTATTATACTCTCTATCCCCAAACCTAGCCTGAAATCCAATTCCAACCTAACCCTATACTTTGGAGGAAATGATGTTTGATCACCAATCAGGTTAACTTGAAAGAAAACCTTAACAGTATATTGCTCTGAGAAAAAGAAGAAAAATCAGAGAAGCATATTTAGCAGAGTAGCAGACAAACAATATGAAAGTATTGAATTCTTGGAAATTGTAACTTAAATGTGTCGATGGGCAATTTACCTCTTTGTTCCAATCCACAAAAAGACTAAAATGTATTTTTTTTCAAAATCTATGACTAGATAAAATCTTAAAATGAGGACTTTTTTTTCTTTTCTTACTGATATAGATGTTAATCTAAATGTGGTGCATACTGGTAATGAATATGAAAAAAACTGTTGTACACCTAGTATAATCACAAGTTGTGAACATTCTCTCTGAGTTTACATACAATATACCAGATAAATGGCTTATTTCCATTTCCGGCAGATGGTTATTGTTTTTCAAAACAAAGCATATGTTGCTCTATAGAAAGGAAAGTAAATGAAAATTAGTTACACGAATCAATTAAAATCTTTACTTTAAAATAGAAAGACACTTACCAATGTTGATGGAATCCTGTCTTGGTTTGTTGTGTTTATTTGTATTTGTTTGTTTGTTTTTTTTACTTTACTTTTACCATCAGACGGCATACACAATACCTACCATGGCATTTTCCTTTGTGTGCCACACAGCAGTACTTCCAATATATGCAGAGTTATCAAGGTAAGTCTATCAAATTCCATTTTGGCAAGGGTATTTTCTTTAAAAATTTGATTTTTTAAATGACTTTTGAAGTTGCAGTGCTTGATAAGGCAGAAACCTGCATGTATGTACAACTGTACTATAATTGAAATATCCCTCCACTCTGGTTTTTACTACAGAAACCCTCTGGATTAAAACAAAAATGTATTAAACATTTATAAGAACCATGTCCACTTATTTGAACAAACTTTATATGTCAATATATCAATTCTTCCTCAAATTAACCAAATTCCAACATAAGTAACTGGTCTCCATGTTTTATAATTGCTAGTGATGTACACAATCCAATCTTCTCTTATCAACATGATACACCCCTGCAACACTTTCCAAAATATTTCCAACTTTAATTTCTTTTCTTTTGATGACTGTAGGCCAACAAAACGCAGAATGCAGAATGTAACCATCACATCCATTGGTGTTTGTTACACCTTGTATATGATCGCATCGCTCTTTGGATACCTCACATTCTATGGTAAGCTTATCGGCAGCAAAATCAAAGTTGCATCCTGGATTAAAGGACAGAGACATTTTATTATGAGCTTAAAAAATGCATCATCATAGACCTTACACGTCCCACGTTGCAAATATAGAGGAGAAATAATCAAAAGGTTTTTTGTTCATATTTTAAATTAAATTCTTTTGACAGGTACAAATTGATCCTAACGAATTGAATCAACCTGCCGCCCCTTGCTATTTGGGGGGATGTTTTAAGGACAATTTGTTCAGTAATTTGAGAGTATTTTAAATACTGCAAAGTCTAGTACTGTATATATCTTGTTTCTTGTTGACAGTAAAGATAATTTAAATTATTCAACAGCTTTGCTTTTTTCTCCTCTCTACCACCCCTCCCCTCCTAGTTCTCCTTTTACCTCTACTTTATTCAATTCTTATTCCCTTCAACTTCTCTCACTACAACACAAGTTCATTGTTTTGCTTTCTCCTAATTCCCGGTACTTTTGCTGCCATCTATTTTCAACTTTTTAAATCCGCAATTTATTCTGGTGTCCCTTTCGTTGTAATGTATCCTACTTGTAATTGTCAGATCAATTTATGGAAAAAAACTAATCCCCTAATACCCTAATCCCCACAAAAATTGCAACAGAAGTTTTTTTCATTGCTTTCCCATAATATTTGATATCAGGAACAACATACCAAAAATCAAGAAAATCGGACCCCCAAAAGTCGTTACTTTCAAATGGCGCTCAAGATGGTTCCCAATAGCTTATAATAGCCATAAATCATGATATATTCATCTTAGAGATGTGATTTTGGTATCTAAACCTAGGTTTGTTGGGGGCGAGGAATCCATTTATACTAATTACGATGGGCTATTAAGGCCACCAAGAAACCTGGAAATCCAAGATGGCGTCCAAAATGGCTGTAGGATTTCTTGACCTTTTTGTAAGCCATAGTCTACCCGATAAACGACATGTGATGTGATGCACATCAACTAAAAAGTTATGATAGGGTCGTAGGCGTCATAACTCTGTAGTCAAGATGTTGTCCTTGATCTTGGCAAAGATGACTTAGTGAAACGGGCAGCAGACAAGTAGCTTACTAGTGCTGATTTAGTCAAGAAGTTAGACTTATGCTGGTTTTAAGAAACGGGGCCCCTGAACTATTATTTTCTCTTAAATCTGCAGAGGGCATCAACAGTGAGATTCTACATGGCTATAGTTTATACCAAGAAGATGACCTTCTACTACTGATCATCAGAATAGCTGTTCTTACTGCAATTGTCTTTACAGTCCCTATCATACATTATCCAGTAAGTCAGGGTGAGGGAAGTTTCGGGGAGGGGGGAGGGGGCTGTTCAGTAATTCATACTATGTCTTCATGGCGTGAAAGTCAATTCCCCTTCGTAAATGACCTTAATAAATGATGATGATGATAATAAGGGTGAGATATATTTTTTCAATTTGTTGATTTAAAAAAAAGTTATCAGAGTGGTTACTCCGTTTACCAGTTGGAAAATAGAAAAAATTTGTACGGGATTGCAGAATATTATTAGTATTATTCAATCACATCTTGATATTTTGCAAATCATTTGTAGAAATAATCATGTAAAACTCAATACTCCTTTACAGGATTCAGTCAAAACAAAGTGTTTGTTTAAAGGGATCAGGTAACTTTGTCTCAGATTCTGAAACAAAATCCTGGATTTAGCTCATGCTGCAATGATAATTATAAACCTTTAGGCCAGTCAGGAACCCCATGACTTTTACAAGCCAATCACCTGTCTGATTATCAAGATATTTAGAAACATAGTGCTTAGAAACATTGTATTAAGCGCTTTATAAATGTAATTTATTATTATTATTATTATTTATGATTGGAAATCAAAACCAAATTTTGTGTTTTCCTAACGGTTTTCATAACACTACAGTCTATTGGGGAAAACGAGTATGGTAAAACCAGTCACTCAAAGATTTTTACTTTTATGAGGCACTTCTTGATCATTTTGAAGCGCAGTTTCTTTAGGGCTTCAATATTACACCATATCACAGACAATAATAACACGTAGGGCCATGCATCTTAGATTTAACATTGTTAAACAATGCCTTTGAGGTATTTTTGAACTTCTAGAAAAGGTTGAATCTACATGTACCGTACGTTTCTAATTTTCTCTCTAATTCTTTGATCTATCCCAGGCTCGTCTAGCATTTATGATGATAGCTGGAACTGTCTTCCCTTTGTTAGCTAGCCGGACGTCATGGAAACTTTACTTCCTGACAACCTTTATCCTCATCTCCGTAGTCACAACATTTGCAATCTGCATTCCAAACATCATGGAAATATTTGGTGTAATAGGTAAGCACCTTGATGGGAATATTTGGTGTAATAGGTAAGCACCTCGATGGGAATGTTTGGTGTAAAAGGTTTGCACCTTGATGGGAATATTTGGTGTAATAGGTAAGCACCTTGATGGGAATATTTGGTGTAATAGGTAAGCACCTTGATGGGAATATTTGGTGTAATAGGTAAGCACCTGTAATCATTAGAAATGTTCACCAATTAACTCTTTATCCGCTTGGTGGATTAGTAGAAGAGATAGGGTCACTTTGTCGCATGAACAGTGTACTCATATCATATACTCCAATGTGGCAGTCTTGGGTTTTGATCCATAGTGAATAAAAAGAAGAAATGTGTCATGCTTTATTTTGTTTTCACACTCTTTCTCTCCTCTTTCTGTTTTCATCTGCTCTGTGCGTTTACTTTTATAACATCATTGTTTTTTTAATCCATTTTGATCATTCACTCATCTTCTATGCTATATTCTTTACTGCCTTCATTCCTTGGGTAACATTTACCCAATTCTTTTTATATTTGTTCCTTTTAAAAAATATTTTTGATTTGCATTTCTCCTTCATAATTTATTCAAATTTTGCTTTATATGTGATCTAGGTGCTACTGCATCTACCAGCTTGGTTCTCTTCCTTCCATCTCTCTTCTACCTTAAACTTGGCCGAGAAGAGCTTTCATCGCCATCTAAAATTATGGTAAGCAACATGTGATGGCTCCAGGCTTGTAATGCTAAAATACATGAAATCTGAAGGAAAAAAAAAACACATTTTTGAAGCTATTGTGATCAGTGCTGGTGAGACTGGCTGTTAAAGTTTTGCCAAGCTTTACATTTCTTTTTGTCAATGCATTATGTTTGTGTATTATGTTCTCTATTAGTTACGCGACTTGAAAATACAACAATATTTTGTACGTGAAAAGGTTATACAACACATGCTCTGGCAGCAATTGCTCATTACCCTACACAAACAAATTCTTAACTTTGACCCTTGACCAAAGTCATGATAACCCTAAACCTAACCTTAAATCGTTGATGAAATAAAGCCTGGATCAAGGTGTCAAAGTGCCCGTAGAAGTTCATATTCTGCCCCATGTATTAAATGGTAGAAAGATATACTGTATCGACAATCAAACATTTTGGTGTAGTTGTAAAGCTGCTAATCATATGTTTTGTTATTTATCCAATCTATTTAGGCCATTATCCTCCTTGTGGTGAGTGTTGCTCTGCTCATTCTCAGTCTCACCACCATCATCTATGGTATCGTAACCAAGGATACCCTAACATGATGCGGTATCTCCATCTCTGCTCATTCTCAGTCTCACCACCATCATCTATGGTATCATAACCAAGGATACCCTAACATGATGCGGTATCTCCATCTCTGCTCATTCTCAGTCTCACCACCATCATCTATGGTATCGTAACCAAGGATACCCTGACATGATGCCGTATCTCCATCTCGTTCAATACCAAGGAGTCAAAGGTGTTGTGGTCAAGTCCCCAGAATGTGAATCACAAGGTACAGGGTTCAATACCCTGCCATAGCACCATCGTCCTTTGGCAAGACATTGGTGTACATTTTGCCACTTTCCCCCTGGGAAGGTAGATAGGTACCTGGTAGGAAGAAATTCCTTGAATATTTCATTGCCTAATCATGTAAGCTCAGCTAAATCTGAGATGATTATATGATACTTTGCATAACGGAAGAGAATACTTGTATTATGCAAGGTGAATGAATCTACTCTTACTATTTTATTTTTAAGGAGTGCAATACCTGGATAATTTATTAATTTACAGGGTAGCATTGTCAGTTACAAAAGTGCTTTCTGCAGTGGCCCTATTGGCCTCGATCAAGTATATAAATGAGATATTCTTTGTCATCCTTCTCAATTTTGTTTAAGGTTTCATCTAATATGTCAGGATAATCTGAATTTTAAACACCAATATGCTAGATTATCAACCTTTTCTGATCGATTCCACGTTTCACAATGCAATCGCATGACCAGAACTCAACTTCATCTTTAACCAACAGTCTAAGCCTTGCTTTTCAAAGTATCTATAAAAGCAGTCTTAAGGCTGTCTTAATGGCTATGCCCATGCTAATAAGTTTGTTTGTGTATTCATGATCATGTGAAATTATATTGAAAGTACATGTAGTTATCATTCTTACTTACCGTATCTGCATTTTTGATATTTCTTTAATTGGATGTAATGTAGCAAAGAATTTTCATTGATAAGACAATTTGTTAAAAGAAATGAAACATTTTTTTTTACATATTTTGTCATTACCTACTAGGTTATACAGCCATTTAATGGTGTCTGGTTATTACAAGGTGTCCGGTAAAATGCATTAGATTAAGTGACCATATAGCATTCTTGTGTCTGTGTACGTTTACAGTTAAGGCCTGTTCAGATACCTATGCCATGCTACTCAAGATAATGAGATACATACCGTAGTACAATTGTTTTACCTCCTCAAAATTGCCATTCATTTATACCATATCTGTGCTTACCGTATGTACTTGCATTGCATTTACAAAAGAAATGTATTTATCATGTCATCTGATGATACTCCTGTCTCGATTATTATACAAGCTGTTGTGTTTTTTGTACTTTCAGAAATGTTATCAAGATATTTATAATTTGTCTTCCTCATTAAAGATGCCTTGTTTCATCAAGTGACTTTTCATGTTTAGATGTTTTAATTTATTTTTGTAAATTAACAATGATTTTGTGCTGCAATGCAATATGTTAAGGGGGTATCTCACTGAGCGGCGAATGCTTACGAACATTTCAAATTTGGATTCGCAAAAGGTTGCAAGAAAGTTTGTAAACAGTTTGTCTTTGCGAATTTATTTTTCCGCAAACAGTCATAAGCCTGTGCAAACGGTTGTAAGACGATGTCACTGAATTTCTTTTTGATTCGCCAATGCTAGCGATCACGTTACCATATGGTTCCTGTATAAAATCGACCCATTGAGTACCAGGAATTAGCATAAGGTCCCAAACATTCACAAATAGTGGCAAAGGATTGGCAAATAGTTGCTAATCTTTGCAAAAACTGTCGCTTACAGTCGCTCAAATGTCGTCAGAAAAGTTGGCGAATCCAAATACGCAACGTTCGCCGCTCAGTGAGATACCCCCTTTATGGACTAGTCAGGGTGTTGTATATGTACATGTATAAGAAGCCGGCATATGGATACATTGTATACATTGCAAATATTTTTGTTTTATTGATATGCAAATAAGATGCTAATGTTTTGTTATATAATGGATCTGTATGTCTGGTACCATTTTGTTATTACTTTAAAAAATTGCAGTACTTTCATATATCAGTTTTCAATAAAAATATATTCAAAGACAATGGACGTTAATCATGTCTTTTTCGTTATTTTGAGTCACAGGATTTGAATGTAAAAGAGGAATATTTGTTTAAATTATATCTTGTACATAAAAAATGGAGGAAAAATAAGATTTTTATAGATATCTCGAGCAAAATTTTATGTGCTATCCCAGATTTATTGAAGAAAATTTTATTTTCAAACTCTTTTTACCAACTAGTGTTGGTACAAGAGTTTGAAAATAAAAATTTCTTTAATAAATGAGGAAAATAAATTAGAATACTAGGGAATATAAAAAAAACTCATAAAAAAGAATACACTTCACAAAATACTTTTCATATTTACTATTTAATCAAAATCACCACCATGACACATCATTCACATTTTAGTAATCTCATCATCAACATCTATAAATATATTTACGAGCTAAAATATAACCATCAGGATTTTTTTTAAATTGATGTTTTCTATGGTACATATATGTACAACTGCACAGGTTCTATGTTCATATTAGCAGTGAACACGAGCATGAATGAACCCGTAGCAAGCTCCCATTTGAAATATAAATGCCCTGCCTGAGAAAATCTTATACTTCCCTCAGGAAATTTCTTAAACTGAGCTTCCTTATACCAGGAAAGGTACCTTAATTTACACGGAAAGTTTCTTGATAAAAGTAACATTATTGCAGATGAAAATGCCAGCAATATGATAATAATAAGACATTTTTTCAGGGGGGGGGGTATGTACATAGTCCATGAGCTATTCATCCATGCTTGTTGAAACTTTGCAGAAGTTACATTCCAGTACATCTCTTCTACAAAATGGCTATATTAAAGAATATTTTTCTTCTCGTCTCGGAAATGAATTTTTTTAAAGAGTTGTTGAGGTCTCCCATGAAACTCGATGTGTTTTTTTGTTCTATCACTCTACCGGCAGCTTAAATTAAGTCCCCTGGGTATTTAAACAGACCCAGGGGTCCCTGAGCCACAGATTTGTGATTAAAAGCAAATTTTCTTAAAATATGCAATTTTTATAGTAAAAGTGATAATCATCTTAATTTAAGGAGTTAATGACAAATTTGTTATGCATAAGTCCCCTGAAATGCTAATAAAATAAAATTTCTGGTAAATGGGATTATACTTTGATAAAGCACCTGAAGCCTCTGCCTAATGATGTGAGACACCATCACCAAAAATAAAATATTTATTGTAATCTTTAGTGAACCACTTTGTAAGAAATATAATAGAAATATGAATATACTTTAAAGACTTATGAAAAAGCAAAGAAACCTGGGTCTGAAAATGAACATTTAGTTCTTTGTAGGAGATATTGTTTAGTATGAGACAAGGGATCAGAACTCATTGTAAAAGATCTTTAATAACCACTACATTAATCTGGCTTACAAAGAAATATATCTGTGTCTCATGACGGAACCCTACCCTTCTGACACACACTTTATCAATGTTCTGCAAGAATTTTCAGGGTTGAAGGAAACTGACTACACCAAAGAAGAAGAAAAAGAAAGAAGCAGAAGAAAGAAGAAGGAATAAAAGAGATTTTCAAGTGTCAACATATCATCGTTGTGTGCTGTGCTTGAGACTTCACAACGATCACTAATTGTAGACTTGATGTTAGAAGTGTCTGAATACACTGTTTGATGTGAACTGACTCTGACTGCGCTCTAGTCTAGGTCTCTTGGGCCGAGGACCTGAAGGAGTCGTTGATGGGCCGGATACACTGGCAGATCGTTTCACCTGCAGACAGAGATACAGTCAGACAAAGCGAGAGAGAGAGAGAGAGAGAGAGAGAGAGAGAGAGGGGAAAAGGGGGGGGGGGGAAGAAAGGGAGAGAGAAAAATAAATTTTGGGAAGTTATGTTTAAAACAAAGTACTGTCAGTGTCATGATTCAGGTTTATTTTCACAATATTCACATCTCATTTTACATTGAATTTTATCACTTTATATCTAAAGCTTTGGATTAATAAATATTTGACTTTGAAGTCTAAATGACAAAAAATTATGATGAACCACATAACAAATCTTCACATGTCATAAACACCAGACTTCATACCTCACATACACCAGAATTCATACTTCACAAACACCCAAATTCATACCTCACAAACACCATACTTGATACCTCACAAACACCAGACTACATACCTCACAAAGACCAAATATGATACCTCACAAGTCACAAACACCATACTTAATACCTTACAAACACCAGACTACATACCTCACAAACACCAAATATGATACCTCACAAGTCACAAACACCATACTTAATACCTCACAAACACCAGACTACATACCTCACAAACGCCAGACTCGACATCTCACATAACATCAAACCTGATGTCACAGACAGTATATATTCATGATTTCTCCTTAATACCCACACTAGACCTACCTTAGGAGGCTCTACAATGCTCTCCTCTCCAAAGGAAGATTCTGCTGACTGAAATACAAAGTTACGAGTGCTCCTGGGTCCCTGAGGATTAGCGACTGGCTTCAACATGGACGCCATCTTGGCCAGGTCATTCTTACTACGAGACAGGAACGACCCTCTCTTATTCTGCAATGATATTATTTTGTTTTGTATTTAAATCATTTTGATTGAATCAAACAGACAGCAAAGTATACAACTACATCGTCTGCTCAGATTCATGTAAAAGGACCAGTTATGAATTTGATTGAAACAAAGTATATATGCAAGATAGGGAATATGTAAAAACTGCAAAAAGAATAACAAACAAATAGAAATAACAAAGAATATTGTGAGATATTCATGATATAAATTCTTACGTACATATGAAATGCAAGATGAGTCAAGCACTATTTTAAACATTGTAATATTATAGACCACTTTTTAAGATGATTGTGATGATTAAATATACTCTCCTCTGCTGTATAATAACACCTTAAAAAAGTTAAGAGGAAAAAGTCATATTAATTGTGATGGACATAACTTTGCACTGCAATATCATTTGTTTACCCAACAATATGATAAAATTACAGATTTTACAATCCATTGTGTTATTAGGGATAATACCAAATGCAACTTCATGTAGTGTTGTATTTTGTGGAAAGTTGATAATAGCAAACAATAAAAGAATAATCATTTCATCCACTGTTTTACAAAATGTGCGTTCTTTTATCTCTTTTTTCCAATGCATTTTAACCAAACATTAGTAGGAATTCAAATATTAACAATCTTATAAAAGAGTACTCAAAGTTTGTCTGAGAGCAGTCTAACACATCAGCAACTTATGTATGTAACCTCCATACTGCCCAATGAAATGCAATTACTCCAAACAATGAAATACATTGTCACTGCGCTATTGGGGTTAAAGTTTTCGTAAACTCAACGCAATTTGTGAACCGGTCTTTTCATTTATTGAATTCTAGGAACTTTCAAACGTATTCATGAATGTTTGAACAGTGTTGATATTAAAACACACTAATTAGTTCCTAGATGATGGTAAATCTACTTACCATGATATTCAGAGGTTTGGTAGGTGCAATCTTTGAATCCTTCTTCAATTCCTTTTCTTCCACATCTTGAGTTGATGTATCCACTGAAAATCAGAAAGGTGGCATGTAAGTAGAGGATCTAAGTCAGAACAGAGGGGGTCTGGTTGCCACTTCTTCACAAACTAAATACACCCTGTTTATTCAGAAGATTTTATCATATTTAATACACAAAATTTCAATGGTGTTAATTTGTAGCAGTCACCCCTAGATTGGAGGGGCGTCCATAATACTAGCCCTATTTATGAACTCTTTTCCATGCATTTTGTGAATAATATTTTAAGGAAACCCTGAACCTACCTGGGTTTGGTGTCATATGAAAGATTATTAAATTGTTTCCATTTTGATCACAAATTTAGTAAACATGATTTTTTTCAAAAAAACATTTTCCATGTATCAAAATTGGAGAGGTGTATTTTTTGAAACTCACAAGGAATTCGCTTATGTACGGGGGGAAAAAAATTCAGAACCAAAAGTATTGTGTTATTCATCAAGCAAAAGCTGACAGATGGCATTATTGAAATATACAGAAGAACAATCCTATCATTCTTGTAACCTACCTTCAATATATATCATTCTTCACACACAAAAAAGTTGACCATTTTTCATGACTGGTATTTTAAAGTTAACAACAACAAATAGGTGTAAAATTATTTCAACAATTTTTTTTTGAATAATCAGATTGGGAAATGATTTACCAGTTAACGCCCTCCCAGCTCTAAACAGAACATACTCAAATGATACTAACCCTGAGGTTTCTTGAAAGTCGCCGCCTTCAGACACTTAGCAAACTGACTCTTCTCATCTAATGATGACGTAACAATGTCTGGAGTCACAGCGTCAGTCTTCTCCTAAACATACACATAGGGAGATCAATACAACAATAAATATTATGGAGATATACCAAAGAGACATGTGTTGAGAGGTGATACCAACTTTGCTCCGGGCTTCATTTCAAAAGTACATTTAGAAGGTTAGGGTTTGGGTTTAATGATAGGGATAGGGTTAGGGTTAGGGTTAGGTATAGGTACTGTATAGTGTTGGGTCTAGGGTTGTGGTAATACTCCTGCGGAGCAATTGTCACTGGAGCTGTATAGGCAAGTTTGTTTTTGTTTTTTTACTTTGGCTTTTGTTCAAACCTAGGACAATAATACATGTGCTTGGTTCTGTTTTGCATCTGCATAATACAGACCATGGAAACTAGTACTTAATATGCATATGGGCAATAGGACAGGCTAATACATGAATGAATATCACAATCAACTATTGTGAAGCTACAATCTTGGCAAAACACACTTGTATAAATCTAACAAAATAAATAGTTGATAAATAAATAGTTGATAGGTCCTTGTCTTTAGGGGTGCATTATAGAATACCATGGAATACTGAATTCTTTAATTCCCTAAATGTAACACAATAACCACACAGTCCCGGTAGGGAATCGGATACATCGATACTGAAAAAGTATAAGAGTGTACTGGACGGCACTTGTGTTCTTGAACAAGGCATTTTTATCTACATCGCTCCTCTCCACCCAAGTGTTAAATGAGTAACCGGTAGAATGTGAATGTTGTTGTGGTTGGATCAGCATGTGCATGCCCATAAAAGGGTGACTAGCTGGAATGCTCCACAGGGAGTGGATAACGTGCACTGTAATGCACAATTTTAATTGAATCCAGTGACTGGGGTAATAATAATACTGTAAACGCTTTGGTCATGCAGTTATTGGAAAAGCGCTTTATAAGAAACCAGTATCATGATCCTAATCCTTATTACATGTTTGCGGTATTGTAATGTGAGAGAGTAAATAAGTTTCTGGTATCTGAAAGGGTTAAACATGACCTACCTCATTTTCTTTCAACCATTGTTCTCTCTGGTATCTCATCAATCTCCATTGACTGTCTTGATCCTGACCATCTTCTTCATCCTCTTCTCCATCTGAACCAGGTCTGAACATGTCCATCTGGGAATCTAGCAGAGATTCGATAAATGCATTTGTTGATTTGATTTATTGATTTATTGATTTCTAAATCATATTTCAAACATACATTTTAAACATACCTAATGTCCATCAGTGTGATATAATTTATGTTTCAAAGTACAATACATGATACTCATACTGTATAGAACATAGACAACATATAGGAGAACATTATTCACTTTATAAATAACATTATAGGAGGGACACAGCGTAAGCATGAAGCTTGAAATGCTTGCAGCCCTCGATTAAACTAAACTATTATTATTATTGATGTAGAGGCGCTGTGTGAATAAGTCAAGGATCACAAGGTACAGGTTTGAATCCCTTCTACCACACTACGTCTGTTGGCAAAACATTAATCTACATCTGCCACACCCCACCCAGGTCAATAGGTACCTGACAGGAATGATATCCTTGAGATGCTGGAGCACCATAGAAGCAGCAATTCTAAAGTTGGGGTGGAGCGCGAGGATTGACAGACATGAGTGCTAAACCAGAACCCACTATTATCATTATAGAATGGTCTGGATTCGCTAGTAATGTCACAATAGATATTAGCATTGGTGTGAAGTCGGCTTGCTTCGGTACAATACCCCAGTACTTCGATGTGATCTGAATGAGACATAAGCCATTCTCTTTAGCCAAGCTAAATGCTCAGTAAAATCTGGACTTCATCAAAAGTTTTGTTCTCAATACCGACCCAGACAAGAGAGAAGAGCATAGTTATAGGATAGGAACCATCGCAAGGGTCGAAGTCCCGGGTAGTTGGCGATCTTGGAAGATTACACCAATACAACATACTTTACATGTATTTAAGCGGCTCAAAGCCTTACCCATATGTCGCCATCTAAACTTGCGTGTTCTTCCCTTATTATCCGAATGCAAGTCTCCATCAGGGAGGTACATCTCTTTAAGGATTCGTAGTCTGCGTGCATCATCGTCATCCACAGTCTTCCTGTAAACCAACACAGGTTACAAACTTGTCTTAACATGGAACTAAAATAGGAACTTGATTCATTTAAAGCAATCAATAACTTTAAGTGCCTGACTAAACAATATAAAAACAAAAAGAAAGATGAGACTGTACAACTGTAAATTCATTATAATGTAAATAACTGTTAGCCAATACCATGTATCAGTTTTGCTGATTTCTAATTTTGTGTTTTGGGGTGATTATTAGTGTCTAATTATAATAGAGTGATTGATCCCATAAAAAGCAAACTTTGGTGACTTACGAGACTTGGGCCTGTTCCATAAAACTTTTAATTAATAACAATAGTCACATTTTTATATCCACTTTGCTCACAGCCAAACAGATGCAAAGATTTCAGTCACTTATTATAACAGTTACTGTAGCTTGTTTGACATCATGTTTTATGAGACGAGGCCCTGGTTTATACTTACAAGTGAACTTTGTTGACCTGATCCCTGAGCTCATCTTCATCTCCTACTTCCTCGTTGATGATGCCTTCAATCTCCTCATCGTCATCCTCTGCATCGTAGTTCTCGTCGCTATCAGCCTCACTGCCAGATAACTCAGCCTCATCCTCAACAAAGTTTGCTAGGTTCAGTTTCCTAATAGATAACGAAGCGTAAATATCCAGTCAAATTGACCCATGGCAATTAAATGTTTTCATATTTTCTCAAATTATCAGCTTTCCCTCCTCAAATTGGCAATGAATAATCATATATTCCACTCCTTCATAGTTCAAAAAACATGTTCATTAAATGACCTAATGCGAAAGAAAATTGCCAATTCGTACATAGTAATAGTGATTTTATAGTGTACTCTGGGTCACCAAGTTGGAGACTTCAATGATTAGTTACGATTAAAACGCTCTTAATCGAGAACGGCACATAAACTGCATTTTTGCTCTTTTTGCTCATGTATATTGTGCTTTTCCTAGCATTCTGGATCAAATGTAATGCCAAAATGTCACTCAAAATAGACACTACTGCTATGGGTTAAAACAATTTAAATGAAATTGTTATATATATATATATATATATATATATATATATATTTATGTATCAGACTCTACAGTTTCTGTGACTTTGTGTAAATTAATTCCACCATTGTTTAATATGTATCTCTTTGAATTTTATTTGTATCTAAAATCCAACCTCCAGTTTTGGTTGCAATAAATAAATAATATTAATCATAGTGTACATGTATACCAATGGATATCTTTTAGGGGCAAAACACATATAAAGCCATGGACCATGAATACTGTAATTCTTCTAGGTTTAATGCAGGAACCAGTTCTCTGTAGGAGAGTGGGTCATTCTAAAACTTTGAGAATGTGGTTGCTTACTAAGGATGTAATCATGCCCCTCCACCCCCCCCCCCCAACAAAAAAAAACTTTCACACAATGCATGATCTGAGTATAAATGCTTTGCGAAAGTGATTCAACCATGAGATGTCTATCATATACCTCAAATCTACTGCATGCACTGATGTATAATCCCCACTCTAACCCTAAACCTAAATCACAACCCTAATCTTATAACTTTGACAAAATAATGCTTGCAGCAAGTGGTGCCAGAGGATATGTCAGATCATAATATCTCAAGATCTCCTGCGTGATTACTTACTTGCTATACGTCTTTCCTTTAAAGCCTTTGAGGTCCCTGTTAAATTCAAACTCGCTATCCAAATCAGACTCTTCCTCTCCCTTCTCCGCCCCCTCCTCCTCCTCCTCCTCCTCCTCTTCATCATCGCTCTCCTGCTGGATGATCCTGCGCCTCTTCTTTGGAGCAACGTCCTCCTCATCACTGCTGAATCCCTTGTCGACATCGTCATCGCTGTCTGGTCCATCGTGGTCTGAAGCGATGTGAAACGATAGATGGTCGTCATCCTCCTTCTCATCTTTCTCTTCCACCTTCCTGGTTGATGTGATCTGAGATTTAGATTCCATCCTGGAAGGTATATGTGAATGAAAAGGTCATGAAGATATACTGATACATCCCTCTTCAAAATACATGGAGACTTGGGGGGTGTTTCACAAAGACTAAGATCGACTTAAGTTGGAATTGAACTATGGCAGGCCATTCATGCCACTGGTTGCTCTCACCAGGAACTGGCTCTCACAATTATGATCTTTAGATCATATTTTTTCCTTCAATAATGAATTATCAAAAAATGTCAATTCTGTAGATAAGTGATCATGATTTGTACATCCCTTGAGAAACCAATACCAGTAAATGGTGAGAGCAAACAGTGGCATGTACGGCCTGCCATAGTTAAGTCGATCTTGGTCTTTGTGAAACACCCCCCTGTTCTCGGCCACAATATTTTGGAACTGCCATGAATAAACTTTCAAGACTTAATTTTTGTCATGATTTTTTTCATTTTAAAACTAGGCCTAAAATACAAATGCACAGGAATAAAGTTCTAAATGAAGTTATCTGTTTCTGTTTGAGGTGGAATTTTTTTTAGTCCAAACAAGATTTTCTGCCCATGGTATGGGAGGGGTAAGTTTGAGTTAAATGATGACAAGACTTTCCAGTAACTCTCAAAGAGAAGAAGAAAATTGGTTTAGACTTCAGTTATGTATCAAAGCATTGAGAACTACCTTTGATTCAGAGTGTATCATCTTAAATTATATCTTACACACCAATTGTGATTAGGATTCTGCTATTCAAAGAAAAAGACAATCATTGAATTCTAGTTTGAAATTGCAGAGTAGCTATGAGTTTATATTCAAGAAATAAATCTTTAGGATTATTTATCAAAATCTTATTGAAACAAAACATAAATTTTCCTGTTAACAACTATAGAAACTAGAGAGAATGTTTTAGTGATGACATACTCTGTGAATGTGCCTGAACAAAGGTTAAGTAGTTCATCCATGTTGGCTTGAGTACCAGCTCTCTGAGATACTTGTGAGAATGGTCCTGGCTTTTGAGCTGTCACATCATCTTGGCCTGATAGGGAAGATACATAAGAAGAGTAGTTATTTATATTACAGTCGAGGATCATTTACACAAGATGCAACAAAATCCCTAAACAAAGCTGCAAAGGGAAAATTCAATAATTTCATAACTTCTGACATCTAGATAAGTGTGCGTAAGACCTTTGATGAAGGAACATTTTCTTTTTCATCTCCGATAACCACTCATTTACACGTCAAATGTTTATATTTGTGCTGCAGTTTGTTCGTCTTTTTTTTTTTGGAGGGGTCAATTGTTCCCATCAAGTGTGCATGTATTTTAGAGAGATAAAGAAGGGGAGTGAGAAGGTTACATAGAACACATTATACAACACCTACGTGGATCCTTGTCATTTGATTGGACGATTGTTGGTCACATGATATTCAATAGATGGTATATTGCACGGTCATGCATTTTTGGTTATATGCGCCGTGCATTTTTGGTTATATGCAGACTGCGTACCTCTCTGCTGCATGTGCGCGTATCCCTGCGTGTATCTGACGCGAAGGCAATCTGCATGTAATCGAGAAGGCTTGACTCGAACTTTAATTTATCTTTATAAGGAGTAAAGCATAATTTGCTGATTAACGTTTTATTAGGTATTCTTCGATGTTGTATAAAACAAATAATGAATGTTTTTCATTCGTTTAATAGTGCAAATATTTTCATTCGTTGAAAGATTAACGTTAATTCTATTCAACTCGGCTGACGCCTCGTTGAATAGAATGTTAATCTTTCAACTCATGAACATATTCGCACTATTGAACTCATAACCATTCATTATTTGTATATAATTTAAATAAATTCATGTGTACAAAATATATGTGGATAAACAGGAAAATACACAACTAGAAGGGCAAAATTTCAGGTTCATCAACAAAAAATAACAACTGAAAGGATACAGAATGACATATTAAAGGCATGTAAGGATTTCAAAGAGATTATGAAGTGAATTTTTTCCAGCAAAATGAGATTATTTGACAGTGCAGATTTACCAATCAACAGCAGACTTAGAAATAATAATTGTATAAGTATAAAGTACCCGTACACATTTCTTCTAATAAAGACTGTATATGTGCAAGAAAGCATACCTTGTGTAGCAGCGAACTGTCCAGAGCACAGACCCAATAGTTCATCCATACTGGATTGGCTTTCGGCACTGTGAGTTTGGGTATCTTCAAACATGGTCTTCTTCTTAGATGATGTTGATGGTTTCAAGTTTAGAAGTCTGAAATATTTATGATAAATACAAGAAGTATTTTGAAGATGAATAACTGCTGAAGACTAAACCTAAGAATACTTGAACAGAAACCGTTTCAAAATTAATTTCATGAAAGTCAATCAGTCTCAAATGGGCAAATGATTTACAACAATATCTCTACTTTACAAAATGTTAAAATTCTTCGTAAAGGAGTTGTCTCATTGTGTTACTGCCTTCTAGCTTAACCACTTAAAACCTTAGGATTTGGTATTTCAATGGAAATTAATTGGGGAAGCTAATTTGCATATTATGCAAATTTAACTCCTTAAATCCACTACCGTACTTATTTTCTTAAACTTTTAGCATGTTGTTTAGAGGTTTATTCCCAAGTGCGCTGCAATGGGGGACAAAAAGTGCAATTAGTTTTAGGTTAACCCCTGAAATTGGCTAAGTATTCTGACTGGACTACAAGGATTCTTTTATTCCCCAACCCATGCTAGACTTGTTCCAATGGCTGTTTGAATAACTGACGGGATGTGATCACTCACCCATTCTCATCTAGGAATTGTGTTTGAGTCTCATCTTCGAATGAGAAATGGAAGCTCTGGGACTCTGTGACCTGCTGGGAGTCTGCGATGGTTGGCAGACGAGGATAGTCCTCACGGAATAGATCCTGAGAGTCTTCTACCGGTAGAGTCAGTTCATTACGTGAGACGGTCTACCAGAGAGATGGCAATGTTGCACAAATATGAGTGATGACCGAGTGCAATCATAAAACTTTATGATAAAAAAATTAAATAAAAATTTCATGAAGTGGGAAATGCATATGTATGCAATACTTCTTTCATCAAATTTAATGATTGTTCCATCTCATGAATGAAAAACATTTAAGACTGGTTTTATACATGGCAATTTCAGTGCAATTTGAGGTGAAAATTTTTAAGAGTTACATGCTGAGTACATCGTGAGGGGGGGGGGGGGGACATCTGTATCCAACGATGAATATTAATTGATAAATTAACACGCAGAATAGATAATAATAGACAATCTATTCTTGTCTTTCCATTTAAGGGCATGATCTAAAAAAGAACAACTTGGTAAAGTCTTCACTTGACCTTTTAGAAGAGGCAGACATTTAAAATCATGAAAGTTTCTTGTTGTGGAACTTCTGAATTTGCTGTATCTCGTAGAAAGAATGCAAGCAGATAATTCTCCATTATTCCATCTTTTGAAAACCAGAAGACATTAACTCTGTGTTACAGTGTATGGGTTCATGCCCCTATGGCTCTCTTGTATTATCTCTCTAGTCTTTCTTGAATTCACTTTTTACCAAGATATTGCTGACTACAGTTTTTACCTTAGATGTGCTATTAACGAGTACAGATTGATGTCTGGAAAACGGAGTGAAGGTTTCCCCTTTAGTGGAATCTACACTGGCTCTTCCCGATTTGGTCATTCCTCCCTGTGGTTGATGAGCTGGTATCAATGATGTCATCGCTTCGAAGCTCGTATCCAGGCTATTAGAGCTGCTGTCTTGGCGTACAGGAGCCGGCAGAACAAAGCTCATACTGTCTTTGCTTGAATCTGCAACGTTGGAGGAATAGTTTGTTAGTTATATTAGTTAATGTTTGTTAAGTACTTGTGGTTCAATATAATTTTGCAAACAACTTTCTAGAAGTCATTAATTTGTTATGATATGGAAAATAGTATTAAGACGTATTGACATAGTTGACATCATCAAAGTCTTTTACAAAAATTATAGATTTAGTGATTACTAAACAAAATGGAAATATATCACAAATTGACTTGGTCCAAGAATTCAACTGTTCACTAAATTCAAATCAGTAACTACTAGCGTAATTTGTTTATCTATTTTTAAGATCATGGACAATTAGAAAGATTATTCAACAAAATTATATAAGAGTATTGCATAATCATTAACACAGTTATCATTTGCCCATATAATTCAGTATTTTTATAATCTCATTTATCAGATAGTTTTTCAATGTACTTTAAATCAGTTTAAAAGCTGAATTTTCTATATTTAGTGAAAAAATACAGTGTGGCACATGGAAATTATTTTGTATGGCATGTAGAGAGTTAATGATCACTTGTAGATTGTATACCTGTATCTTTGCTGGCACTCCATGCAACTTTCTTACTACTGGAGTCTACTCTGCTTATAGGGACCTGAAAGTCACTGACAGTCGAGTTGGTAGCGCTATCATACATCTCCATAGTCTTACTACACTGATCCAACGCTGAAGGAGTCCTGGGTGTACGCACTGAGTTAAATCGACTAGAATCTGAAGGAGAGAGAGGGAAGGCAAAGAGCAATGAAGTAAATGATCAATTAAAAATACTGTTGACTTCTTTCTGTAAAGGGACTCCTTACTGACCACCTTTTATCAGCTTTAAGATTGAACTTTTCATGGCTTCATATTTCTTTTTGGAGGAATAACTGCAGACAATCCGACCACACAAGTAACCCTTACCCTAACGCAAAGCCTAACAATAACCGTAATCATAAACACATTGTACTGATCTATGGAGGGATATTAAACAGTAAAGCTTTTTTTTGGACACATTACACACAAAAACATCCTACCTTGCAAGACATCACTAATTTCAGTATCAGTATCCTCAGTTCCTGTTGAGTCCAGACGAAGAGATATTCCTTTCTCCTCATCACCACCATCTTCGACGTCATCGACCACCGTGGCTCTCCTCTTGCTTCCTTTCCTCCGGCTTGGAGTAATCTCCTCATCACTATCGATCAAAGTAGTCTCCTTCTCAAGTGATCGCGACTTTTTTTTGAGCTTCTTGATGACAGTACTCTCTTCTTCTTCTTCTTCATCGTCCATTTCATCTCCCATCTCATTGCCATCGTCGTCGTCACTTTCGGCCTCATCATCAAGGAACTCATTGCCAGGCTGGAACAAACAAAGAAAGAAAGAATGCATGGAACAGCAGACAATGAGACGCAAGCATGTGTTTTGTAAAGCAGCACAGGATCAGTTATGGCCTTCACCATCTTCATCATATTGCCAGAAGAAAAGGTCTTGTTTTATCAATTTGATAATTAAAGGGCCACCCAACCTCTGTAATAAGTTCATTTGTATGAAAACAGAAAAATAAGAAAAACAGAATGGCAAAGTCAGTATGTCAGTAATAAATTGGGCCAATAATAAAGAGCGTTATGATGTTTGAAATATGAGATCACTAAATATATGCAAACGAGAAATAAGAGGTGCACTATGTTGATTTAATTTAATTCTGCCACACTGTTTTTTTAAATTTTTTTTTTACTGCATCATGTCGGAACAAGATTTCAATATTTATAGTAGAATCTTGAACACATCCTTACCTCATAGTCTGCATCTTCATCTTCATGGCCTATCATCCCTCTCTCCTCCTCCCCCTCCGTCTCACTTCCATCAGTCAACTCTGCCTCATCTTCATCCTCTTCTCCTCCAAAGCCTTCTTCATTATCCAGCTTATAGGCCTCCCGTCTCTTCAGTCTCTCTTGCTCTCTCTTCACTCTCATGGTGGCCTGTAAGTTCTGCTTCAGGTGACATAGCTTAGCACCTGCAAAAGAGCAGTTTTCAACAAGTCTATTTCTAAGGCCTGTTAACATATGAAGAGTTTATTTCCAAAAGGAGCTAAATCCATTCGGAGAAAAAAGGATTTGTTTACCAGATTTTGTACAGGCGTTTATGGAATAATAATTGGATTAATAATAATAATAATAATAATAATAATCTTTAAAGTCCACTCCAAATTTCCAAGTAAACAATGTTCTGATGTCAATAACACAATTTCCATCAAAATTGGATCTAGCTCCTTTTTGAATTAAAATCTTCATATATATGACATGGAACACCTTAGCAATTTTGTTTGGGTGTGTGTCAATAAATGGCAAGTGGGGGTGCATGAGAAACTTATGAAACTCCTAACAGTCCCAAACTCCCTTATCTATGTGTTATAAGATATAGAAATGTGAGGAACACATACTACACTTTAATACATCATTGCCACAGCATTGTTGTGGGTTTTTTTTTTTTCTTCTTCATTTTGTTAATTACTACATAGTAGTTTAAAGCATCATAATAAAGGGAATGACGCTTTTATGATGCAACTCTTGTCTTACTTCATAATATGGTGGTTGTAGGTTTTACATTATACAACAATATGCAGAAATTCTCTTCCATCACATGTTAGTAAGAACTAAATCTTAGAACTATTTGATTAAATACCAGTATTTCAGGAGATATTAAAGATACTACATTGACAAGATATTCATCTACAATTGCCATTCTAGGCATTACATGAGTATTCGGTACCAGACAGGAAGAAATTCCTGGAAGTTATGAACACCCAAATCGGAAGCCTAGCTAGAGAAGGGTAAAATTGGAGCACCTTGCATAGTGGATACAACTCCTTACAACTATTCAATAGTATTGTTTAAACATAGTTTCTCTATAAATCCATGGCAACTTGGTGAGGAATGGCGTTTCTGGCCTTCCTAGAATGTTTTGATAAATGACATACCTGGGACATTTAATGAAGGATCTATTTGCTCTGGTTGTTTATCCAATCCTACAGTAAAGGTCTGATGTTTCAAATCTTCTTTTCCATCTTCTCCTTTCTCTTTGGTCACAATACTGAATGGAGAAAAGAAAGAATATAATCCTAAAACATAAAAACCATTACACAAAAAAGAAAATATTAAACAACAAACAAACAAAACATGTGCTTCTTGAAAAGAAAATGATACTAAGATCCGACAAATGTAATCTCTACAAATAAACATGAAGTTGCTTATTGGAAATGATATAAATACCAATAAAACCACTTTAAAAAAAGTTTACCCAAATGACTTTAAGAAGCACCGATATGCTTTTTTCTTTTCAGTACTTTCATTTTATAATCCTTGTAACCTTACCTAGTTAATAAGCGCACATTGTGCAGATATGTGGCATATGATAAGACTGAGTTTTCTTCAATTTGAACAAAAATTGCATTACAGAGATGATTTTTTTGTTGAAATGAAAATGATATGTTGAGAAATGTACTTACTTGACTTGAACGTCTTTCTGATGTGTCACCTTGATGTGTTTGGTGTGCTGCACAAATCTATTCTTCAACTTGACAACACCCTTCTCTTCTGCCGAAGGCTCCCCTCCTTCCTCTAAATCGATGGTAATCTTAGGTCCACCACTAAGCTTGGGTTGCACCCCTTTTAATCTGATGAGAGAGTCTTGCAGACGTTTCATGCGCCTTGCCTGTGAGGACATCGGATCAGGCTGTGTAGAGGTAGTAGGAGGGGGAGTCTTGAATATCGGAGCCTTGTCTTCCGTCAGAGGCTGCTGGGAAGTCCTAGGTAAGGATTCCTTGGGAGAGTCTTGTGATGGGTTTTGTGGAGAAAGCTCTTTTTGATTTGACTGCGATGATGATGATGATGATGTTGGAGATTGTGCTGATATTCCATCAGCTACTGGACTATGACGACTACTTTCCTTGGGTGCATCCTGTAGCAATGCATCATCAGTAGCCTCATTCACCATTGTAACATTGTCTGTCTCTGTTTCACTTGGTTTGTCTTCTGCCTGGACGTTTTCAGAAGAGCACTCTGGATTCTCTTCACAAGAGACTTTGTTTTCAGGACCATCTTGCACTTGTGATGATAGGAGATCAGGCAGTTCATCAGTTTCTTCCTTGCGACTCTCTTGTCCTTTTTCTTGCTCTGTTGAGGTGTTCAGCAACTCTTTCCCATGAATTCTGTTAAAAAGAAGGCAATGAAGTTAATTAACAACTCAGTACCGGTATATATTATTGAAGTACAATGTGCACTTCTAAGATATTGTACGCCTAATCACATATTCCCATCTACAGATTGTAAATGCAATATGACCGATTCTTGATTTAATTTTCTCTTAATTCAAGTTTAGGCACATTATATCCTATCAAACTTCAACTACATGCACATGTATACTATAATAAATCATAAAGAGAACCCCAGGAATGATAGAATTCATCTTTATTAACCACAAAAGAAACAACAAAAATTATCAGTATTCAGCAGTAAAACAAGATTTTTGCACAAGTAGATAATCAGCCCCTCACAGGCTCACATTGGCTCCATGCAATCTTTCACTCTTATATACCGTACCTTAGAAAGACAAAGCGAAAAAGAATATTTCCAATGTGAAAGAAAATTTGGAGGGCAACAAAATCTTGCCATTTTTTACAAAAAATAGTAAATTTTAAATCTCTGGATAGCCAAATTAAAGACTTACAAGGTAATACATATTTTCAATTAAGACTACGGTATACGTAAAAAGCAAAAGGTACAGCAGCACACAAATAACCCCCCCCCCCCCTCCAACTCGCACACATACCAATAGAAATCTGTAAATTTTGCTTCTTTTTTTTTAGTCAGTAATTCCTAGCATTCTGGATCAAAAAAATAATACAAAAAGGTCACTAAAAGGAGACACACTGAACCCCCCCCCCCCACAAGATTAATACATACCTTGGGACTCTACCTCCCATAGGTCTTAATGTAGTGAGAGAAGGCTTCTTGCTGAATAATTCATCCAAGCTCAGAGGTGTAGGGCGGTGGTAGGGAATGCGAATTGTAGACTCTGTATAAAGATCAGTAAATTCAATACTTAATTGCTAAAGCTGTTATACATGTACATGGGAAACAGTTCTGATGAGAAAGGGCTGCCTAGAGATGAATACCAGCAAATAGTTCATTAATTCATGTCATCATGAATTTACAATTTCAAACATATAAGAAAAACCATTAATAGTTTAAACATATTTGTGGCTTACACCCAGTAAATAAGATCGATTGATCGATCTGTAATTGAAAAAAAAAAATTACAGATCGATCAATCGATCTTAATTACTGGGTGTAAGCCACAAGTATGTTTAAACTATTGAAAATTTCTCCCAGGAAGCATTACATTTATAAAAGAAAAACCATTAAATGTTGTTTTCAAATGAAATTCTTACTCTTTCTCATTGATGGAAATCAGAAACCAAAAGTATTTCAACATGAAAAGATTTTTGAGGGGTTTAAGTTAGTTTATATCTGGACCTGGCATAGAAATGTTTATTGCATGAACTTAAGATTTTATGTAAATGCTCATTTTCTACAATTACACATCTTTATTTTTCACTCTGTGCTGAATTAAAAGTACAGTGGAAATGTCACTAATGTGGCGCTTGTACTGGTAACTAGTGACTGCCAGTCTCACCTCCAATCTTGTGCATGCTTTTTTTGGGGGGGGGGGGGATGACAGTAGGTCAAAACACATTTAGGAAAAGTTTTAAGCTCTCTTGAGAAATGCACTTTTCACTTGAAATCATAAGAAAATTCAAAAGTCAAATTCAATGAGATGTAAAATAAATTACCTCTGACAATTCGTTGAGTTTCACTGTGTATTTGCTGAAGTTCATCCTTATTGATTCTTTTCCTTCTCATGGACTGTAATCAAACAAGAAAAAACACCTTTATATAGAAAACAATGCCTAATCGGTGACCATTGATCCCCCATGATCCTCTTTTCTTATGTTAATCGAGAGCTGAGTTAATGAGATAACCTCCTGTCCAGTGACCTTGCAGGACGGTCTAATCCCTCCTACGAACTAGTACAGATAAGCTTTAAATGTCATAGGTTAAAGGTCGTATAAATAAGAAGCTCACCCTCTTATCTCCATCTGCTTCAGGATCTTGTGGTGGTGGTGTCAACTGAAATGCTATTTCTTCTTCATCACTGCTATCATCTTCATCACTATCATCACTGCTTCTTACAGGCCTTCGACTTTTCTTTTCTTTAGGTTTGTCATTATCACTGTCATCGTTACTGCTATCATCATCACTATCATCACTGCTTTCTACAGGCTTACGAATCTTCTTTCTTTCTTTGGGCTTATCGTCGTCGTCACCATTGCTCAGGTCATCATCACTATCATCACTGCTTTCTACAGGCTTACGAATCTTCTTTCTTTCTTTGGGCTTATCGTCATCGTCATCATTGCTCAGGTCATCGTCACTATCATCACTACTTTCTACAGGCTTACGGATCTTCTTTCTTTCTTTGGGCTTATTGTGATCATTGCTCAGGTCATCATCACTATCATCACTACTTCCTATAGACCTCTGAATATTCTTTCTTTGTTTAGGTTTGTCATTATCACTGTCATCGTTACTGCCGTCATCATCATCATCATTCATTATTTCTTGCTTGTTTCTTCCATGATCTTCATCACTTTCTTCACCGTCAGACTGAGACTTTCCTGCATAAATAAGACAACACAAATAGTTTGGGTGATAAGTCTGCCATGTAAATCAGGAGAAAATGGGATTTAACTGTAATTTGGGAAGCTAAGCAGCCTCACCCAGAAATTGATTTCTTTCAAGAACTACATTGACTAAGGAAAAACATTCTAATCTAAAGCTACAAATCATGATAGATCATTTAACAGACTTGACCTAACATAAATAATAAAAACATAACAAAAAACTGAATAAAAACAAATACAAAAGAAATAGCTCTCTGGGTTAAAGTCAGGTCTAGACTGTAAATACACTCATGTATATCTAGATCCAGATATAGTTTTTCATTTGCAAAGGTAATGAGGCCAGGATCTAGAGTATGATTCTAGGGTCTATATAGTCTACCTTGATCTAAAAGACTTGGGGATCTCTCTTCATCTTCATCATCACTCAGGATAAGCCGCTGAGATTTAGTCGGTCTCTTCTGTTTGGATTTCATGCTCCTGAATACCTCCTCATCACTTTCATCATCGTCTGCATCAAACAGGTCGGAATTCATCAACGGGTCCGTTGCCTACAATCAGAAGTTAGAGAGGAAAGTTTGAAAAGTCTTGTTCAAGATTTCATAAAGGAGAGCCATATGACATGTTACTCATTGTTATGGTAAATAGATTACACTTTAAACATTTTGAAAGTCAAATATATGGTAGGTCGTAGACTCTACTTGAATTTAATTTCAACTTAGAATATTCATGTAGTTCAAAACGTATTTTATTTCAACACAACAATACATTGACACTTAGTCTCTTAGTCTTAGACCAAAGTTTCATTAGAAATACACATGGACATGACCAACTGTAGGGTGTCTGATCGCGCACTCGTTTTGTCTGCCAAAACCCTTCCCATAGACATTGTATGCATCCTTATGCAGTCTACGTGCACTGCAAAATTGGTCAACGTTTTAAAAAATAAATTTAGATTCAAACCTTTACCTGTTGTGATCCTGAAGGTGATACTCAATAAATGAGGTGTCATATGAAAGAGCAGATTAATCTCCATATTTCCAAAGGGGTGTCATTTCGGATTTCTAAAAATATCTTGGTCAAAACAGCGATTTAAATGTTGTTTCCATGGTAACTCAAAGATTTTCCACTTTTGAGAATCGATCCCCCAAGAGATAATTAGTTCAAGTCGTAAGGAATATGTTGATGTGCTTATTTTTTCGCTAGCCCCAAGGGATCACATACGATTTAAGTTTGAAAATACCCTTCCCCCACTTTCTGCATATCGCCTAATGCATTATAAAGCAGCTGTTGAGCAAAAATTATAACTCGGTGTGTACCACTTTTTTGTCCATTCTGGACAAAAATTGGATAAAAATTGCCTAGATTTCGGGGGACCATATCTTTTGATAGAGACATCGGTGAGTATTGAAATTTGAAATGTGTTCTTCTGAGTAGATCTACCATATTTGAATTTGTCAATTATCCAACCATAATGGTGAAAAACAATCCAAAAGGGAAAATTGAATATCGTTTAGACATCCTACCAACAGTCAGTATTGATGAATTTCTTACAAATTACAGTCGCTAACTTAACAGTAACACACGCGCGCGCTCACACCCCAACGTCGGTACGATACGGTATGCAATTAATTGTATTATGCAGTAGTTTGCCGTGAATCCTGTGGGAAAGTGTATATAATAAATCTTTGTTTTTAGAAAAAATACTCCAAAAAAGATAAAGAAAATTGACACGAAACAGGCAAGAAACTTGATAATGACTTTTAAATCATGATCATTATTTTATTTTTAACATTGATGAAGATTTAGTCGATTTTCAGTAGACCTATGTAGACTAGTATGTTTTAGTAGGGTATCTCCACCCAGGGCCAGGGCGTTCCGGGTCAAACTTCTGTATCATGGTTGTAAGATACTAATCTCTGTTTTGTGAGGACATTTTTTGTTTCAGTTGACGATCGGAGTATGACGTCAGAAACGATGGTTTTTTGGTTGAATTTTTGGTCTGCCGAGTGGGGGCGTAACAATTTAGCTGCAAATGATTCTCAATTTTGGGAAAAGTCATCCTTCTGATTGCGATCAATATTTAGTATTTCCAGACAAGCCCAATGTTGTGAGTATAATTTGAGCATATGATGTTGATAATTGATAACTAGCCGTCAGTTTGATTTGGGTGTTGGTTTTATACAGTTCATAGTTTTCAGATAATTTGATGTATAAAATTTGTTATGAAAGTGATTTGTACGCACAGTAACTTTGTATGCATTACACGTGCAGTTACATAATACCGTGCATGTGTGTAGTGCTATGGGGATAGTCTGTTGTACAGACCGTGTTGTGTTATTTTAATATCATTTATATATAGGCAGTTGTATAAAGTGACAGAATGTAGATAAATTCTGGTAACTGTAGACATGTATATAAAGAGGAATATAGGGTAATATGTGTAGAGCCAAAAGGGTTAGTGTTTTATCATGCACACAATTATTAGTGAACAAAGGAAATTGAAGCAGCCATATTAGGGTATCTTAAAGGTTTTTATTCATCTGCTATAAGGAAATAGAACATAATATTTAGTGGGCATTGATATTTCATTTTGGAACAGTATAATATGTAATTTCAGTAAACGTGCATTAATCATACAACTCATTTGATGCAAGATTATTTGTAAACACAGTTGAAAATCGACATATTATTTATGATTGTTTATAATTCTGATTAAATTTCAGGTTGAAGCGCCTTTTGTGAACGGTATCGCATCATGCTTGAAATTGTCGCTATTTATTGAAGTGCAGTCAGTCCGATTGGCAAGTTATACGCTACATTAAGTTCAACAACAGTGCTTTAAGTCAACATGAGCGATATGTCCCATCAAGAGTCCGTCAAGCCCGGGGATTCAGCAAGCCAGACTGGCAAGAGCAGCACGAGCAGTACCTCCAGAGCTAGAGTCAAAGCAATGGTGAAGAGAGCGGCCTTGGCAGCTCAGGCAGCAGCTCTCAATGAACAACAAGCTCTTGAACTGGAGGAGTTCAAGCTGAAGCATAGAAGGTGTAAGCTTGAGCTACAGACAAGACTCAGCATGGCAAAAGCTGAGGAAGAGGTTTTCTCCCAGCATGGAGAGAGCATGACTGCTGCTGCAAATGAAGATGTATCCCAACAAAGAGGGGCCTTGACGACGGAGCCTAGCGTGGCTACAGATTTAGAGAAGGCTGTCTACCAGCTGAGACAGCCCTCACAGGTGCAACCTAACAGGGTCAGCACTACAGACAAGGACTTCTCCCAGCATGGAGAGAGCATGACTGCTGCTGCAGGTGAAGATGTCTCTCAACGAAGAGGGGCCTTGACGACGGAGCCCAGCGTGGCTATAGATTTAGAGAAGGGTGTCTACCAGCTGAGACAGCCCTCAGAGTTGCAACCCAACAGGGTCAGTGCTACAGACAAGGACTTCTCCCAGCATGGAGAGCCCTTGAAGTATGATACCACCACTAACCAGAGTGAAACCACAGAACAGAATGGCTCCATACTAACTGGGTCAGAAGCATGTTATGGAATCGCCATAGGGGCCGGTATGCGATGTGTACTTCCCATAGGTCCAGTGCATGTTCAGGCAGCAGATGGAGATAGATGTGTTCTTACCTACGCTCTACTGGACTCTGGTTCGACCACTTTCTTCTGCACGGAGGGCCTAGTAAGGAAAGTGTCAGCACAGGGGGAAGAGCGCATACTTTCCATATCAACTTTGGACGATCCTGATGGAAGGATCCAGACTCAAGTTGTGAGTCGTATGGTAGACACAGGTCTCATGACAGAAAGAGTGAAGCTTCAGAAGGTTTCTACCAACAGGAAGACCGACTTACTGAGTGATGACATGGCCAGTATGCCAGACTTAGAAGGATGGCAGCACTTAGAGGGGCTGGATCTACCATTTGCCTGCGGACAAGAAGTGGGACTCCTGATAGGGCAAGATGCACCATTTGCCCTGATGCCCTTAGAGAGTGTACATACTGTACTTGGATGGTCCTTGCATGGCCCTGCTGCTGCTATTCCAGACAAAGGAATGTCGGTGAATGACAGAAAGACTCGTGACATACAGAATGAAGGGAAGTGCAAAGAGATGGAACAGTACCAGTTTCACATACCCTTCAAGGAGAAACGACCTACATGTAGCTTGACAGACAACCAATGGGTAGCAGAACAAAGGTTGCGGAGTCTCAGAAGGAAGCTAGGTAGAGATGACGCTCTGCACTACAAGTACACAGAAGGTTGTGTCGAGGAGGTGGAAGAGCAAGATTGTCAACCAGGTGACGTAACATGTCGATACCTCCCTCATCATCCAGGTTTACGATTTGGTACTGTCAGTCGACGAGCACTCACACCGCAATGTTTGGCCTTTGGGAAGAGTCCTTCAGACATGGCCAGAAGAGAAAGGCTTCGATCGACAGTGTGAAGTGAAGACCTGAACCAGCCTACTGCGGGGAGACCAGTTACAAAGCTCTATTTAATATGGAGGCAGATTCTTAGAGACATTTCTGTGTTTCTAAGATGAGGGGTCAAGCCTAGCGCTGTCCCGTGCCAATTGTAGAGGTATTCATGTTTTGTGTTCTTAAAACCAGAAAGCGGAACTGACATCGATCCTTTTTCTCGTATTAGAGTAACATTGATCAGTCGAGAAATTGAGGAATTTTTGTGCTTCAGCATCATGGACAGAGTGTCAACATTTGAGCAACTTTCAGAGAATTTTTAGAGACTTTTACAAGAAATTTGAGGAAAGTTCAGCGTTTCAGAAGAAGTTCTAAGCAAGAAAATATGTTGCAAGACAAAGTTGATATTTAGTCATAAGAGGAAATACATATTATTCTGATCCTCTAATAACTCAGAGAATGTCAAAGAACAAGATTTTTGAAGAAAATGGATTATACCATAATGCAAGACTGACATGGTGTAATTTATGTTAGCATGATATTGGAAAGTAACGTTTTTGTTTTTCAACCTTCTAAACAAACTCATATTCATTAGAAATGGTAAATGTGCTTTTCCTTTATATTCATATGATGAATGCATTTGTATGTATTCTATATTAGGTTTATTTCCAGAGGAGAAAGCTTAAAGTAGCAGAATGAATACATTCAAATCAGTTATACATGTTGATGATATGTCATTTATTACTGTTTCCATGACAACCAAATTACATGGCGTTGGCTATTTGGTAGAATATGTAATACCAGAATCGATAATGTCATATATGCAGATTGTGTATAGAAGGATTGAAATGGTATATCTAGATTTATGTATTTGTCTATTTAGGGACTTGGAAGTTTCGACTAGGAAAATTTATATTTTCTAGCAGATAATGTCTTGTGAAGATGTATTTGGGTACAACAACATGACTCTATGTGTACTGGAATTGGTATGTGAATTCAATTCAGTTTTGAACAGTATCTGTGAAATCGTACATAGTGTTGATTACAGAATCAATATTTCCTTTTATTGGGTGACACATAACAAGATTTCTTTTTTAGTTTGTATGGGATTGAAAGAAGTGGTTGTAGTGGTAACAGTTGCCAACAGAGATATTTCAAAGTGAAATTTTGGTTTTCGTGATATACGGTTTTCATATTCTAATGTAGGAATTTATAAAGTTAATATTGAAGCATGTTATACATTGATACAGGTAGTATGGTAACCAACTTTGTTGTAAGTTTATTTGAAAAGGAAATTGTAGTCCTTTTTGATGTTGTAACAAGGAAATCTAGACATGAACAACTTTTTTCTTTTTCGTTTGCAAAGAAAGTTGTCTGGTTGCTTAGGTGTTCATGAAAATTAATGTAAATTAGATTATTTGTTAATTGGTGTATGAAGGCATTCAGTATAGATAGCTATGTTTTAAATTTTGGGATTCCTTTGGAATTTTGGATAAAGTATATACCTGTAAGTCCAGGTTGAGAATAAGAAGAGATTAGAGAAGTAAATGTTCAGTAAAATCTTCACATTTAGGGGCCGGAATGTAAGATACTAATCTCTGTTTTGTGAGGACATTTTTTGTTTCAGTTGACGATCGGAGTATGACGTCAGAAACGATGGTTTTTTGGTTGAATTTTTGGTCTGCCGAGTGGGGGCGTAACAATTTAGCTGCAAATGATTCTCAATTTTGGGAAAAGTCATCCTTCTGATTGCGATCAATATTTAGTATTTCCAGACAAGCCCAATGTTGTGAGTATAATTTGAGCATATGATGTTGATAATTGATAACTAGCCGTCAGTTTGATTTGGGTGTTGGTTTTATACAGTTCATAGTTTTCAGATAATTTGATGTATAAAATTTGTTATGAAAGTGATTTGTACGCACAGTAACTTTGTATGCATTACACGTGCAGTTACATAATACCGTGCATGTGTGTAGTGCTATGGGGATAGTCTGTTGTACAGACCGTGTTGTGTTATTTTAATATCATTTATATATAGGCAGTTGTATAAAGTGACAGAATGTAGATAAATTCTGGTAACTGTAGACATGTATATAAAGAGGAATATAGGGTAATATGTGTAGAGCCAAAAGGGTTAGTGTTTTATCATGCACACAATTATTAGTGAACAAAGGAAATTGAAGCAGCCATATTAGGGTATCTTAAAGGTTTTTATTCATCTGCTATAAGGAAATAGAACATAATATTTAGTGGGCATTGATATTTCATTTTGGAACAGTATAATATGTAATTTCAGTAAACGTGCATTAATCATACAACTCATTTGATGCAAGATTATTTGTAAACACAGTTGAAAATCGACATATTATTTATGATTGTTTATAATTCTGATTAAATTTCAGGTTGAAGCGCCTTTTGTGAACGGTATCGCATCATGCTTGAAATTGTCGCTATTTATTGAAGTGCAGTCAGTCCGATTGGCAAGTTATACGCTACAATGGTCTTAATTCTAAACTAGCGCCGGTACCCAGACATAAATTAAATAATTATATCTCAACTAATGAACTACAACTAGTCTGCAAAAACCCAATGCACACACACATCTGATTGATACACTTTACTTCACTTTACTTCACTTTAATCCATCGATGCTTGTAGGGCAATGCCTGTTCATCGATCACCAGGTTAAAATCATTTCCATCTCTCTTCGGACATAAGTCTTATCAAGTGAGCATGTGTCTTTCACATAGGGTCTAGACGACTAGATCTAGATCTAGATCTAGATGTAAAAACTACAAACCTAATTAGAGCCTAGATCTACACAAACACACACACACCTTAAAATTAGATGTAGAAAGGGTCTAGATCTAGATCTTGATGCAGAGTCTAAAGATTGAGTAGAGTCATCATTTTGCCTCACCTACCATCCCAGTATTTATATAGCTTCCTGAGCTGAGTAAGCTGCCAAGGGATTAGGCCTACGGCCGAACCATGACCAAGTACCAAAAGGCATGATAGTTGATACCAGTATCATTCATTGTGGACGGGGAAGGTACGGCAAACAACACCTCCAGCTATCGCTTCAACTGACAAGCTGCGGAAATTTCGCCATTGCATTTTTTTTTTAAAGTCATACTCACCCGCATTGTGGAGGCTGTTTCCACACCAAGCATGGTTATTTCTGAAACTGTAATCTGGCTCAAAGAATAACTTTGTTGCTTCACTCATACAATTGGTGATAAAACAGTAGATTATCTAGGAGGATTGTCACAGAAACTCGGATGCTCGATCCGTTGTCGTCGATATTTTATTTTATGTTTTCGCGCTAAGTACCTATGACTAGACTATGCGCGCGCAATATCGGTTATACTTCATTAAAGTCGTTTGGTATAATATTCGGGTTAATAAAGAAAGTATGAAATAACGTGGCTATATAGTCAAGTTACAAAACGGTATGAAATATGTGTATACTAAATACTCAGTATATTCGAGCGTCATTTTCAAATATTGATCAATAATAATATTAATGTCCTGAAAATTTAGGCTGAACTTGGTAATAAACGTCCGAATGTAGTACTCTAGTAGGCTCATAGGATAAAGAGTAACATACGGAAAAATAGAAAGAGAAGACCAAAACGTTGGTGATGTACAGTTAAACCTGAATCTACCGACGCAACCGAAAACGAAACAGAAACAGCAACAGAAGATGGAATTATAAAAACAAAGAATAACATAAGCCTAAAAGGTATAAAGTGAAGAAGATATAGAAGGAAAATATCATGATAAGCAAAGATGTTATGTTGTAGATAGAAAGAGGATTACAAAGAATAATAAAAACAAAGATTTTAGCCGAACATCGAAACATATTAATACTAGGAGAAGAATATAGAAGAAAAACAACAATAAGGAATAAGAAAGAAAGAGGAAATGATAAAACAATAAAACAAAGAATAATATAAGGAAAGATAGAATTATCCGGCGGCCGCATTATTCACTGGTTCTTATTCAGTAATAGATTTCTTTTCACTTTTATCTCTCCTTTTTGGACCCTTGATATGGAGAGGGGGCCGGGGGGGGGGGGCTGCTCAGTCGTTTCGGTCCTCCCCTCCCTCCTTTTTATGTACCTTCTTTTAATTACTAGAAATAAATTTTCGGAATTATGAACCCTTTTTCATTTTTGGAAATAAGAATTTTCAGAATTATAAACCCTAATTCATTTTCGGAATTATGAACCTTCGGATAAACGAACCTTCAGACCTTATGGATAGTAGACGAAATGGACGTTAGACAAACTGGAAATTAAACTAGCTGGTTATTAACTGAACAATAGACCAAATGGGTAGTAGCTGACTTATTGCAGATTAGACCAAATGTAAATTAGCTTAAATGGTCATTATACCAAATGATAAGTAGTCAAAATGATTATTAGACTATGTAGATAGTAGACGAACCGGTCATAGACCAACTTCGGCAATTCACCGTCTCATACCGCCAAAGACCTTAGATAAACAAGACATTTCATTAGAACGTGCTTCCGTAAAACCCTATACTAATATGATATTGAATCGAAAAGCTGAGGAGACCTCTATAAATTTGTAGTAATATGAGTGCATGCATGCATGCTTTTTACCTTCGAAAAAATCTCACCTACCATAAGAATGATTATCCTATAGCTACCCCTAAATTCCTAGATTCCACAATGGGAGGAGATCGACAGTGCACCTAAATGAGCAGCAATATAGGGGTACTTTAAAATAGCTCTCTATTGGGTAGAAGTATATTATTATCAATATTGCTAATTTTACCCCGAATTACCCTTTGTGTATTAAATTGAACAAGTTCATTTTCAAACCGCTCCAAAGTAGTCGATTTGTGGCCATATAGGCACTCCGACTCTTCTTCTAAAAAGAGTCCATACATGCAGTGGGGTACGCAGGATTTTTTCAAGGGGGGGGGGGGTTTAAAATTTTGAAATCGGGCCGAAAATTTCAGCCAACCGCTGAATAAGCGGGGGGGGGGGGGGGTAAGAGGACACTTTTTTTTTTTGGTCTCGAAATTTGAAAATTTGACATCTTTCTTCGTTGGGGGGGGGGGGGGGGGGGTAAGGTCACCTTTTTTAGGTCAGCCATGGGCATAATTATAAAAAAAAAAAAAAAAAACCAAAGGGGGGGGGGCGGTTTAGGGGGGTTTACACACATAAAAATACCAAAGGGGGGGGGGGGGTTTCAACCCCCTAAATCCCCCCCCCCCTCCGTACGCGCGATTATGAGTCGCATATAATATACCTAAGCTTGATTATAACTCCTCAAGATCACGAAGGGACACCACACTGTCGATCATTCCATTTCCAATGAATCCCTTTCTCTTGACATTTTAATCTGCAAGTCAATAAATATATCTTCAAAGACACGGGATCTTTAGACACAACCCAAATGAGCAATATAAGTAGAGCAGGAGAAATAATCCCTCCCTCTGTCACTGATTTGCATGAATATAATAATCCATGCATGGTGAAAAGAAATACCCCGTCATTTCAGATATTTGCCCCCCCCCCCTCCACTTTCAGACTCGTATTAAATCAAGTGTCATGTTTACCAACGTCTACCTTTTTAAAATTACTTTATACTATTTTCAGCAGAATTTTATGAAAAATAAAGTTTCGACTTTGTCAGCACAGCCGGAACAGCCTCTCGTGTATATATTGCACTCCTATCACAAATTTAAATCACATTTTCGAAAACTTCTTCATGATGGCTGAAACATGTGGTATAACCAGTATTAGGAGCAACTTTAAAGGGGAAACATTTCTCAATTTCACCTCACCATTTAGGCCTAAATCGAATTTCAGAATTTGCAGAACCCTAACTTGATGTAGGGTAACTTTGCATTTATCTTTTTGTGTATATATCTTACGTACATTTATTACGTTCTATATGCTTGTAATATTAATGTAAAATGCCTTACATATTATATTTCTTCTCTGTCGACTGGTTTTTTCAGCCTGTGCTTCTGGTCACTATTTGTGACCCTATATACTGGCTCTTAACAGGTTGAGATCATGGCCTTAACAATACTTGATATAATACAAACAAATAAGTAGACGAACCATGGACAAAAAGAACAGAAAAATGAAAAAGAATTATTATAGTGCATTTCTTGAAATAAACTTTATTACTGTAAATCATTGTGTACAATTTTTGTGTTAAGTAAACAAGGCATTGCACAAATTTAAATTATTACAGGATACTCTCTCAAATGATAGTTTCTTCACATTCATGTACAATCACAACCTCAGTTGGATTAAGGTTATTATAACAGTTTGCTAGTATTTTTTATAATTATGTTTATATGTCACAGAGTTCCGGTATATAAAATGTTGAGAAGAGACTAAAATGAATGTAATTTCGATCTAAATAACGCATGACTATAGGCATATATATCAATCATCTGGTAGAGGTGCCGTGGTCTATATAGTGGATACAGTGCTTTGAGATTTCCCTTTGTAGGTGCCCTTTTTTTCTCTCCAGAAAGTGCTCTTTTTTGTTGGTGCCCCCCCCCCCCACCCACTTTGGAAGTCGCTCCGCCGCCTCTGATATCAATCTTCCGGTAGAGGTGCCTTGGTCTGATGGATACATCTTCAGACTGTAGATCATATGGTTTGTGGTTCAAGTCCCGCACTAATGTCCTACCGTAAGATATTAAGCTGCATTTGCGACTCTCCACCGAGGTGTTAAGGAATTCCTTGAATGCTGTGAGCACCGAAATCGGTAGACTAGCATTGTCAGAGTATTATTGGAGCACCTAGCATGGTGAATATGCGCACAATAAAATATCAAAAATTGTTATTATCATTATTATTGAACAAAATCATGGCTTGATGGTGCACAGTGGGTAATTATGAGCGCTATAAAAATATCAATTATTATTAATTTCTGAACAAAAATCACGACTTGATGGATTTGCACATTATTTGTTACTCCTCACATGTCAAGCATATTCAAGTTATTTATATCTTTAAGAATGTATATGGAAAACAAGCCTTATATGTCAAGTTAAACAGCAGACTATAGCACACCCCATAGCATCATCTTATGAGCACTTTTGTCTCTTTCCAAATGAGGTAAAAATAATGCTCTACGACCAATAAGGACCTGAAATCTTTTCTCCAGTCATCGGTTACTACATGCATACTGCAATTTGAGAGTTTTGGAGAAAATACTTTGTTATTTCATCAAAGGATATTATTCATAAAGCTCATACATAAATTTGAGGAAATGACTTTATAAATGATTGGGGCGTACAATACAGTGACAAATGTATACATCAACAATGGTAGAGATGCCCAAAAATGTAAGGGTAAAGTTTTCTAATCACATTCAGTCTCCTTTTTATCCATGTTCATCACCTTTAAATATCATGATCATTAAAAAAACTTTTTCAAAACATAGCTCATGAAATATCAAATAAATATATCACATACACAATAAAATTTGTTAAGTGTAACGATCATAAATTGATACTGCATTAACAGAGTTACATCTTGATCTATCATTCACTAATCCTGTTAAAATTATTGAGCTCCAAAAACTAGTATATGTGACTTTATATGACGTTAGAATAAGTAAACTTTTAATACTCATATACGTGTACCTTAAACCTATTTAGGCCTAGTTAATATTACTATAATTGCTGATCGAAATATGTTTCAAAATGTGAGAATCCAGATAAATGAATAATTGAAAAACCTCAATAAAGTATCTTGTTTAACTCAAATAAAGTCAAAATGCAACACAAACTGTTACACTCCAGAATTCTTACCCAACTCAAACATGTACTTCAAGATTTCATATTTCTATTTACAAGCTCGCTGTGTACAAAATTGAAAAGTCATTCATGATCTGACGTAGAAAGATGAAAGTTGTGGAAGACTTATGAAGAATAATTTTATCAACCTGATTCCTTCTATGCAACAGTAAGGACGTACAGTATAGAGATCAGAAAATGAGATTATAGTTATATAGATTTAGCAGTGAAAAGTGCTCAAAACTTAAATTAATAGATTTTTAGCTAAAATGCAGCACATGTATAGGTTTACATAGGCTAAGCGGTATGGCCCATGGTGATTGTCATTTCAAAAATTGTCATACTTATAAAGATTTTAAATTTAATACATAGTTGTCACTTATTTGTCACTCTGAACACACAAGTAGAGTCTATGCTTACAGAGAAGAGTGCAGGCAGGCAAATGAGCCTAAATTAAGTTTGAACAAAAATGTGATGTCCTCTGAAAGCAGAGAATAGAGAACAGAAATAAAGGTAGAACACAAAAGTATAATAAAGGTAAAAAGGGGACTAATAATAAAATTTAAAAAAAATAAGTATACTGACTTTGCTATCATTTGCACACATGAAATCACAAAAAAAATCTATGAGACATTTGTGTATTTAAGGGTTAAAGAGCATTAGAAGAAAAGTTAATTCAAAGTTGCCTTCCCTACTAATGCATGTGTCTACATGTACAAGTTCCTTGGCAAGTCAAAAGTTAGTTTTATCTTTCATATTTAGAGGTCATCTATAACATTTAGAGTGTAATTTGGCAATTTCTTTTTATAGAAGTACTAATTTGAAATTTTGCAGAGCAAAATATATACTTGTTTTTGTATACATTTTTGTTTAAAATTGGTTCTTCTAAAAAATATTAGACATCATTCCACGAGATAACATGATCAATCATCCAAAATATAAAAATAGAATAAAACATATATATAAGATATACATGTTTATTCAACAAATAGATAATAAATGAAAATTTGAACACACAACATACTTGTCTCTTCATGATGTACTAGTCTCTCAATGTTTTCCTACGTATCTTATATACAGTAATCTCTTATACATGCATAAGTGATGAATAAATATTTGTTACATGCCCAGTTACATTAAAAAAAATCTTTCTTGACTACATATGTATAATGATATGTCTGCAAGATACAACAAATTCCTGATCACAACCATGTACTTTTCAGCAAGTTTCCATGATATATACACAGAAATTTGAGGAGGATGTACATTACCTCCATGCTAACATTTATGTGTCCTGACCATGGAATGATTGGGCTGTTCAGTTAGGAAAATCAAGTTGATATTCTTGAATATAAAGAACAATATCAAATGGATTATACAGCAGTATTCGACAGTTAATAATCAAACACAGGAACTGCAAGCTAATGGCCTGAATTAAAAACATGAATATTGCTGTCTTTGATATATGTACGGACCTTTGAATCCCTCTTATGAGAAATATGAGCAAAACACAAAAATACGTTTTTTTATTTTTCTACCCAACAATTTCATTATGTTTACCATAGTTAAGCAATCCATCACTCCTTTCTATCAATTAATATAATGAAATATTCTGTAAAATTGATGAATTCAATGACAGTATAAAGATATATATATCAATTTGATCTGCTAACATTTAACAAAAAGAAGAAGAAAAAAAAAGATTTCTCAGAGCAAGAAAAGTAAGCTCTTTCTTCCTTGTATACACCCTAACAAATTTTCCTTTCAAAGTATTTCACAATATATTTGTATTATAATAGTGTATTCTTAACTAATATGTAACTTGGTTAAATAGATATGGATAAACAAAACAAGTATCGGTTCGAAAAAATTAATGAAATGGAATGTCTTATACAATCTAATTAAAAAATCCTAATTTTTTTTTCAACCATTCCTCTGTGAATTCTTCCAGGTCACTCAACTCAAAGTACTGCAAATAGAGAGATAAGAAAATGGAGAAAAAAAAAATAAAGTTGAGTAATAAAATGGTATTAAAATGCAATTTACTTGTATACTATTCAGTGAAATAAAGTGTACATGTACATGAATAATAGAAAGAAAAACACAATTTATAAGTAAAATATAGAACTTACATCAAATATCAATGGGAGCTGACATTTTCACAACATAATGAAATAAATAGTGTAGACAGTTTCCTACATAAGAAATTATTTCAATCTATTATATTTATATAATATTGACTGGCCTTGAGGGGTATATCAGAAATATTGACCAAGCTCAGATCATATTGCCCCGAGTCGAAAGACGAGGGCAATATGGTCTTAGCGCGGTCAATATTTCTGATTTCCCCCGAAAGTAAAGCCAGTCAATATTTTTATTGTTATCCAAATCAGACATCTAGAGCAAATACAGAAATCCACCATGACAATCTCAAGAACTGAACAAACTTTTGTCAAACCAACACTGTGCATCCAGTGCTTGACAAAATTTTCGATACACTGCAAACAGTGTGTATTTAGTGTGATTATTACGTCACAATAGAGTGCGCGCAAAGTGCGCAGGTTCTCGTACGCATAATAGATGCGCAATGAAAATGCGACGGGGTCAATACAAGATGCCCGGTTGCGAGACCGTGGAAAATACCAAGGTATATTTACACTCGTCTCTACACGCAAAGTCAATACGCGCAGGGAGACCAAGGAAAATACAAAGAATATACCCCTCCGTTCCCACTGCTAGTGAAAACTAGGGCAATATGGTTTTGTAAATGACCAGCTCAGATATCTGATACGGGTAATAATTCATAATATTGTACACAGCATACAGATAATTACTAGACTAAAAAAACGTACATCTGACAGAAAACCACATCCCCCTCCCTTTTTCTAGGGAAAAAATTACTCATTTTACAAATCATTGTGGAGAGGTTGGTTCTATGCTGAAATCCAAACGAGGTACAGTAACTGTTGTTTTGAGATATAAAGGATAAACATGCGACCCTTGAACAAGTTGTAAATCAGCTTGGAAGTGAAGATCAGGTTTATCTAGAATGACAACATCTACAGAGTCATTTTTCCCCGAGATACACAGGGAATTTCCTAAGTAGTTAAGACCTCTAAAGGTAATGGTATCTGTGTCTGGCGGAAGTGTAATGTCGACACGGAGGCTGTTTTTTTGCAGCCGCATTCCACCATAACCAAACACAACAGCCTGGAGGAATCCTCCCATGCCAGTTACAAAGTTAACAGCACCTGCCCCTGTGGCTGTTTCCGTCCAGACTTGAAATGGTTGTTGGATATTGGCATAGCTGCGAGCAAAGTGTTTCTCAGCTTTGGTAAGGTTTTTCAGTTCAAACCAGCCAATAGCAAACATTCCCCATGTCATTGCAGGACCATCAGGGTCAGTTACATTGATTCCCTCAAAGGTCTCATAGATCTCAAGATCATTGCGTCTGGTGTCAGCTGTCATGTTGACCATCAAAGGGTATCCTAGGAGGATGGCATCTGCTTGTTTGACAAAGGTTCCCGGAATGTAGCCTTCAAACTCTGGATGATACTGCAGTCTATGATCGAATGGAATGACCATCTCATCTGCTATTTCTGCCCATTTTTTAGGAACTGACTTGTTGATCAATGAAGCAGCATATGCCGGAAGTCTGAGGCTTATTTGGGCTATGGTGTTAGTGTAGACTGAGTTATTAACGCTTTGATGATATTCATCAGGAGGCATGATGTTGTTGATTGTGTATGCCTTCAAGGTTTGGTTGTACTCCACCTTGCTCTCCCAGAATTCTGCAATACTTTTAATTGTCTCAAATCCATCGTTACTCTCAAGGAATGTTGTATCATTGGCTGCCCACAGATACTGCTGCACAGCAAATGCGATGTCTCCACTGATGTGAAGTTCATTGGTAGGATACGGTGCCGCTGGGCAGACCTCAACACCAGTAAATGCCATCTCCCAGGGATACTGCGCACCTCTGTATCCATTCTTGGCAGCATTATCCCTGGCTGCCTGCAGATGATAAGATCTAGACTTCAACATTTCTAGCGCAAGATCTGGATGGAACATCAGAATTGGCGGGAACATCCAAGTCTCCTGATCCCAGAAAATGTGCCCTTTGTAACTGTCAGGACCACTTCCCCCATGAGCCAAATCTCCAGGATTGATACCATAAAAATGGAATGGAAAATGAACATCACCTCCTTGAGGAGGCAGAGAGCTTGTTATATAGTACATACTGCCATAGATAGCTTTGGCCAGTTTGAGGTTAGTTCCATCTAGATCAATCTTGCCATCCATCCACTTGTGTTGCCAGGCATTCTCATGGGTATGAAAGAGCATCCCTGCATCCCTCTCATCCCATCCGGCTCTCAGTGACTGCCATGCTTCAGATTTGCTTTCAGAGACTGCAGAGAGAAATGTCCAGACTTGGGAATCAACACCTGATGCTAATGTAAGGCTTCTTGGTACATCATCCCAATACATATATAGTGCTGAAGTTGCACTTGTTGGTGTTTCAGAAGTAGTGGTACCACCACTTGAAAACCATGGATCGCCCTTTGTTTTGGGGGCTGTCACTTTTAATCTGACATCCTCACTCTTTGGGTTAAACTTGTGCGTCAGTGAGAGAGTGATTTCGTCAGAAGTTCCTGGTTTTCTTGAGATCAAAATTTCATTGACAAGGAGACGAGTCCAATTTTGATGAGCATATATTCTATGCTCTATGTTACTAGTCTCCATGGTGATTCGATGGTAAAATGTCCCATTAATTACATTCAATAGGAAGGATTCTTTGTTGAATATCTTGTCCTTGCTGTCTATATGGATATCAGCTGTGGATGGAATCTTGGCACGGTGGCTGTCTCCATATCTACCATTGTAGATACTATTCACATGAATGACTTTACTATACACAGTGGTGGCCAAATATCCATTCCCGACAGTTGGCATACAGCAGGCTTCTTGTGGCAGAGTCGGGGTTTCAAAAATGTATGCTTTTGTAGAGACATCAGGGTAATCATTACACAAACAATCACTTTTGACAACTGCAATAACAGCCATGAAGAATATATACAAATAGACTACATGAAATGTGTCTGCCATCTTGCAGGCCTTAATTCCCCTTGATAAGTAACCAGAAAAGCTCATATTACTCAGTCCAGCAGTGAAGTGAATTCAATAAGTTTTTAACATTTTCCACGGGTGTGGAAAATGAGTCTTGTCACTTCCTATTGATAGAAGACAGGAAGTTTCGCATCCTCTGTATTTAAAGGAAAAGTTCAACCATAAACTGAAAAACAAACTTCCCAAAGCCTCTGCAGAGGTCAGACATTGAAATGCACCATGAAAAACATATTCATCCTCAACCATGTTCTTAGACAACAATGCTTACTTCCTTAAACAAGATGTCTATAAAGAAAAAGGTTATATTCTGAAAATCATTTCATCTTTATTTTACTTGTCATAGCAGTTCTAAACTTTAAGCACATCATTGATAAATGATTACCAATAGATGACCAAGCCTACCTGCACACACAACTATGAAAAGTTACAATTTCAAATTTGTTATGCCAATTCAAACCATCAAAAAATTAAACATAAATTAAATTAAAAAATAAAACAAAGTCAGAACACCACCTAGAGCTAAAACATGGCTATATTATCACAGTATTTACACATACCTTCGTAATACCCGTTCGACGGTGAAGAGTTATACAACTACCGCTGTACATCATTGCAAGTTCTGCTTTGGTTCCTAACACAAAATGAAAGAAAACACAGATCACAAAGAGTGAACTCTACTCTTCTTTATTAGAAGAGTGATGAAAACTTTTTTATGTAAATGTGCAATATATCCATATTGTTTACAATTAGTTTTCTTCATCAGTTTTCCTTTCAGCTTCTAATGCCAATTTTATTAGATTATTGTAATATACCATAGCACAACTTCACACAAACTGATCTACACATACCGAACATTAGCTTATAAGGACCATCACACACATCAGAAATGATTCAAGAATCAAGATGCATGCTTGTACAATGTCTTCAATTTAAATTTTAAATATTATACAATCGATTCTACGACAACTACCCCCTAGACTGTAACCCCCCCATCTCAAGCCCCGATCTGAAACTTACCAGCTCCAACTACATGTACCTGTGGACAGCTTTTTCATAGAACTGTCCCCAAAGGCCAAATACATCCCTAGGATAACTATCCCATGGACATAACACATTGGTAACTACTCCACCCCCCCCCCCTTCCCCTAATTCAAAATTCCCTTAAGTACTTGTTGGAGGACAAATTTTAGCATTTTTTGAGGGGGGTTGGGTGTCCTTGGGAGCAGTTGTCCTACATGTTTTGGATGACGTAAATGATAGGGTGCGTTTAAGCTTAAATTTTGAAGGCAGAATGAGCGATTTGTAACGCTCATCGTAAACGCTCATCGTAATCGCAGTTCCACGGTGTATTGATTATGCTCACTTCTCTGGCTCCTCCAGGCAATTCTCCTTGGGTGGCCTTAATTGGCCTTGAAGCTGGATTCGCACAACTGCACTGTGCATGCTACGTAGACCCACTAGAGGTCAGTGCGTTGACCCCATTTAAACGCGTTTACAAATTGTAAACGCATCTTTTTGTGAGTTTACGATCGTCGATCGTGATCGCCGTTTTTCGGTGATTCTACAAAAGTGAGAAAGGACGCAACCGTGTTTTAAAAGTTCTAAACGTGTACCAGATGCCTGATTCTGGCCAGAAAAAGTTAAGCATAAACACGCCCATAGACCATGAGAGTCTTCCTAATACTCTTTATTTTCATTTGGATGAAATAGATTGAAGTAGACTGAATACACACCTTGAGGATGTATAAAAATGAAGCAAAGGGGGTATGATATTCTTCCATCGTCATGGTGACGACAGTAACTATAGAGTACATATCTTGGTAGATGTTCAGGCAGTTCTTCTTGTAACTCATCTGGTGTCATGTCCTAAAAAAGCACAGGTATCAAAAACAATTTAACTTCATAGCTCTGTCTAATCACTAGCGTATCTTATTTTAAGCCTTTTGTTATCTTCCACCACATGACATGATATAAATCACAAAATTAGAATTTACTTTGTGATTTAGATTGTTTTTTTCTTCTTGTTCAATATCTGAAATGGAAGTATAAAGAATAGAGCTCTGGTCCACATAGGGCATTAAAATGTCACAAAAAAGGAAAGCCACAGCAAAAAAAAACTTTGCATGTTTCAAGGACATAAGCACCAACCCTGATGAACCACAATGTCTGCTGAGAGCCAGAAGCGCCTTAAGTTTAACTCACAGCTTTGACATGGCTTACACCCTGTGACTCAAAACAAGACAAATTCTACTTATTCTATAAAAAGGGTTCCCACAATTTCATAACAGCAATACTCCAGACTTTTCCCTAATGTTTCCTTAATGGAGTTTCAAAATTGCAAGATCATTAAGAAGGTATTGTCAACACTTATGTTAGGTTAAAATTATGTTGCCAGCGGCCACGGCAGGCCGTTTGCATGAAACGTAGTGCGCTGTGGGATTTCGGCCATTTTTTCTCCGTTTTCAAGTTTTGTTAGGTCTTGCCAAGTTTTTTATTACGTACTGTCACGTTTTGTTGCGATCATCCATTTTACTTTGGCCTACTACATTTGACTGCCGTGGCAATTTTTTTGACAGGTTAAAATCTGGCCCGGCATCCATGGCCTGTCACGTTTTCCCATTCCGTCTCCCCGCATTGTCTCACGTCCATACCGTTTTGTCCAAGGTGGCCTGAAACGTGATTGCCCTGGCCGGCGGGAACATAATATAAACCTAGCATAAAAAGCCAACAAAGTCAATCATCCTATGAAGGCACTCTGTTTGGAGACATAATATGAGAGAGCGACTATGGAGGGGGGGGGGGGGGGAGTAATGAAATTCCCTTGGCATCATTTCATGAAAATTTAAAAAGTACAAGTTCACCAACATCCAATTGAAATGTGTTAAATTCAATACTTGCATTTCAATGGGTACTTGGCAAACTTGAACATCCTAATTTGTAGTGATATTTTTCAAAGTCTCTGACATTTCCCTGACTGGCAAATGGGGGATACATTTTCCAGATTATCCCTCATTTCAAGAGAAACTGAGAAAAGTGACAACGCTGATCAACATGCATACCGGTATGCTCTTTATATTTACCTCATACTGATCATCCAAAACTATCAAGAGCTTACTACTGTCTATTTTCACTGCATGGGGGAAATTAAAGAAAGAAAAGAATGTGGTTAATATTCCTTCAACTTTAATCTTAAGGCAGATTTATATCTGTCAAAGTGAAATATGTAGCTAAAAATGTACCATTATTTTGAAATATGTAATTACCTATCAACCAAAATAAAAAATAAAAAACACTATCTAATCAGTAGATAAGAAACTGTTATCTGGCATCTTTCCAGATATTTACACTATTCCCTTGGAAATCATAGATGAAGTATGAAAATGTCTTCCACGTTCATCTTTTGAACAATATAAATATGAAGGAGAAATATCAGGGTCGATGCAAATTAAATCACCTTGACTTCAATTTTTACAAATTTCAAACCTCATGTTAACTTTTTATACCAAAATAGCAAATTTCTTCCTTTCAATGATGGGTTACTTTACAGGTAATGCAAAACATCATTATACCTCCAGCTATGCAAACAAGTTTTAATCACACATGACCTTGAGTTTTGTTTAAAAAAGAACAAATCGTTGAATATAATAATACCTTTTTTTCTTCAAATCACAATTTTAACCTTTAGAATACTATAAATGACACTTTTCTTTATGTGACTAAAACTGTTTGTGAGCTTTCAAAGTTAACCACAGCCTTGTCTAATATCTTATCACTTCAAACAATGAATACCATGAAAGCAGAAGTTTTGATTGCTTGAAGTAGCCAGGCTTTCAAACCAATCAAAGTCATGCTTATCACTCAAAACAAATCAGCATAACTGAGTCTGGAGTTTGTAAACAAAACCCTCTCATTTTCATGAGACAGGAATGGGAGGATATAGCGAGAATAAAGTCCATATTTTGTCTTAAATCAACAATATGCACCAAGAAATGCAAATTTTTACTAAATTCATCACTGTGTATTATCTTTCCAGAATACAACTGTATGCTGTGAGAAGTACTACCTGAAACAGGTCCAATCTATTATTTGCAATTGCCGCTGATGGGTAAAACAGCTTATCATGGTCAAACACAAATTGGCAATTTAAAGGTGTATCTTGCAAGGTTCATTCCCATTTGCTCTGTACTAAAGAGAATCTTAGACACATACACATACATGTATCTGGTTACATTTCAAACGTGCAGCTCCTGGACGTAGGACTGAACACATACTTGCAATGGCTGCATGAGTCACCAAGTTCATCACATAACACGGCCAAACATGCAGATTATATTGGACATGTCCAACAGCCTCCTGCAGCCACTTGTACTCTAGCTAGCCTGCAAAAATAGGAAACCCCAGACCCCAACGCCCAACACAGGGATATTTTACTGAAGTCATTTATTTGGCACAGTTTGCCATGGACCAACCACAAGACGTCCACAGTCAGTGGTGGCTATAGCAACATACTTACATACTATTGCTGCATTGTTTTTCTCCTTTCTGAAACGAAACTTCTTAACCAGCTCATCTATTTCCGGGTCCAAGTCACACACTGTCACATTCGCAGCCTAAAAAGAGAAATTAAAAATGCTATGTCAATTATTAATATGTAAAGCATCAAACTATAGAGCAATCTTTCAGCATCATTACCCTCACCTTCTTTTTTTCATGAAGTTAGCATCAAATTGGCAACACAAAATCAGTCTTTCCTGTATTCCATAATTTACCTCAACCTGACCTGTATTCCATAATTTACCTCAACCTGACCATCACTAGAATGACTATGCTAACCCCAGTCAGGGGTCAACGTTTTTGTAATGTAGATGATATTGCATGTGCCATATCAGTGCAACATCAACTGGAACATGAGGAAGATGACCAAAGCTCTATCACTCCTGTAATAAACTAGTGCATTTTCCTTAATTTTGGTCACAGCTTTCAATGGCCACAAGTAGAATTAGAATCATCTGCTGTGGACAGTAAAATGCCAAAGCCAAAGGTAGAGTAAATTTCCCAGGAGGAGTTCACAAATTAACAAATGCTAAATTACACAGCGAAGACATATAAACACACACGAAGCAGACTACAAATATGTACTACACACACATACAGCCAATAGGGACTTTTAGATTCTGCACAACGAGAACGCAGACTGCCCTTTTAAGGCAATGTGACGTCATTGCCAGTGCCTTAAAAGGACGTCACATTGCCTTAAAAGGGAAGTCCACGTTCTCGTTGTGCAGAATCTAAAAGTCCCTAATGCCCATAACAGAACTCACAGAACACTGACCCAAAGACTAAAGTCATCCTAAAGACCTTAATTCTGCCTCCAAAAATGGAATATCAGTGCGAAAATCTGAAAGCTTGTGGGAGCTTGCTTATGCATGGTGATAAGAAACTGGTCGCCAAAAATGAGCTAAAGGTCCGTAAATTGTGAGGTTTTGTGCCGGATACCGTTGCAGGCGCTGTAAAGGTGTGGTGACTGCACTGTACGTGACACATCACATGACATGTATATACAAGGTGACATCCCAATTTGTCTTTTAACAGTATCCCAGGGGCCCGCTCCTCGCACCATCATAAGCCTAACTTCTTGACTAAATCAGCGTTACTGAGCTACTTGTACCGTACCGACGAAGGGGTGCGGGCAGACGTGCGTGCCTGAAGTTAGCGACCGTAGTAATGATCATCATCGTCATAATGTGAGTTATTTACATGAATTTAATGAGGATCTGAGATTCAGCCACTAACTTACCACACAGCTCGCAGCATCGCTACGCTTAGAGATCAGGGGCCTGTTCCTCAAAACCAACGACAAGACAGTCATTACTTTATCTGTCAACTACGGAGATGTTTCTGATCTTCCTAAACCGTTTTGAACACGAGGAGCTTACTACCTAGTATCTTGTGAAATCGATACTATCTGCGAGAAGAAGAATCAGTTTTGTTCTTGAGATGGGTACCCCCCCCCCACCCCCGGATATTATCCTTTGATAGTTTATAAAAATACACCATTATATTATTCTTAGAAAAAATATGATGTAATGAAATTAATGTCCAATGTTTTAGGCGTCAGCACATTATCAAAATTACAAAAATTAAACATTCCAAACGTTAAAACATATGTTTAAAATATTCAGTTTACACATTTGAAGAAAGAATTTATCTTGAAAGCAATATGGGTCTGATATCTAGAGAATACACTTCTGACTATAGAATGTTATTTTCATGCTGGCAAGCTTGAAAAGTAGCCCCCGAAAAGTAAATATTAATTTTTCCCTGCTAAATAATCTAAATTATCAATGTTATAGTAGTCTTAGTCTAGTCTATGTTGGAATTTGTGAAATTTGTTATCCAATGTTACGAAGAAAACAAAATGAGAATGATCCTAGTTGTTTGAATTTTTATCTGGCTAGACCAAGTCATGTATTTAAAGCTGTAATTATTTTTCCTTATATTAAAAACAATATTGCATTTTCTTATTTTCGCAAAAATTGCAGTACACAAATTTCTGCAAGTCTTTTACTTTATATTTGAGTGAAATAAATTCTCTGTCTCAAAATGACATTTATACACCCTTCGACCCTGAGACGCCAGAGCAATTAATAGAAAGTCTAAAGAGCTGTCAACACGTTTGTATGCCCGCGTCATTAACATGGCCAGTTTATATTCGTAATTTGCTGGAAATTGTTCTTTAAAAATGAGAATTAACGAGTTTGAGTAGAATTTCACTATAGCATACTTATGTTAAAAATGATTGTTGAATATCTGAAAGAGATACTCTTTGGTTAAACCAGTTATAATAATGGGCCAGTTTTTGCACAGAAATAACAAACAAATTAGGAATTATAGTGATTACCATGCCTGGTTATTACCATGATCATCATCATCATCGATCATACTGGCACATATTATATTTTGACACCTTACCGTGGGCAACAGCCTACATTAATAACTGGTTGATAGAAATCTTCTTTCTCATCCACTACTTGAGCTTTTCCCTGCATATATCTTTCGCACAATGAAAGTTTTGAGTTGTGGTCACAGACTAGGCTGCTGGGCTAAGCTATGTGCACCCAGCATACCTGCCAACCCTTACAAATAATTTGGAATATTCTGTTTTTCTGGATTTCTAGGACCTGAAAATCCAGAATATTCAGATCTTTGGATGACAACGAATCATGTTGACTACGAGACTTTCTCGGATTAATCATTGATTTAGGATCTAAATGAGCAAGCTATCATAAGTCAAATAAGCTATATGCTATTTTTTAGCCAAAATTACAACAAGATGTTCCGAATTGGCTCTATCTATCCCCCCGGTGCGAGACCTCTGGATTACCGTCTGTATTGGGGAATGTCAACAAATGTCAGTTTTATTAAAGAAATGACCCATATCAGATGTGTATTTCTGTCTACGGTTTGCCGTGAAACCTGTGAAAAAGTGTATGTTTTTCCAGGAAGCTGTAATGAATGGAGACTCTGTCTCGAAAGAATTTCCAGAGGAAAAGATATTCAAGATTAACTTGGCTTAACAAAAAGAAATGTAACCCTCTCCAACCATCAAATCCATCTACAGCTGTCCTTATCAATGCACAGTTCCCCTCTAGTATTCCAAATATTACGAAATGTTACGCAATGCCATTTGATTCCTGAAGTTCTCTATTCACTCGTTCGTAAAAATATGCAGGCATCGAGCTTTGAAGACATGCGTGGCACAGAAAAATAGGTCATGTTCAGCAAAGATGTATTTAGCTCTATAACATATAAAATACAGAATTCCCGACATATGACCAATGAACCTTTATTTTGGTTATCAAATGCTGTTTTCGTGCTCTGATAGCTCTACTGAAGACGAAACCATTTGTTGGAGCGAATGTAAGGTTTTCATCATCATGATTTTCTCATCTAATTATTGACATTTTCCGAAAATTTCCGAAATTTGTATATAGCTAGGAAGGTACATGTACATGTAGTCCAAAGGTTCATCTCCCTAAAGAATTAAATGAAATTGTGTTAAATGTTTGCGCATTTGTTGGACGATGGTTAGAAGTTGTCAATTCATCACCACTTTTCACCCCAAGTACGGGCCAGCAACGCATAAGCCGCCATGGTCGCTGGCCTGGGCTGTGGGTGAAACGGGAGGACTAGGGAGCTGTATGGTCTCGGAGAGGGATTAAGGGGATTATGGTAGGGGAAACAAAAGACGTGCGGTGCCACAGATGGCTTCAAAGGGGCCTCTTGGACGGGATCTCCATTCATTACAGCTTCCTGATTTTTCCGAAAAATACTCCAAAAATAACAAGAAAATTGACACGAAACAGGTAATAAATAAAACATAAATATAATATTTTAACTCATGATCTTCATTTGGACATTTAATGAATATTTACTTCATTTTGGGTATGTTTTAGTAGGGTATCTCCACGCCGGAGTTACGGTAATATAGTCTACAGGTCAAATTTTGGATAGGTTTCTGCGTGCGCCCAAAGTTCTTTGTGTGTGGTTAATAATAGTACTATTGACTGCCTTCAGGGCAATATGACTTGTCATATAGTCTATATCGTTATGCCCTGAACGCAGTCAATAATACTTTTACAAATTCCATAAATCACAAAGTCCATGCAAACCAATAAGGCTCGGCATTCCCAGCACCGGCCGGGACCGGGGCGGGGCGGCCAGGCTGCAGCTGTGCTGCCCTGGTAGGTACTCTGGCCTCGCCGCCTCAGTAAGTCAGTTCTTTGTCTTTTTTAAAGTCATGCTGTGATCTAAATACCATTCAGCACTCGCTGCACTGTCACTAATGTCTTTGAATTCAACAGATCGTAATTATATAATAACATACCATACTGATAATTTTATCCGAGACAAGTAAGACGACAAAAAAAAAACACCAAAACGCCTCCAAAATCCGGAAGTCCTAATAAAATTATTTCATAGTCTTCTCGGCAGTAGTTTTTTTTTTCAAGGAAAAAGAAGAAGAAGGCAAAACTATTTTGGGAGTAACAAATAATGGGTAAAGAATATTTATAATATACATATACGAACAATGCTGTAATTTTATTTCAATTGATTTTTCTACCTCATAACAATTCGAATAAAATTCGACTGGATGACCTAGAATATATTTCATTTACGAGCAATTAATCCTGAAAAGAGATTAGAGCGCACAACCGCAGCCAGTCACCATTATTATATTATCATTCTGTCATTTCTGTGTATTACTATTTGGGAACATCACTCAGTTTGATTTGTTTCGAGATATATCTCATTAATGTTGTTGGTGTTGTTGGTTTTTATGGCCTTTTCCATGGCCGTCGGATGATTTTCGCCCAATGAATAGTTTAGAACCTATAGTGCCAACACCATTAAACCGGGCACAAATTTTGTGTTTAGTCTAAAGAGAAAAGAGAGAGGGAGACCGGGAGGGAGATTGAGGGAGAGAAGGAAAAGAAGGGAAAAGGAAAAAGGGATGAAAGGCCGGAGCAGAGAAAGAAAAGAAGAGGGGGGGGGGGGGGATCCGGAAAAAAGGGAAAGAGGGGATAAGGGAAGGGAAAAAATGAGGAAGAAGAATAGAAGGGGGATATCTTTTCCCGCCAACAAGTTGTGGATGGGGGAGGGAGAGGGCAAAAGGCCCTCCCCCCCCCCCCCGCGCCCAAAAAAGAGGGAAGACTGAAGGGAAATGTATAGGATGGCGTATAATTAACAAGAATCCTATAGACAACCCGACCCGACCCTACCCTCATGATCCTGGACCACCCGACCCAATACCCAACCTGGACAACTCAATACCCAATACCCCGGACAAACCTATACAGGCGCAGATCCAGGATTTTCCAATAGAGGGGGGGGGGGGGGGGGGGGGGGGCAGAAATTAGAAAATTGTGCAGACCGTTTTTTCAACTCAACATACCAATACTGACAAGGTCATTAAGCACCATACCGTTACCTACAAGCAGGCATGCATGCACAATTTTGGAAAGGGGGCAGGCTCACGTCACGTCTCTTGTCCAATATCAACATTTCCCGTTTTTAAGTTATACAATTTTTGACATTTTCACCGGGGTAGGGGGCTGAAGCCTTTTGCCCAAAAAAGTAATTTTCTGGTTTCACAATTCGGCTAGTGAGCGAAGCGAGCGAGCAAAATTTTTAGCATAATAATTGTATAAGTGATATTTATCAGATAGAGATAATCGAGAAAAGATATCAACAATTCATATTCGGGCAGCTCGCTGTCGGGCCCCCCTCCCTCCCCACATTACGTACAAAGTGCGGAAGCTTTGATGTTTCATTAAATTATTAGAGAAAGAAGACTGGATTCGTTGTACCATTCTCGACTCTTAATCCTTGTCTTAATTCAGTTTCCCCCGCCCGCATGAAGCGCTGAAGCTTTGAACTTTCATTTATTATTATAGAAAGAAGACGATTCGTTGTACCATCCTCAAATCTTAATCCTTGTTTGAATTCAGTTGTCACCCTCCCGCGCGAAGCGCGGAAGCTTTGGCGTTTAATGAAATTATTAGAGAAAGAAGAGGATTCGTTGTACCATTCTCGACTCTTAATCCTTGTTTTTTGTTATCCCCCTCTCGCACCAAGCGCTGAAGCTTTGATGTTTCATTAAATAATTAGAAAAAGAAGAGGATTCGTTGTACCATTCTCGACTCTTAATCCTTGTCTGAATCAAGTTTCCCCCCGCCAGCACGAAGCGCGGAAGATTTGACCTTTCATTAAGTAGAGAAAGAGGACGATTTGTTGTACCATCCTCAACTCTTAATCCTTGTTTGAATTCAGTTGTCGCCCTCCCGCGCGAAGCGCGGAAGCTTTGGCGTTTAATGAAATTATTAGAGAAAGATGAGGATTCGTTGTACCATTCTCGACTCTTAATCCTTGTTTTTTGTTATCCCCCTTCCGCACCAAGCATGGAAGCTTTGACGTTTCATTAAATTATTAGAGAAATTAGAAGAGGATTCGTTGTACCATTCTCGACTCTTAATCCTGGTTTGAATTCAGTTTTCCCCCTCTCGCGCGAGACGTGAAAGCTTTGACGTTTCATTAAATTATTAGAAAAATAAGACGATTCATCGTACCATTCTCGATTTTTAAAACTGTTTCTTTGTTTGCTCCTTTTCCCTCTCACTGCCCCCACCGGCCACCGCCCCTGGCTACGCGCCTCCTTTAAAGGGAAAATGAAACAATCATGATTGTGATAGCACACAATTATGTAAGTAGAAATGAAAAAGAAACAAACAAATCTATTACACCAACCATAGATAAATCACGTGGGCGTGGGCGGAGTGTCATATCATATAGTTTTGTGTTATTCGGTGAGGGGGCGTAGCGACCAAACGAGATTTTGCAATGTTGAATGCTGATATTAGGCCTATGCATTCTTGAAAAGCCCAATAATACGTTCTTTCCACTACATTTCTTTCTAGCTTTATTTCTAAATTTCCTGGGGGACGTGTACCCCTATCGGACCCAGGATCGCCGCCCCTGTCCATGATTACTACCAACATGAGTTCAAATACAAGCTCAAGCAAGTTGGTATGACTTTGAATCCGCGGCTCGAGAAGTTATGCGGCCGGCCCCCTTTATTCAATAACGTTTCCCAAGCCTTCTATAGAATGACCCCAAATCTCAAGAATTACAGTTTTTCCCTTATTCGTCGTAACTGTCACTTAGCGCCATTTTCTTTTTTTTCCCTTTCTCACCCGACTTTTCTCTCCCCCACCCCCCCCCCTCTCAGTGTTATCTAGGCTACGCGAATGCATATTCCCTCTCTTTTAAAGTATACCCCTCTGTTTAGAGTCCCCAAAAAATCGCAACGACTCAACCGGCCGCTGAATAAGCGGGGGGGGGGGGGGGGGGGGGGGGGGGGTAAGAGGACATTTTTTTTTTTTTTTTAGGTCTCGAAATTTGAAAAATTGACATTTTGCTCCGTTGGGGGGGAAGGGGGGGGGGGGTAAGGTCACCTTTTTAGTTCAGCCATGGGAATAATATTATTATGGGGGTATTAGGGGGGTTTACACCAAAAGAAATACCAAAAGGGGGGGGGGGGTTTAACCCCCAAACCAAACTGAGTGGGGGGGGGGGGGGGCTCGACCCACTTCTGGAGAGACTTTCTTTTGCGACAGACAGCTAACCCTAACCTTTTCATGTTTTATAATTATAATTATCATATTATTATTATATATATCATTCTAAGCTGTACCCATATTATGTTTAGGGGAAAAAGTGGATCGAGCTGTCCGCCGAAGCACCCCACCCAGGACAGCTCGACCTTTAAAATGAAATTGAATGCAACAAGTTTAAAAATGAAACAGAGGAGGAACTAGTTGAGAAAATATGCTTGAACATGAATGCACGTTAATGATATTGATTGCTGCTTTTACGAAATTGGCCGAGAAAACTTTTGTCTAAACGCTGCACTATTGGGACCTTCAGAGCCTTAAAGTTTGTTGCATGCAGCCGTTAGTCAGTATTCGCTATACAATTTTTTTGCACTTTTTTCAAATTTTCCGGCTGGGGAGACGATCCCCTTTAAAAAATATTGATAAATTAAGTAACAGACCATCAACAACGTGAACCAAACCTGCACAATGTCATGTCCGCTCCCAGAGAGACCAAAGACGCGCGAACTCACCCGCCCGCGCCAGATCGGCGGGTCTCCCCGCCAAGGCCCATTCAGCGTACATCATTCTGCCGTTGCCAGGTCGAGGAAGCTCATGGGTTGTCCGACCTAGCAACGAGCAACATAAAGTATTGCGCACCGAACAAGCTCCGACAAAAGAAACACAAAGACCGGCATTAAAAATGTTGAAAGAAAGTGAAAACATAAAATGCAATATAGCAGAAAATAAGAAGATTGTTAATGTGAAATCATGTCAGAAAACAGAATAAAGAAAAGAAAAAATAAATAAACATGAAAAAAATGAATATCCGAGGAGGAATTAGTGAGGTGGGGGGGGGGGATTTCAATGTCCATGAACATAATATCCAAACTTAATTAAGCTAAAGGATATTAACTGAGGCATTAACGTGTTAAAAGGGGATAAAAGGCTTCGAAAATGAATTCATGATTTATAAAAAAATTAATGACGTTTATTAATTAGTAAATTACGAATATAACTAGCTTGCTTGATCTAAATTTTTGTCTAAATTATTTAGCAGCAAAAGGGTTCTAAGACAATTACCTCCTGGACAATCACCCCCGGAAAAAATAACCTCCGGAAAACTACCCCCTGAGGACAACGCCTCCCCCCCCCCCCCCCAAAGACAATTACCCTCGGAAAATACCCACTCGGACAATCACACCCCCACCCTTCGGACACCCCTGCTTTCTCTTTAATGAACAGGCAGGGTAATTTCGTGGGGGGAGGGGGGGGGGGGGTTAATTTTCCTCGGGGCTGGTTTTCCTTGGTTGTCCATGAGGTGGGGGGTAATTGTCCTATTGAGTATTGTCTTGATACTCAGCAAAACCATTATAATACACAGTCCATTCTTTTTTCAGGGGTGGTTGGTATTATTGTGTGTGCGCGCGTGTTTTAATATTTTGTTGTGCTCTATATCCTGTAGCTTAGTTTTTTTTCCATCCATTGTATAAACATTACATTCTTTTTACTCACCTTGCCATATCGTTAATGTGTGTATTTTGTTGACTATAGGGCCCCGCTCACAAGCTTAGCTTCTACAGGGGTCCTAAAACCATTCATTTAATGATGTAATCAAGTTAATATATGTTGATTAATGCAGGCGCGGATCCAGGATTTCTTAGGGGGGGAGGCCCAAATTTGCAATTATGCGAGCCAAATATTGGTACGTAATGGTGACCAGCAGTGACGTAATGCGGGGAGGGGGGTGGGTGCAGGGAGGGGCGAGTTCCCCCCTCCCTCTTGACGTTTCATTGAATTATTAGAGAAAGAAGACGTTTCGTTGTACCGTTTTGAAAATAATCCTCGTC